CTGTCCTTGCTGGCCTCGTTGCGTCAAGCAGTGAGGTGGACGAGTGCGCCGGGCGGATTCGCGATGCCAGCTATGCCATCGGCTCCGGCGACAACATCTCGGTCTTGGTCGTCCGAGTCGACGCAGACTCGACCTCGAACTCGAGACTTGGCGGTGCGGACACCGAGTCGGACTCGACCTCTGACTCGACGTCGGACGACAGCGACTCGACCGATCGCGACGTCTCGTCGAGCGATGGGGGTGGCGAGATTGAGGCTGAGGCTGGCAAGGTTGAGGCTGAGGTCGAGCCCGATGCTGAGACCGAGTCCGAGACTGAGACTGAGGCCGAGGCCGAGGCTGGGGCTGGCGAGGCTGAGGTTGAGGATGAGGCTGAAGCCGCCGAGGCTGAGGCTGAGGCCGAGGTTGAGCCCGATGCTGAGACCGAGTCCGAGACTGAGACTGAGGCTGAGGTTGAGGCTGGGGCTAGCGAGGCTGAGGCTGAGACTGAGGTTGAGCCCGATGTTGAGACCGAGTCCGAGACTGAGACTGAGGCCGAGGCCGAGGCTGGGGCTGGCGAGGCTGAGGTTGAGGCTGGGGCTAGCGAGGCTGAGGCTGAGGCTGAGGTCGATGCTGAGACCGAGTCCGAGACTGAGACTGAGGCCGAGGCCGAGGCTGGGGCTGGCGAGGCTGAGGTTGAGGCTGGGGCTAGCGAGGCTGAGGCTGAGGTTGAGCCCGATACTGAGACCGAATCCAATGCTGAGACCGAGTCTGGTGCTGAGACCGAGGCAGAGGCCGAGTCAGAGGGTCAAGGATGAGGCTGCGGATGAGGCTGAAGCCGCCGAGGCTGAGGCTGAGGCCGATGCCAATCCCGAACCAGCTCGAGCCAGCCAGGCAAAACCCTCGACATAGGAGCTGCGGACTAAACAACATTTCTCTTCTATTCTCGTAACTTCCTTGTCCACGTGATAGTTTACGACTGTGTTGGCTCCTCGTTTGGCTTGGCTCGCTTGGCCTCGCCGGCTTGATCGTCTTCGCGCTTGCGCTTGGCGTGGTCGGCGCGGAGGATGCGGAAGCGCCCATCTGATTCGTCGGCTCCCGGGGCGAGACCTGGATCGTGCGCAATGACAAAGGTAAACTCGCAATCCTGCAGGTAGTCAGTGACCGAAACGTGGGCCGAGTCGGTAATGCGGACGGCGTCGAGCATCTTAGGCAGCTGGTCGTCCATGTCCTCGGCGCCTTCGCCCGACTCGTAGACAACAGCCGAGCCGACCTCAATCGACGGCTCCTGAAGCGCAAAATGGCCCCGCAGCACAGCGTCAACAAAGAAAGAAAGCGGCGTCGCCACCGTGTTGATCGCGAGCGTCACAAACTGGGCCTGGCATACAAAGCACTGTGGGTTCGGCGGCGCCACCGGGCCGGCGTTGAGGTAGCGCGCTTTGCGCCCGCGCGTGGGGTATTGCATGATGAACGAGGTTCGACACTCGTCCGCGGCCTCGCGAAGGAGCTTGACCGCTTCGACCACCATAAGGCCTGCGGCGATGGCGTTGGTCGTGGCAATGGCCGGAATGATGTTGCCGGCCATGGCCTTGGCGTCAAACTCGGACGACGGCGCGATCGAAAAGCACCGTGCCCGCAGGTTTGCCAGGGCCGTCACAAACCGCATGCAATCGGCGGCATCTTTGTCAAAGCTCAGCAGAGGCCGCTCACCCGCGGCAGCGTACTGAGCAACCAGCGCGGCGTGGCTTGCCGCAAAGGCCTGTGCAGCCTCGGCCACACTCCACACCTTCTGGCTCCGCAACCCACCTGCAGCGCTCGGCCCGGCCTCGCAAGCCTCCTTGTCACCCGCGCCTGTCGCTTCGGCCCACGAGATGATCTGCGGCGGTGTCCGCGTCTTCCACAGCACGTCCATCGCCAGCAGTGACGCAATCTGCTCCGAGAACAGGTAGTCGAACAGCTGTGGTGCATCCATGGCCCGCAACTGCGCGCCAGACTTGCGTGTTTGGGCCATGGCCTGCAGCATGGCAACCTTTTCCTCGTCGCCGCCCTCACCGCCCTCGTCAGATCCGCTCCCGTCGTCGTCGACGTCGTCGTCGTCTACCGCGCCGAACACCTTGGCGAACATGTACTTGGCCCACACGATGCAGTGGATCGGGGCCGATGGTGTGGTGCGAATGGTGCAGACCGGATAGGTCTTGGGCGTCGGCTTTGGCTGGCACTCGAAGCACTCGGTCGCGTCCTTGCGGATGACCGTGACCTGTCCCAGGTAGCCGGCCGTCCCAGACTCGATGAGCGGCGTGTTGGTGGAGAGACAGAGCCGATTGACGTGCCGCCGCGCCGGCAAGTTGTCCAGCGCGTTAAAGACCAAGCCAAACGAGCTAAAGTACGCCGTGCCAAACTGTGCGTCAAAGATCGAGCCACAGTGTGCCCTGTGCCCTCCCGGTTGCCGACACCGTGAGTGAGTCGCTCAGCCACCCTGCTTCCTCCTCTGACAACACCCCGACCGCTGCTTCACCTACACAATGTTAGCGTCAGGGTTGAAGCGGAGCGCAGACTCGCGCGCCACCTCAGACTTGGGCCGCCCCACGTGCGCCTTGCGGAACAGGAACTGCCTGTTGAGGTTAGAGACGTCGATTGCGTCAAAGTCGATGCATTCTATGTTGGCAAAGCCGGCTGCGACCAGGTTCTTCAGCAGCTCGCACCCAATGCCGCCTGTACCCACCATGAGCACCCGTGTGCTGCGAATCTTCTGCAACAGCTCCTCACCGAGCGTCGCCGCCAGCGCCGAATAGTCGAGCATGATGTACACCCAGGGACAGAGACGTGTGCGACCGGAACCTGTCGCGGGGATGGGACGGCGACTGTCGCACTGCCCGCCGCCTCTCGCTCGTCCGATGGTCGATCGGCTCGTTTGGCCTCAACAGCCCGACGCAAGTACACATGTCAATGTCATATACTTCTCGCTATGTGCTTCTTTGAATGCACTGGTTGTCATGGTTGTACTCGCTCTGGATCGAGAGAAACCTGGAGAAAACGGTGGGAGGCCCATCGAGCCCGACCCGAGCCCGGGGGTTTTGGACAGCCGTAAAAACAAGCATTTGGACTATAGAAAGATATAATCTTGGTTGAGCAATATATATATAAATATTTTATTGTACATTTTGTAAACATTGTTGGTTTTGCAGTACATTATATGTTAAATGAATATTTTTTAGTCAAACTGGTGGTATTTTTGTACAATTTTAAGCTGTTTACTGAAGAGTCACAAACTCCGAAGCCGCTGGCGACGGCCCGGCGGCCTCCATTCACCTTCTATCCTCGTCCCTCTCCCTTCTCCACGTCAGCACTCTCCTCTCCTCTCCTTCTGAGGGAACACACGGGCGCCATGTCGTTCCTTCGAGTATGGCCGGTGCCCACGCAGACGCCTCCGTACCTGATACACACGTGGCTGCCCACGCCAGAGCTGCCCACCGACGCCGTAGTCACTCCACCCACCCACACCACAGTCAACACCATCACCCACCTCGAGGAGGCCTTTGCCGATGCCTACCTTGCCTTCGCCAACCCGGACGCCGCCAGCCTCTGCCTAACGGCTGCAATGGCTTCCGGCGCCTCGCTCGAGATCGCTGGTGTCGACCTCTCACTTGCTGTCGTCGCTGCTGATGAGCTCCCCCTCTGCGCCGTCCACCTCTACCGCGGTCCACCACAGCAACCAGCAAGCTCTACCCGTCCTCCCGTTCCACAACCAAACGTTCTTGCTGCGCTCGCTGCTCGGCGTCGGCCGGCTGCTGCCCCGGATCCCCCACGCCTTGTCGCGCCGCCGTCGTTGGCTGTCGCGCCGCCTCGGCGCCGCACACCCCCTCCGCTTCCGGAACCCGACGACGCCGCTCAAGCCCCAGCAACAATTCCCAACCTTGAGTGTCTCACGCTAGACACACTTCTTGTCATGGCTGCATGGCTGGATGTGGCCGAGCCGCCGCTGCCCTCAGTGGCTGCTCCCATCGCGCCGCGCGAGGCTGTGTGCACTCTCTGCTCGCGCCGGCTCGCCTCGCCCGGCCACTTGGCAATGCACGTAGCCTCGTCTCAGCTCCACGCCTGGCACTTGGCCCAGGCACGTAAGCGCCGACTTGCCCGCGCCATTCTCACCCGTCTCATCTCGCCTCCACCGGCCCAGGTCCACCGCCGTCAGCTACCTGCGCCCATCGCCGAGGCTCCGCCGCCGGACCACCTGCGCGGCATTGGCGCGTCCATCATGGCGCGCCTTGGCTGGCAGCCCGGCTCAGGGCTCGGTCGACAAAACAACGGACGCGTTGACGTCGTAACTCCTGTAGTTCGCCCTCCGGGACTTGGCCTCGGTGCAAGCTCCCGGGCATCGTCGCGATCGAGTCACGGTGGCGCTGTACGAGCCCAAGTGCGGACCCGACTCGGCCTACCGCAAGCCAAGCCGCAGTCTGTTGCGTTTACCACTCCAGCCGCTTACTGCCAGTTGAACACGTCGCCCGACGACGCGCCCGACGACGCGCCTGGCGACGACGGCCAAGCGCCCGTCTGAGGCTGCGACGTTGACGGAAACGCCAGCAGGTCCGGCGCCGTAGGCGTTCCCGTCGGAGTTGTGGGCCACGGCGCGGCCGACGAGTTTCGCCTTGGCGTCGCGCCGGCCGCCGCGATTGACGCCTGTTCCAGCGCCACCAGCGAGTTGTACGACGCCGGCCGCTTGACCGCTGTTGGACTGGGCGAGCTCGGCCATGCCCCGCCCGATGCCGACCGCCGGTGCCCGCTCGTCTTGGCCACTGGCAACGGAAAGCCCAACACCGAGCCCACGGTCGAGCCCTCACTGGGCGGCTCGCTGCCAAACGCCGAACCAAATACGGCATCGAGGTGGCTGGTCGGCGTTGCAGGTTTGCCCACGCCCGATCCGCTCAACGATTCGTCGCCAAACATGCCGTACCCTCCTTCGACAGCCAGCTCTAACCCTCCCATGTCGCCCGAGTCGTCAAACTCGTCGTCCGACGAGTCCGGATCAAAAGCAAAGATGCGTGAGAGTAGGCTCGAGACCCGCGAGCCGCTCGCCACGGCCGCTCCGACGTCAGCAGGAAGCTCGAGCAGGCGCTCCACAGATGGCAGAAACCGAGCCTGCCCGACTCCGCCCACCAGCGCGCCCACCAGCGCGTCGTACTGCGCCTCCGACCGCGCAACCACCGCCGCCGAAATTCCTGCCGCTCCCGCAATCCTGTCCAGAATCGTCCGCATCGCCTGAAGGAGGAGAAAAAGCTCCTCGACCAACGGCACAAGCGCTCCTTGCAGCGTCTCGGTTACTGGTGACGTCTGCAGCGCAAAGACCGCACTCATCACCCCGCTGCACATGGTGCCCAGTCGTGCCAGCTCGCCCACGTGCGAGCACGAGAACACATTCGTACCTCCGGTCGGCACCTCCCCGCCGCGCCCCGCAATGTCGTCCAAGTACGTGTCAAGCCGATAGTTGGCCGGAACCGCCGCCCGCTTGGCACACGCCCGCAGCTTGGCACTGAGAAAGTCAATGTAGCTCCCAACCATCCCCGCCCCGCCCCCAGAGCCCAGAGCCCGCTTGAGCTCTGAGAGCCCCGCATGAACCCGACTCTTGCTCGCCTCGGCCACAAAGCCACTCGCTCCGCTCAGCAAGACGTGATGAAGGAGAACAAGCGCGTTGGCCGCGCTACCACTCCCGCCACGCACCTCGGGCAGTGTTGCGAGCGCGCCCAGCAGCTCGCCCGCAAACGCCCCGCCCCGCCGCTCAGCCTCAACGCATGCGCTCCGCACAATCCGCGGCTCCGGACCGGGCGCTCCCTGAGCCCCATATTGTGCCGCCGCACGAACCATCCGCGCTCCCGCGGGCTCGGCTGCCGAGTCGACGCCGGCCACACCGGCGCGCGCAGCGCCCGAAAACACGTCCGAGTCGGCCCGGACAAGCAGCGGAGGCGGTGCTGCCACTCCTTCTGCCGCACCTCCTCCAGCAACTCCTCCAAAGTCCCACCCATCCAGCAATCCGCCGCTGGGCTTGGCAGCCGACACACTAGCCGTTGGAGCTTCAGCTGCCGGGCTCGGCTCAAACGCTGATCCCGCCGGTGCCCCAAACGCAGCCTCGAAGTTGTCAAATGTCGCCGCAAAGCCCGTCGTCACAGGAGGCGTAGCCTGACTCTCGGTTCCGGTCTCGGTTACGGGCCAGGCAGCAGCAGCCCATGCCGGCGATGTCGCTCCGGCCGGCCCTGCCGCTCCCGGTGACGGCACGGCGCCAGTGCCTGGCCAGGCTGCTGAGGCCGCGCCGGGCGCCCCAAACGTCATCCCCGCGTTGAGCATCCCGTTTTCGCCTGAGAGCTGCGGCACGACCACGCTTGGGTTCTTACCACCTCCACCTCTTGGCGATGGCGGCTGGGGCGGGCAGACTCGCGACCGCGACGCAGGCCGCTCACGCTCTGGTGCCGGCGAGCCAGGGGCACGGCCACCGGTTGACGAGCCTACAAGCTCAAAGATGCTCGACCGAGGCGGAGGACCGCCGGACTTGCCCGAACCACTCGACTCACCGTTGCTACCGCGAGATGACGACCCTCGCGAAAAGTCATCCTCGGGCGGGGGCGGACGCGGAAGAACCCGCTCCAGTGGCGCAGATCGCCCCAAAAGTGCGCAGACCGCGTCGAGGACATCAAACACGTCCGGCCGCTCGTACGGATTGGGCACGAGAATGAACTCAATAAGATTGTGCAGTCGCACAGAGTACGGTGACCGCTTCGGGATCTTGTACGAGTTGTTGAGAATCGCCAGCCGCGAGTCCTCAAACGGCGACTCGAAGAACGCAATCTTATACAGCGAGACGCCGAGCGCCCACACATCCACCTGCGTGTCGATTCGCTGCCCACGGTAGAGGTCGAGCATCTCTGGCGCCCGGTACGCCAGCGTCGTTACCGCGTTGAACTCATCCTCGGCGGCATTACGCTCCCGTGCAGTCCGCGGCGTCACCACTCGGGTTGTCGCCGATCCAAAGTCACAAAGCTTCCACTTGGTGTCGTCGCCCAGAAGCAGGTTTTCAACCTTGAGATCGCGATGGATAAGCGGCGGATCCAGTGAGTGCAGAACTGCTACGGCAGTCACCATCTGCGCAAAGATCTCCAACACCTGCGTCTCCTCAAACGGGGCACCGCGCCGCCGGTTCATCTCGGACACCAGGTGGCCCGACGAGCAGTACTCCATCAAAATGAGAAACTGGGCGTCGCGGCCGTTAGGATGAACTTCCTGCGTCGAGCCTAGGTACCGCACAATATTCTTGTGCCGCGGCAGCGACGCCATCAGCTCGATCTCGCGCCGGATGTTCGCAGCTTCTTCGCGGCTGCCGGCTGTCAGCTTCTTCAGCGCATACTCTCGCCCGCTCTGTGTCTCGCGGACAAGCACAACCTCCCCAAAGCCACCTACCCCCATAAGCCAAACCAGCGCGCTTACTGCATGAGTCTCTCCGTACACCTGTAACCTCTACCCTTTGCCCTCGGGCTGCCTCGTTGCCCTCGGAGAACCGCTCTCACCAGCGAACACCAACAGCGGGTGCGTGGCACCACCCCTCCTGCATGCCCGCCCCGTCGCCAGCCTCGTTTGCCCCACAAACACCCCTTACTTACCCTTAGCAATGTGCTCGACTTCCTCAACCTGCCTGCGCCCAATCTGGTACACAGGCGAGGTACCCAGCTTGCGCAGGCGCGACTTGAGGAAATTCATGTTCTTGCCACCCGGGTGCCAACCAACGTGCTTGACGGCCAAGGAAAGAGACGGATGTGCCATGTCACCATCATCGCCACGCCACCACCCGATCGTTTTATGCCACGCTGCACACATGCAGGGGGAAGGAAGATACTTGACAAGAAACTCTCACGGGATCTTGCCCTCGCGCCGCAACATGTCGATGCGGAACTGCGACATGCCCGTGGTGTCGATCGGCGGCTCGACGCCCTCGCGCTCGGCCTCAATCTCGGCCTTTTGCTGGATGAGGATCTGATGATGCATACGCTTGAGCACTTCGTCCTTGGCGGCCTCAATCTCCATGTGGTTTGCCAACGCGGTGGCAACCGCGGGCGACGGTGCGACCTCGGGCTCACGCTCCTTGACCGCTCCAACGAGTGCGTACGGGTCGCGCTCAACAACAGAGCTGAGCATCCGCTTCTTCTCGTCCCGTCCCGCGTCATCAGACATGGCCAGCGCCACGGGCGCGGAGCTGGCTTCGTCAACCTCTTCCTTGCCCTTGCCCTTGCCCTTGCCATTGGCTGCATCGCCATGGTCCTTGGCCTTGACTGTCACCTTGGCCGGTCGCCCGTCAGCCTCGGCTGGTGCAACACCCATGTAGCTGGCCACTGCGGCGTCGTCAGTGACGTCGATGCCCTCGGCCTCAGCCATCGCCTCCAGAGCTTCCAGCTCCTCCATCCGCTTGCGCATCGCCGAGTAGCTACTGCTTGTCGAGCCAATCGCTGGCGCCGGCTCGCCCGTCGACGACGGCGCGGCAGGCACCGACAACCCGGTTGCATCCTTGTCTTCCTCCAGCGGCTCGCGAATCTCGAACACTCCAGCGCCACGCTCGAGAACCATCGGCTCAGTCACATCCAGCGGCGCAGTCAACGCAGCATCGACTGCATCCTGCGACATCCCCAGTGCCGCCAGCATGTCCCGCGTCCGCTTCTCGCTGCTCATCGTCTCGGGCACAGCGCTCCCCGCTCCGCTTGCCGCGCTCGACGCCGGCTTGTCTGCAGAGTCAGCTTTCGGCTTCAAAGCTTGTCCGGGCTTGGCAACCGGTTCGGACGCCGGCTTGGCAATCGTATTGGCGACCATCGTCCGCTCCGCTACCAGTGCCGCGCCGAGACCCGCACCCAGGGCGTCCAGACGCCGCTCAATCATTCCACGAGCATGTGCCGCCGACACCTCGACCACTGTCTCGTCCCCCAGTGAAACAAGGACCTCGTTTGTTCGCACCAGGGTGCCGGGGACCAGAACCATACCCGTGGCGTCGAGCGGCACCATGATGCTGTGCCGGATCTTCCGAGGCGCCTCACCCAGCACCGCGTGCGTCGCCCGCAGCTCCTCCACGTCAGTTGTCATAAGAGACGACATGGCTGTGCTCTGTTATGTCCCTGTCTTGGCCTCCGCTTGTAATCTGTGGCTCGACTTGCTTCTTAGTCGTGTGTTGCTTGCAAAGCCCTGTTCCACACACAGGAAGCTTGATCAGCGCTCACACGAACACCAACAGCGACGCGATTGTCACACAATCTCTCGTCAACACGTTGTCCACCATCTCAAGTACGGAAATCATTCCGTATTCCATCAAACCATTCCACACACAAGATCAACCACCCCCCTCCTTCTCTTCTCCAAACCCAGTGATCCTTTAGACGCTCCCTCCCCCCTGCTTGGCCTCTTTTCATCGATCAATTCTCTCGCCTTTCACGACTTCGTTCCTTTGCCTTCCACCGCCCACCCCCACCACGACTGGGACCACTAGGCACCACACTCCGCTCTTCAACCTTCCACTTACAATCATGGACATGTTCGACATGTTCGACCTGTTTGGGGACGACAAGCCCAAGGGAGGCTCTTCCAGCAAGGCGAGCGGGCCAGCGCCGCCCCGCCTCGTGGCGACGCCGGCCTTGTCGGTCTGCTGAACCAGGGCACGACGTGCTACCTCAACTCGCTTGTCCAGGCCATTTTCCACACACCAGAGTTCCGTTCTGCGGTCTACTCACTCGGGTTTGATGAGTTAGGCGCCGACGCCGACGTGCTGGCCGGGTTTGAGGCCGAGGCTTCGGGTGCGGTGCCTGACGTTGCCGGCTCTGCCGAAGAAAGCGCCGAGGACAAGCTCGCGAAGCACGCCGCCAACATCGAGACACTCATTGGCTTTGGGTTTGAGCGCGCTGTTGTCGAGTACGGTGTCCTGCATGCGCCAAACGCAGGATCAGTCGAGCAGCTCCTTGACTACATCTCATCGGAAGAGGTGCAAGCGGCGGCAATGGCGGCAGCTGCGGCTTCTGCGGAAAACGATGATGGCGACAACGGGAGCAAGAAGAAGAAGAAGGTGCGGAAGATCCCGCTGCAGCTGCAGCGGCTCTTTGCACACCTACAGCTATCAGACGAGCAGGCCGTCTCGACCTCGCTTCTGACCGAGTCGTTTGGCTGGGGTGGGTCGTCGGTTGTCATCCAGCATGACGTCCAGGAGCTCAATCGGGTTCTCTTCTCCGCCATCCAGTCTCACCTGCGCAAGACCTCGCAAGAAGACCTCATCCCCTCGCTCTATCAGGGGCGAACCGTTGATGTTCTCCAGTGCATGGAGTGCGGAACCGCGCGCGAACGCGAGGAGGTTTTTCTCGACGTCTCTGTCATTGTCCAGCACTGTGCCACCCTAGAGGATTCTCTCACCTGCTTTGCTGGTTTTGAGGAGATGGATGTCCCGCTCTCGTGCGAGACGTGCGGAAAGCGAACGCCGACCATGCACTCGACTGCCTTTCGTGCTATCCCGCCCATTCTCACCATTTCGCTCAATCGCTTCACCTGGAAGGGTGGTAAGCGGGTCAAGCTCAACTCACGATCTGCCTTTCCTCTTGTCCTCGACATGGCGCCATACATGGACAACGATGCTGCTCGCTCTTCGTTGCGCAAGCGCCACGAGAAGTTGGAGGCCCGTCGTGCGGAGATGCGGGCCAAGGAGGAGGCTCGTGCTGCTAAGGATGCTGCAGCTAAGAGCGGCAAGAGCAAGGGCAAGGGCAAGGGCAAGGGCAAGGGCAAGGGCAAGGACAAGGGCAAGGGCCAAGGTCAAGGCAACGGCAAAGACAAGGGTCAAGATCAGGGCAAAGACAAGAGCAAGGAACAGACACTGAGCCCGGCTCCCGTCCAGGCTCCTAGCCAGGCTCCTTGCCAGGCTCCTAGCCAGGCTCCTAGCCAGGCTCCCAGCCAGGCTTTGCAGACCTCGGACCACAATCCGGACAGCGATGGTTCTCCCATTGTTGATGTTGTTGAGCCTACACCGGGCTCCTGCGCTCCTCGTCCGGTATCGGCCTCTACTCTTAAGGGAAAAGAGCCAGAGAACGCTTCCGCTTCCAAGCCCGACTCAGCCCCTCCCGCTCCCAAGCGCGTTAAGGACCACCCGCTGCCGAAGCTCTACTCTTCGTCCAAGATCAACATGGAGTCCGAGCATCTCTACGACCTCTTTGCTGTTGTCATCCACATCGGCGGCGCGTATGGCGGTCACTACCACGCCTACATCCGCGACTTTCTCGACGACGGTGACTATCCGTTCACCAAGGCAGAGAATTTGTCCCCCTCAATGATTGCCGAGCTCGAGGCCTGCGGACAGTGGTACGACTTTAACGATGCCGACGTCTCCGCCATTCATCCGCGCGAGATTGGGACCCAGTATGGTGGTCAGAAGCGGAAGGAGTCGGCGTATATGCTTCTCTACCGCTCGCGCAGCCAGGTCATCGACACCGCTGCACTCACGCTTCAGCCTCATGGGCACTGGCGCGAGCTCATTGCTGCCAACAACGCCGCCCGCGTCATTGCCCGCAAGGCCTACGAGCACGCTCAAAACCAGATCGACATTACTGTCTACACCCCGCATTTGTTGTCCATTGCCGATGACGGCTCTATCTGCAACGCCAGCCTCCAGGCAAGCCTCGCCGCCCGTCGTGACCTGGCTGCCCAGCTCACCGCGCTCGAAAAGGCCGAGAGCGAAGCTACGTTCTTTGCCGGCTTTGACATGTTTGATGGCGAGTCGGACGAAGGCAGCGACGGCGATGACGCCGGCTCGCTTGTTGAGGACACTGCCATGACTGTCAAGGATTCGATTCGGGTCCAGCTGGCCGAGCTTGATGCTGTCATCAACAAGGCAAACGAGGGCAAGATCAAGCTCACCTTTGATCGCACCTTGTCGCTCGCGAGTTTCAAAGATGCGCTTGCTGAGGCGCTTGGTCTCTCGCGCGCCGAGCTGGACTCTACCCATCCGCGTCTTGACATTGTCCAGGTTGTGGATGCCATGTTCAAGCTGGTCAAGGTTGTTGAGGCTGATGAGGGTGAGTTGTCACCGTCACTCTGTGATGTCGGCATTGATGGCCCAGTCGAGCTCTTGGCGTGGACAGGGACCGAAGTCAACGGTGTGGCATACTCGGGCTCGTTGCCAGATGTCAAGCGGGTGCGCGATCTGACCTTTGACGTCACCTACTTTGTGGCTGGTGAGCCGATGACCAAGTCAACCTTTTCGGTGACTATCAGCTCGGATCAGACCGTCAGCGCGCTCAAGGCGCTTGTTGCTGGTTCGACCACGCTTGCAGCCAACGACCTCTTGCTCTGCAAGTACGACGCCGTCGGCATCCGTCCACTCACCAACCCGGGCCGGCTTGTCGACGACGAGCTCAGTGGCGTGAAGAAGCTGGCCGCCGAAGCCTTGGTTGGTCCGGTCTACCGGCCTGACTCACTGGCCATCGAAGAATACGAGCTGCTCTCTTCGCAGCTTACTCTGGCCATCTGGGACGGGGTCTCCGGACCGTCGGCGGCCTCGGCCGAGCCTGATGAGCGCATCACGTGGCCCATCACGCTCTCCCACCACCTCACGGTTGGTAGTCTCCTCGACCGTCTTGCTGCCGAGCTCGTCGAGCGCGGGACGACCGCGGCCGAAGGCGGATGTGGTGTCGACCTCTCGTCGCTCACGGGAGCAAAGCTCCAGATTCGCAAGGTGGTGAGCGGAGCGTTCCCCGGCCCGGTTGTTCGCAAAACTAAGGCAACACTGCTGGACGTCGGAATCGAGTCTGGCCAAACGCTGCTTGTTGAGCCCGCGACTGAAGACCGCGATGACATTGCGTTGCAGTTTGTCGTCCGCAAAGCCCGCAGTCGAGAGGCCATCTCATCCTCTGAGACTGTCTACACCGTCGTTGTGCCAGCAACAGCCAAGATCTCTGCAGTCAAGTCGCGAATGGCGGCGCTGGCAGGCGTCTCGCCGAAGGGCTACCGGTTGCATAAGACGAACGTCAGGCGCGAGGTGACTCGCAGCGGACAGCTGAACCAGAATCTGGGACTCGTCGACGCGCTCTCGCTGGAGCCAAACGACTTGGTCGTTCTGGAGAAGGGCAAGGAGGCGAAGAAGGAGACTCAGATCTCGATCTCACTCGTCAACTTTACCGGCCTCCCGTCTGGAGCGCCGCCAGTTGTCGTTGCCGGCGATGCATCCAAGAGCGACGGTGACGACGACAACGACGCTTCCTCCGCGACGCCGGAAGAGCCACCGACGTGCGAGCTCGGGCTCTTTTCGCCAGCATACTACCTGCAGAGAAATAGGTTCGACACCCGTGGCCACTCGCTGTTTGAAGAGATGGGCGAGGTGGTGCTCTCGTCGCGGTCGACACTGCTCCAGCTCAAGGCTGCAGCGGTGCCGGACGTGGATCCGAACCAAGTGCTCGTTTCTCACAGGCAAGCCTGCAAGTCGGCAACAACAAGCAGGTCTCCAAGCTAAGCAACAGCTGCCTCTCAGTTCATGTTGTCGACGCACCGTTGGTGGTCACCAAGGCGTCAACGCTGATCTACATCTACAAGGTGGCGGATGTTGCGGCGCCGTTTGAAGCCGTCGGTCCGGTGGTGGTGGCCAAGGATTCGTCGTCCAAGACTGTGACCGCAGCTGCGCTTGCGGCAGCCATCGAGACTGCCTACCCAAGTATCACTGCCAGTGCGGCGTCGGCCCGGCTGGTCAAGTACCACCACCGGAGCAACAGCTGGACGCCGCTCCCTCCAACGGTCCACCACGCCGCAGCGCATCAGACGGTTGTCGCCGCTGCTCGGGCCGAGGACGCCGGCGAGGAGGCTCCAGCCTCGGTCATTGACGCCGACGAGCGTGGGCTCGCTGACTGCATCCTTCGAGCGCCGTACGTAGTTCGGCACGGCGACGTGGTGGTGGTGGTGCCCGGGTGCGATGATGATGTCGAGGCGTTTGTGGCTTCTCGCACAGGCGACCTCTCTGCGCATCGGCAGCCCAAGCCCAAGCCGCGTAGTCGCGGCGGCGACAATGGGCCGGTCTCGTCAACCCGCAAGGCTTCAGCCCGTATGCGGTATGTGGAGCACGCGCTCACCATCGCCGAGTTTGACGTCGACTCGTCGTCGTCCTCGGGCGACGAGTAAAATGTCCAGTAACCGTCACCTGACGCCGTTGCCGGGACATGCGGCTGCGAGCAGCGGAGGCACGGGCGCAGCGGGCAAGCCTGGGACTGGATCCAAGGACAGGATGCCCGACGAGCAGCAGTGATGACGAGGACGAGCTTTTGCGCCGCAGACGCCAGCATGCAGTGTACGGCCAGTCATCGGCAGTGGTGGCGTTGGCAACCGGGCTGGCCACCCCGGCGCCCGGCAGCGAGCTCCGCACTCAAAGTCGCCGGCCCGGCCAGGTGGGCTACGGCGCGTGGCGCGTCGACGAACCAGAAGCTCACGCCGCAGTTGTCGGCCGTGGCTGCTTTAGCCGCGAGGCTGAGGCTATGGTCCGCAACGGCTGGGTCATGGTCGAGCCTGGCGCGCCGGCGTGGCAGCCGCACCCGGACACGGGCGGGCACGCGGCGGTTCTCGTTGCCCGCTCGGCTTCGCGTGGCGGCGAGGCCGCATCGGACTCGGGGCGATCGGCCACGTCAGCAACGACAACGACCGCCGACCACTGAGCTTTTGAGCGGGTGGAGATGTTTAGATCATTTGCCTACCTACTAGATCATGAGCGGCCCGCGCGAGGCAGCAGACTTGAAGCGGTTGCGAAACGGAGCACTGGAGCGGGCCTTGGGCTTGTTGAGCGCATCAGCAGTAAAGTTGGCTTTGGCCTCAGTGACGTAGATCTCGCTCGGCGGTGGGTCGTTGGGCTCACGAACAAGGGCGCGGCCGGCCATGCCCGGCTGGTCGTACCAGGCACGGCGGGAACCGCGCTCCTTGTGGGTGCGAGCAGTAACCTCAGATGGCGCACCGTGGGCAGTGGCCGGGCGCGGCGAGTGCGAGACTGGATCTGGGACCGCGGAAGCCATGATCTGGTAGGTGGAACGGTAGTCGGTTGGCTCGTCGACGACGTACCGCTTGAGCGGCTGGTGGCGGTACGCCACGCCAGAGTATTCGACCATTTCGGAAGGGGTGTAGGTGCGGAACTCGGAGGCGTACTGCGACGGGCCAGTCTTTTCGAGCTCAACGAGGTAGCGGTCCATCGGCCCGGGTGGGTAGCCAAAGGCGTTGAGCTCCTGTGGTGAGCGCGGCCTGGGTGCTGCCGCCTGTGCTGTTTGCGGGCGTGCCGGCGGCGCCTGGCGTGCGGCCTGCTCCTCGGCTTGAGCTGCCTGCCTGCGTGCTGCAGCGGCCTGCTCCTCTTGCAGCCGAGCAACAAGATCAGACGACGAAGATGAAGGCTGTGAGTGCAGTGCGGCAGCCACCGAGTAGCCGTGCGACGACGCGGCGCGGGAGTTGTACCCGGCAGTCGAGTCGTCGACGGTGCGGGATGGCGTCTCCATACCTGCGTCCCAGTAGGCCTGGGCGTTGTGTGCCTCGGTGGCGTACGGGGCAGTAGCGTGCGGCGGCGAGCCGGGCGGGGCGCGATCGTGGCCAGCGTAGTGGCGCATGCCGCGGGTGTGTGTTCGAGCCCGGCGAGCAGCGTCAAGCTCGGCAGCCTGCGCGGCGCGGGCAGCTGCGTCGGGTCGCGAGTTGGGTGCCCACACCAACGGGTTGTGGTCTGCGTGCCAAAGATCTGCATTGGGCGCGTCAGCGGCGGTCATCCTGCGCTCGGCGTCGAGCGCAGAGCGGTGGCCAAAGCCGTAGTCCACCTCCGGCATGGCTTGGCGCGCAGTGGTATCTCTGTCACTGACATACGCCACGTCGTACGGCGCGGTAAATCCGGGCTCAGTGGAGGCATATGGTGAGGTGAGATATGCCGGGCGGTCATCGCCGGGCACATGACGCCGCTCGCGGGTCCTCCGCGCTTGTCTGTTGGCAGTCTCGAGGCAGTCCAGCTGCGGATCGTAGTCGCGCGCGCCAGCCGGGCGCCAGACTAGCGGGTTGCCCGACGATGCGTGCGCGTCTCGGACGGCAACGGTGCGTGGCGGTGGCGTGGCCGCGCGGTTGGCCGCCGCCCGGGGCGCGGGAGCGGCAGTAGCAGCATAGTAGTCGTTGTGCTGGCCGTAGTCGTAGTCGTTGTCGTTGTGCTGACTGTAGCTCGTGCTGTATCCAGCAGCAGGGCCAGGGGCCGGGGTGGGCGCCACACCACGGTCTGCGTCCCACCGTTGCGGCGAGTAGGCTGCGTCGGTGGCAAAGGGGGCCTGGGCGGACTGTGATGGGCAGAGGGTGGGGAGGGGGGGGGGGAAGAGGACGTGAGTCGTGGTGGGGTGGGGTCGGGGGCCGGGGGCGGAAGGGGGAAGTGGGAGGGCGTACAGCCATGGTGTGTGGGTGTGGGGTGGGTGGCTGTGGCTAGAGGGAGTGAAGCCAAAGGGGGTTGTGGTGGTGGGGTGTGGGTGATGCTGTGAGTGGGGTACCGGGGCCTGGGCAGGGGTGAGGCTATGGGGTGTGGGCATGCTGGCGCGCTGCAGGTTGGGGGGGCGCCGGCGTGGCGGCGGGGGTGGTGGGGCGACGGCAGGGCGCTTTGGCAAGAGGCGCCTTTTCGACTGATGATGCCTTTGTCGGAAAGATGGTAATTGGAGGGGGGGCGACGGTGGGTCTCGCCTCTACTACGCCTGGTCTTCCAGGACAGCGTTAACAGCGCGCTCGTAGAGCTGAGCGTTGGACGACTTGAGCGAGTCGATCTCGGCCTGAAGGGCGTCGATGAGGGCAGATTGGTCGTTGGTGATGACTGCGGCCTTGTCGGTCAAGGCGCGTGGGATGGAAAAGAGGGAGGGGGTAAGCGAGGGTGCGGACGGGGCGACTGGAAGAGCCATGACGCCAGTGGCACCGAGCGACTGTGAAGCCGAGGCGGCAGCGGCCGAGGCGCCAGCGCCAAGCGTCCGCTTGAACGGGGCCAGCGGGAGGAGGCGCGAGGCGTCCGAGGGTGCTAGCGCGTCTGCGGCCGGCGGCAGAGCCGAGACTGAGAGCGCGAGGTCGCGCAGATGCGGCGGGCGCATGATGACGCGGAGGTTTGTGACCGGGCCCATGTGCTGGGTGTACGAGCGGATCTGCTGGCGGGTCGCCGCATCCCACACCAGGATCTCGCCGTCAGCGGCACCGGAGACCAGAGTGTGGCCATCGAGGGAAAAGGCCAGGGCAGTGACCTCAGCCGAGTGGCCGGCCATGGTGTGGACAGCTGACGCGTCGAGGTCGAGGAGGACGGCGGCATCGGGCGCCAGCGGCAGCCAGTACACATGCCCATTGGAGCCGCCAACCGCAACCGCGCTTTCGCATGGGTGCAGCGCTACGGCGTTGAGTGCGGTGGGGAGGAGGATCGACGCCGCGGCCTTGCCCGTCAGCATGTCCCACACCTTAAGTGTGCGATCGGCCGAGACCGAGACCAGGCGCGCGGCGCGGCCGCCGAGGCCCAGCGCCACGTCGGCGACACCGAGAGAGTGGAGGGTGAGGAGGAAGATCGGCGCAGGCGGCGCGGCGTCGTGGCTCCGCGGCGCGAGCAAGTCGGGCCAGTCCCACACCGCGATGGCGCCGTCGTCACCGGCCGAGATCAGGACCGAGCCGTCGTCAGCAAGGACGAGGGCTGTCACGGCCTTGTAGTGTGCCTCGACCGACGCCAGGAGAGTACCTGTCGCCGTGTCCCATGCCATTAGCGTTCCGGTCGCCAGACCGGCCACAAGATGCGAGCCGCGGGCGTCAGCCGCCAGCGCTGAGGCCATGGCCGGGAGCACCGACTTGGTCCCCACCTGCTCGCGGGTCCACGAGTACGCATGCAGCATCGGCTTGGTCGCCAGCGACGCCACGGCATAGTGACCGCGGATAAGGGCCAGGCCGCCGCTCGCCACCGGCGCGTGCTTGAAGGCCAGCACTCGGGCGCCCGAGCCCAGCTCCCAGGCATGCATGGTCGGCGCGTCTGCCCGCGACGACTCTTCTGTCGAGACCACGATCTGGTCCATGGTGGGTAGGGGGTAGGGGTAGGGCTAGGGGTAGGGCGGAGGAGGTGGAGTGGGGTGGAGAAGTGGTTGTGGGTGTGGCTGGAGTGGCAGCCGTCTCTGACTCCCTGGTGTGGTTGCTGTCTGTCCCCGCCGTGTGATGGATGGATGGCATCTTCCTGCCGACTGCCGATTGGGTCTGCCGCCGATTGCGCCTGCCGCCCACCGATTGCGCCTCCCGCTCACCGTTTGCGCCTGCCGACTGCCGCCGATTGCGCCCCTCGCCTACCGATTGGGCTGCCGCCGATTGCGCCCCTCGCCTACCGTTTGCGCCTGCCGACTACCGCCGATTGCGCCTGCCGCCTACCGATTGCGCCTGTCGACTGCCGCCGTTTGCGCCTGCCGCCTACCGTTTGCGCCTGCCGACTACCGCCGATTGCGCCTGCCGCCTAACGATGCGCCTCCCGCCCACCGCTTGCGCCTGCCGACTACCGCCGATTGCGCCTGCCGCCTACCGATTGCGCCTACCGATTGCGCCTGCCGACTGCCGCCGATTGCGCCTGCCGCCTAACGATGCGCCTCCCGCTCACCGTTTGCCCCTGCCGACTGCCGACACGCACCTCGCTTGCTCTCCCAGCCTTTACCCTTCTCTCTCTCTCTCTCTCTCTCCCCCCCCCCTCCCCCCCTTATTGCTATGGACACCCTCCGCACCTCCTCGCCCTCTCCGGGCGTCATCCACATTGAACTCAACCGCCCAAGGGCCCTCAATGCCATGAACCTGGCCTTCTTTGACGACCTCGCCGCCGTCATGGCAGACGTCGCCAGGGACCGATCCGTCCGTGCTGTCGTTCTCTCTGGCGCAGGCAAGGTGTTCTCAGCTGGCTTGGATCTGAAGGAGGCGGCTGCGGGCGTCTTTACCTCGGGCGGCCGCCGCAGGCGCGATGGCGAGAGCGACGATGACGACGAAGAGGACGACGGTGGCACTTCCGACGTCGCTCGCCATGGCCTCGCCACCCTCCGCGACATCGTCGCGCCGTGGCAGGACGCGTTTACCGCCGTTGCCGAGTGCCGAGTTCCGGTCATCGCTGTTGTCCATGGTGCGTGCGTAGGCGGTGGCGTTGACCTTATCTCGGCCGCCGACATTCGCATCGCCGCCGCCGACGCCTGGATCTCGGTGGCAGAGGTCAAGATCGGCATTGTCGCCGACCTCGGCACGCTGCAGCGTCTTCCGCGCATCATCGGCTCGGCTTCGCTTGTTCGTGAGCTTGCGCTCACCGGCCGCCGCATGGAGGCCGCCGAGGCCCATGCCGCTGGCCTCTTCTCCGCCGTTCACACGACCCGCGACGAGGCCCTCGCCGCCGGTCTCGACATGGCCGCATCCATCGCCGCACTCTCGCCGCTGGTTGTGGCCGGCACCAAGGACGTGCTCAACACGTCTGCCGAGCTCTCGGTGCAGCAAGGCCTCAAGTACGTGGCGACATTCAACGCGCTCGCCACCCAGTCACCCGACGTCGCCGCTTCGGTCATGGGCCATCTCACCAAGTCGGTGCCGGTCTTCTCCAGTCTCTGACGCGCGCCCCGCTCCACTCAGCGGCGCGTTTTGTACGAGGCAATATCGTCGTTGGTGACTCCTGGAGGCAGCCCACCGCCGGCTTCGTGCAAGAGGCTCAAAGGACTCGCTCTCCCGCCGCGCGAGAGATACGTCGCCCACACCAGCGGTTCCGAGCCGCGCAGCGAAACCTGGCGCAGCTCGTCGAGCGTCGCCCACGCTGCGCCCGCAGACTGAAAGTCCGGCACCGTCTTGGGCCGTTGGTTCGGGTCTTCGACCTCGGCCAGAAATACGATCCGCTGCCGGACGTATCGCGGCCTCGGAAAGAACTCCATTCGGAGGATGCCAGTCAGGCGTACGTCGATGCCTGCCTCCTCGCGGGTCTCGCGCACCGCTGCCGCTGCCAGCCCCTCGCCGGGGTCCACCCGTCCGCCTGGCAACCAGAAGCCCTGATCGTCAAACTCTTGCACCACCAGGATGGCCCCGTCGACCGGTCGCACTACCACTACCAGCGCAAACGCGTACAGCAGCCCAGGTTGCGCGTTCTCCTCATGTGGTGGCAAGTGTGGCGGGTAGTGCTTGGTAAAGAGATGCACCGGAAACGGATCGTCCAGCCGCTTCCGAGGGCAGAGCGGGCATCGGCTGCCGCTGACTTCGTTGCGCTCAACCATGTGGAAGAGTGGGACGTGCGCCCAGAGCCCGAGCTCATCAAATCCGTTCACCCCGCAGAAAGGGCACGCAACGCCTTGATCTTCGCTACGCGCTGCTGCATCGCCACCTGCTAGAGTCAGCGCCTCGTCCAGCGCCGTAGCGCTGGCTGTCACCATAGCCGCCCCGCCGCGGCAGAGCGCAAGACGAATCTCTGCCGATTCGCTGCCCTCCTCGCTCCACACCACCCGCAGCCATCCGGGCTCTGTGCGCTTGACATGCACAAGAATCTGCAGCACACTCTGAACACTGGTCTCGCTAGCATCGGCCATCGCCACCACCAGCGCACCTGCAGCGCCTGCATCGGCGGCGGCTGCACAGGCGGCGGCCACAGCCTCGGCCGCTGCGCCGACCGCGCAGCACTCTCCTGCCCATGCCCCATCGATGACCTCTACTGCGCGCTTGACCTTCCCCGCTGCAGCCGACGCGCCCGACTCGCCAACAGCCACAATGCACGCCACAATGTTGCACGTCTTTGTGGCCGACATGGCTACTGACTTGGATGAGTCAGGTGGGGTGGGTGGGGTGAAGACAGCACAGCTTGACTGCTGTAGCTGGACCTGGCACCAGTGCTTTACCTTGACTCGCCCGACAAAGAGATTGCGCGCGACTACGATCGGCGAGAGAAGAGCGAGCGAATGGTGGTACGGTTGCCGCTGGACGCTCCTGCCTCGTCGGTGGTCACGTTGACGGCCTTAAAGTCGTCGGCATCGGTGGTGAGTCCGACCTCGACGCCGTCAAGGAGATGGTTAAGCCGCCGAAGTGCAGCGCGCGTGAGCTTCTTGATTTTGCTCCGGTGTTCGACATCAATCGGCAAGTCGATGGCTTCCGAGAGCGTCTCGACCGAGGTTTCGAGCTCGCCCTGGAGATACTCAAACAGGTTTTTCTCGGGCGAGTCTGGCTTGAGAAAGAATGCATAGGCGTAGGTAAACTGCAGGGTTTTGCGGCAGTAGAGGAGTGCCTCAACAGCGTCAAGCATGTAGCCGAGCTTGACGATCGAGTCGGGATGGGCCTTGCGGAAGGCGGCGATGTTGGCCACGGTCCTGGACCGGAGCTCAAGCTCGAGCTTGTGCGCATCACGATGGGCCTCGAATCGCGAGGTGAAGTGGAGCTGTCGGACGACGCCGATGCGCTTGCTGTTGCGATCGCCGGCGGTCTCGTCGCGGCCGCAGTGTGAGTGAGTCCGCCAGTCGCCGAGGCAGAGCCAGCAGAACTCGTGACCGCATCCGGTGACGCGGGTGCCGTGCCCGCCGCACGACATGTGCATGCAGCCCATGTTCTTTTCGATCGTCACGCCGCATTTGGGGCAGTCCTTGGTGTTGTTGAGAATCCAGGCCTTGTTGACGTTATCCTCGGCGAGGTGCTTGCCCCACTCGCGCATGTGCGCGCACGAGACTGGGACATGGCACTCTTCGTTGCACGAGGGGCAAAAGCGCCAGCCGCACGCACACAGTGCCTCGAGGGCAGACTCAACCTTGACCGCGTTCTCGCAACCGCCGGCCGGGCACCACACCACATTCTTGTTCGACGTCACAAAGTTCTGCAGCAAGAACCGCTGAAACTTGTCAAACACCGCCGCGTCAACGTACTTGGCCACAAACGCCTGATCAGCACGCACTCCGCACTCGCCGGCGGGGCACGGAATGCTGGCCACGTCGTTCTCGGTGATCTTGATCCGCAGGTACGACGACCAGCAGTCGCGACAGAGCGGATGCCCACATGAGAGCGCGGCCAGTTCTGCTGGATCGTCCAGAAAGCAAATGGCACAGGCAGCGTCGGCGCTGGCACTATCGCTAGCACCGGCATCGCCCGTGCCGCTGGCGGCCGCGCCGTTCTCGCCCTCGGACCACCCGATGGCAGCGAGAACCTCGGCCTCGCGGTCGACAAACTCCTCCATCATCCGGCTGGTGTCGTATCCGTAGTGATCCAGTAGGGTACGGGCCAAGAGCTCTGGCAAGCCAAGTACCGACTTGACCAGATCCAGTGCGGCTTGCTGCTCGGCGGCGAGCGAGCCGGGCGTCATGACCACGCCGCCCTTCTCGGCGTCAAGGTGTGCCGAGTCGTCCGAGTCTGACCCGCAGTCGGCAAAGGCAAAGGCCGGGCCCGAGTCGGCCGACATGCCCGAGAGCAGCGGCGAGAAGATGACGCCGTCGGTGACAAAGATGGCCTCGGACTCTGTTGAGATCGGCGCGTCGCTCGCGGTCCCGCTGCCGGCTGCTGTCGGCGCCCACGACACGGTCTGCAGGCTCAGCTTGACGCCCTTGTTGCGGCGCTTGTACAGCGGATCCAACTCCAGCGGCTTCACGACAACACCGCTGAGAGCCTCGTTCACTTGGTCGCTACTCGACCCGTCATCGTCCGAGATGTCCAGCGACGACGAGATCGAGTCGTCCGAGAAGAGAGCGTCGATGTTGCTGCCGGACCCACCGCCATGCACCCCGTCGCCACCACCACCACCAACGCCACTCGTCCTGGCCACCCGCAACTTGCGCCCCCGCCGGTCTCTTGTCTCTACTGGCATCGACAACACCTGAGCCTCGAGCTTCTCGTCTGACCCGGTCCTGTGCCCCACTTTAGCCATCCCGCCTGTTTGGGCGCACGGCGTCGAGTGTGGCCACCTGACCAACTCACTGCACGCTGACCGAAACACACGGACCTACCTTGGACAAAGGCCCCACATCGGCGCCATTGCTTCTGTCTTGGGGTACTTGGACCATCCGATGACGGTGATCTCATGCCATAGAGGCTTGCCAGACACGAAGGACTGTTTCATGGAGTGCTACCCTCCCCCCCATCCCCCCCCCCCCCCCCTCGCCTTCCACTCGCTCTGCTCCAACGACCCCGTGCTAGCAGTGAGCAACATGTTCCCCGGACTGGCTGTGGATGATGACCAGTCTTACCACCAGATCTCGATGAGCAGTTGCAGCCGGACCAGTTGCAGCTTGGCCAGTTGCAACTCGACCAGTTGCAGTCTGACCAGGCACAGCCGGAGCACTTTGTGCCCCATCGATGACGATACGGCAGATGCCCACTCAAGTGAGCTTGCGAATATAACCGTAAGCCAACGGAGTGTGGACACTCATCGCCAGGCACAGGCTTGAGACGGGAGCAGGTGCCAGGAAGAGACATCAGGCGGTACATCGACCAGCCTGTTAACCTCCACACTTACCTCCCCACCATCTTAGTCGGGTAGCCTGCGCTCAGCCATGGCGGCGCAGGCCTCGGCCATCTCGTCTATCCATGTGGCCACGGCGCCGTCGTTTGGCCACCCGCATGCTCCAGCTGACGCATCGTACTCGTACGAGGGTACGTAAAGGGGGGGGGGGAGGGACGAAGGCGGGGGTAGTGGGGAGGGGGGTCACTCATGGATATGGTGGGACCTGTGCGCTGTGCGGACGCTGTGGTAGAGTACTCGGAGTCGTCAGGGGTGGAGAACCTGCTGTCCGGGACGGCGACGGCGGCCAACACGACGACGGTGCCGCAGTCGCAGAAGCAGATTGTCTTTGCCACGCTGGACGATCCCGAGTACTCGGCAATTGCATTTTGGGTCAACGTCTTTATCCTGGTCCTCATTCTGGTCTCTACGGCCGTCTTTTGCGTCTCATCGCTGCCGCAGTACGTTGAGGATACGCCGTCGTCGCTGGTCTGGCTGGAGATTGTGTGTGTCGGCGTCTTCACCATCGAGTACGTGACCAAGCTCCTGACATGCGACAACGTGTGGCAGTTTGTCAAGGGTCCCATGAACATTGTCGATCTTGCTGCCATTCTCCCGTTTTACATCGAGCTTGCGCTCTCGGGCAACAACCTTGGCTCGTTTGCCGTCATCCGCGTCGTCCGCCTCACCCGGGTCTTCCGCCTCTTCAAGCTCTCCAAGTACTCCAAGGGCTTTGGACTAGTGACCCAGGCGCTGATGGCATCGCTGGACGCTCTCGGCCTACTTGTCTTTCTCTTCCTCCTCGCCGTTGTCTTCTTCTCGTCAGGCCTGTACTACGCCGAGCTCTCCGAGTCGACCTACGACGACGCACAGCAGCGCTGGATCCGCTCCGACGGCAAGGTCTCACCGTTCCAGTCGATTCCGGCGTGTTTCTGGTGGTCGGTTGTGACTATGACCACAGTAGGCTACGGCGACCACGTCCCGCTCTCGACCGCCGGCCGGCTGGTCGCGTCGGTGACCATGATCTCGGGTGTACTCCTCATTTCGTTCCCCATCACTGTCATTGGCTCAAACTTTGCCAAGGTGTGGACCCAGGAGAACGATGCGTCGCTCAAGCTACTGCAGCAGGGGTGGCCGAGGGCAAGTCGGCTGAGACGCTTGCCTACCTCGACTCGGAGCAAAAGCAGGTCATCAAGTCGCTTGCCGAGGTTCATGCTGTCCTCGAGGTTCTTCACACCAAGCAACACAACATTAACTTGGTGGTCCGCGCCCTCCAGGCCCGCCTCCACCAGGCTGGCCACCTCACATGAGACATCGCTGTGTGCACGTCTTTGACACTGCTGTCAGCACACACACAGGGAAAATCGTTAACAAACAGAGCTTTCGGGGGACTAGATCAAGCTTGCGGCCCGGCCCGCCAGGGCCCGAGTACACTCGACCACCACCGAGCAGATGTGCCATGTGATGGAACCGGTCCGAGCCAAAGATGAGCTCCGGCGTCGCGTCGGAATCGTCCGAGTTGTGGATGAGAAAGGTCGGCCCGCCAAACGATCCGGCGTCCACCACCCGCTGGGTGTTGGCCGCAAGCGCGTCCTTGATCCCAGACTCGCCCGTCGCCACCAGCAGTGCCTCGATGCGGTCAGGATCATCGACGCCGCCCTCAATCAGCGCGGCGCGAAGTCCCTCGTCCGAGATCATCTCCTTGCCCTCGCCGCCAAAGGTGCGCTTGTACATGGCGAGCGCAGCCGATACAACTTGTGGCTGACTCTGACCGGCTTGTGCTTCCTCGGCCGGCACCACCACCCGCGCCAGGCCGGTCTCCTTCTCCACCCCTCCCGACTCGAGCGCCGCGAGAGCGGTGAGCACCCGCTGGGCCTTGAGCGTGCCAAACATGACCTCGCGGAAGTTGTCGGGCATGATGACCGGCATGCCCATGATATCGCCGCTCCGCCGCACATCTATCTCCATGTACTTGGCCTTGGTCGGCACGTTGGCCGGCGGCGTGTTTTTGGTCGCCATGATGGCCCCGCCCAGAAAGAACGGCGTGTACGCCACGTTGAGCGCCCAAGCCCCGGCGTACCGCCTCACAATCTCCAGACCGAGGTAGGCATACGGCGAGACAACGTCAAAGAAGACCTCCACAGTGCGCGCCTGCATTGCCATCTTCCACACTTGGCTGTTACTAGCACAGTGGCCTCGAGTGCGGTGTGCTCCTTCCCCCTGTCGTCACGCCAGCTCACCATTCAAAGGCAAACACACTGTCACATTGGGCTGTTACTTGCATCATCATACTGGCACGACGTCGGGAGTGTAGCTGCTTCGCGCATCACTTGATGAGCCGGCCAAACTGGTCAAACCGCGCACTGGCGCTGCTGCTGCCGAGCGATTGCAGCGGGTCCGAGCGAAGGACGCCGGTGGTCGGTGCAGGACCGGGAGCCGGTCGGGCCGGAATCCGGGACTTGCCAGACATGGTCGGGACTGGCAGCGCAGACGCGGCGACCACTCGCCGCTTCTTCTTGACCCTCTTGCGCTGGCCTGTCCGGGATCCACTCGTCTGGCTTCCTGCGGCACTGTGGGCTGACTCGGTTGCCTGGGGAGGGGCCGGCGCCGATCCAGGCGCCGAAGAAGGGCGAGCAGCTCTCCGCGCGGCCATTTGCGCAGGCGTCTTGGCGACCTTGGACATGTTGACAGGGAGCCCAAAAGCGCGAGCGGCGTCTAGAGCTGGATCGCGCTTGCCACCGGCCTTGGTGGCCGCCAGGCGCGACGTGGTTCGCCGCTCGGCACGCCGCCCGCTCCTGGCCGTCGAAGTCTTGATCGTCGTCTGCAGGTCCTGGGTCGTCAGCACCGCGGACGATGCGCTCGACTCGGACGAGAGTGAGGTCGAGGCCGAGACTGCAGCTGTAGCAACCTGGCCGCGTTGCGCCGCCGTGCTCGTACCCATATGCAAGCTCCGGCCCGACGACAGCGCGTCTTCCAGTCGGTGGATCTCGTCGGTGGCACTCTCGAGGGCTCGCACAAGCTGGCTGCGGATCTTGGGAAGCTTGGATGAGAACTGGACGCCCATGATGGCGTCAGCGGTCTCCTCGAGCGTGGTATCGACGGCCTCTAGAGTGGCCAACACCGTCTCCTGCGCGGCCTTGATCTGGGCCTCCTTCTCCAGCAGCAGGAACAGGTGCTGCTTGGTAACACCGGCGGCAGCGTCAGAACCTGCCTCCTTGGGCGAGGAAGGCGCACGGGCCTTAGCCAGTGCAGCCTGCAGTTGCGCAACTTGGGCGCGGGTCTGCTTCTCCCGCTTGGTCACCGTCTCCAGCTCATGCACTTTGGCCTGCAGTGCGCCCTGAACCTGCTCGCAAAAGCCGACAAACTTGCGCTTGGTGGCCAGCAGCTCAAGCTCGGACTGCTGCTTGGCGCGTAGGAGAAGCTCGATCTTGGCGGCAGGAGACATGGTCTCGCCCTCGTCCCCATGCTCGCTGTCAGCGCTCGAGTCTGTGGTCTCAACCGGGACCGCCTCGAGCCACGCCTGGTACTCGGCGAGCTCGGCAGCCCGAGCCGATAGGGCGTCAGCACCGGCCTCGAGCGTCTCCAGCCGGCGCTGGAGGTAGGCGTTCTCCTCACGAAGAACGGCCGCCTCCTGCACAGCCGCCTCTTCGCGCTTGGACGTCATCGGTCCGCTTGTGCGGATCTGGGCAATGGCCGTGTTGATGACCACGTTGAGTTTGGCACGCTCCTCGCGTTCACGATGCAGCAAGTTGCGCGACTGGGCAAGCTTTTCGCGGACACCAAGCGAGAGTCGCTCTGACGCCTCCAGTTGCGAGTACAGCCGCGAAAGCTGCTCCGACGGAATCAGCTCCATGCCGTGCGGGATGGCGGTTTGTGAGAAGCATGCGCCGCCTGGGCCACCGGCAGCCGGACCAGAGTGCTCGGCAGACGGAGGGAGGCGACCTTCCTGCAGTGCACGCATCCGTGCAAGCTCGGCCTTGTATCGCTGGAGCTGAACAGCAGGATTCTCCGACTCGTTGGCGCACACGGTGAGCTTGATCTTCTTGGAGCGCTCCATAAACTTGAGGGTCTGGACTGACTCTTCGACCGAGTCAACTGACGGCGAGACGGTGGCAATGAACGCAGTCCGGGTATTCCCACCAAGCGAGTCCTGCAGCAGGCGGGTGAGCTTCGAGTCGCGGTAGGGGATGTGGGTCCGGCCCCTTTGCGAAAGTGCGTTGACACAGTTGCCCAGCGCTGAGAGCGACTGGTTGATGTTGCGCAGCTCTTTGAGCTCGGTGGCGTCGGCAACATATGTGTGCTGGCCAACATCCCACTTTCTGAACCGGCCAGATCAACAAGGTTGAGCTTGCCGCGTAGGATCTTGCCAGTCTCGTGGACGACGGTCTCAACAAAAACCTGGAAAATGGTGTGTGAGCGCGAGGAGAGCTGGTTGAGGGCGGTCGAGGCGACAGCACGTCGGCGAAGGCCTTGCTGCATGAGATTGAATACCTGGCGTGGCGACGAAACCTTGATCTCGCGCGCGCCGTGCGCGTACACTCCGCGCTCCTTGTCCTCCATGATGCTAAGGTCGCGCTTGGTCTTGGCGCCGTACTGCAGCAGGTCGTACAGCTTCTCGTTGTAAATTTCCAGATACGAGCAGTACATCGAGATGGCGGCGTCGCCCGACTCGCCAGCGCGGTTGGCAGCCGCGAACAGGGTCTGGACTGCCCGGGGAATGAGCCCAGCCCCGCCGTCGTCAGCCGGCGCGGCCTCTGCGCCAAACACGTCTGCACCCCCGCTCCCGCCCTCGCTCTCATCGTCAGCCCACGAAGCCAGCCCCTGGGCCCCAAGCATGGTATACGTCTTTCCGGTTGATGTCTGCCCGTAGGCAAAGATGGTGCCGTTGATGCCGTTAAGCACGCCGTCCACGATCGGTGCTACCTGGCCGTACACCTCCTCCTGACTCGCCTGCTCCGTCAGAACAGTGTCAAACATGTACCGCAGCGGATCGTCCACATACTTGTCGATAATGAGCGTCTGTGGGTTGACCACATGGACCACTCGCTCGGTCTCCAGCTCCCGCTCCAGAAACGGGCGCGGGCGCACCACCACCAGCACGCTCTCACTCTGTCCGCCCTTGCTCTTGCCCCGTCCGCCACGATCCCTTCCCTGCACCCATTCCCCATAGATCATACAAGCGTAAAGTATTGAGTGTGAGTATGTGTGCGTATGTTTCTCTCTGTGTGTGTGTGTATGTGACGCGAGCCGTCTTGCCCCAAGCCTGTAGCCTGCCTCCCCGATAAAGCGCGCGCAAAAGCCACCTCGCGCCCACGTACCGTGCCAGCCATGGGGTGCGTAAGACGTGTAGAGAACGAAGAAGGAAGAGAGAGAGAGAGGAAAGAAGAAGGAAGTCGCTCCAGCAGTGGTATGGAAGAGTGCTGTGATGAGGTGTGGAGTGTGTGTGTGTTTGTGTGTGTGTGTGTGTGCTGGCGGTGTGTGTGTGTGCTGGCGGTGTGTGTGCTGGCGGTGTGTGTGCGGGTCGGTGATTGCAACCCGTGCGGCGACGTGTTCGGCGAACAGGCTATTTGGTTGGCAGCCGCACGTTCGACGTTCACCTCTGCCAGAGGCTGACAAGCTATTGGGAGACTGACCCACCTCTACCGCTACACTTGACCCCAAGAGTGTCGTGTCTTCATGCCGGGTACGTGGGAGAGGGGGATGGGTTGGGTGAGGGAATGTGTGTATGTGTGAGTGTGTGTGTGTGTGTGGGGGGGGGGGGTGCAGAGAAGGTATGTGGCGCGTGCTTTCTTCAGCACACACAGGCTCACAGCTAACGGTGCGGCCGGTGAGAGGAGGGAATACAGGGCTGACACTGGCGCACACGACGTACTACACGCGGGTGTATGAAGACCTAGCGGATCCACAGTCGGGGAATGTGGGTGGAAGGGAATGTGTCAAGTTCCTCAAATGGACCGGCCTGTCGCAGGCGGTGCTCAAGGCATGCTTTGCCCGAGCAGACCCATCGAATGTCGGCCAGCTGACCAAGACCCAGTTCTTTGCCTTTCTGCATCTGATTGCGGCAGCACAGGCCGGCATCGATTATGAGACCGCGCTTTCGCCATCTACTGCTTCCACCGTTCCGCTGCCAAGCATCTCGCAGTATCCGCGCGAGCTGGCAACCGCGCCGGCCGCGAGCGGCGGCTTAGGCCTCGCCTTTGATGCCCGGTTCGGCACGCCGCCGCCGGCCTCACCGGCGCTTGCCCCTCCGGAACAGGATAAGTACGCCGCCTTACGTGCGCTTCAGCCCGAACCCACGCCGCCGCCGGATATAACCCCGGCGGTTGCGCCTGTGGCAGCCACACCTGCCCCTGCCGGAGCCCCAGCAGGCGCGGGTGGGGATGGAGGGGCGGCCACTGGCGTCATCGATCTGACGCAGATGGACTTTGGACAGTTTGCGTCGCAAATGATGCCGGGGATTCCGCTTGCGCCGCTGAACACCAGCGGCAGCGACAGCAACTCGCTCCCGACGTCCCCACCCGGAGCTGGGTCGCTCGGGCAGCCGTCGCAGGAGACCGCAGCCATCATTGCTGTCGAGACCATCACTGAAGCTGAAGTCAAGCAGTACGAGGCCTTGTTTGCGACGGTTGATACCCGCAAAACGGGGTATGTCCAGCGGAAGCAGGTTCTGCCCAAGCTCGAAGCGTTTGGCGTCGAGCCGCAGGTTGCTAATCGGGTCTGGTCGCTCTCGGACATTGACAAGGATACCATGCTGAGCAAGATGGAATTTTGCCTGGCGCTCCACCTTCTCAACGCGTACAAGGTTCACAAGCGACTGCCTGACACGTCGCGCATGCCGCAGCAGCTGATCGAGGACTATCAGGCGATTGTGGGGGCGCGTGACGGTGGCAGCCGTGGCCCCCCGCAAGGCCGTGCATCGGTGCCACCCCCGCTGCAAGTGAATCCCCCGGCTGCTGCTGTGGCTCTGCCGCTCGGCTCACCGCAGCGGCAGCCTGTGGTGGCATCGCCGGGCAACCCACAGGCACAGGTGATGCGACCCGGGTCATTCTCGTCGTCGCCTCTGGCTTCGCCGCAGCTAGCCTCGCCCGGGTTTGAGCTCGATGACACGTCGGGTCTGCTGGAGCAGGTTGCCAACGCCGAGCGCAAGGTCAACAAGCTCGAGGCCAACCTCGCCCAGCTGCGGTCGGGCAACGCCGAGACAAGCGCCTCGCGAGCGCTGATCCTGGAGAAGCTGGAATTTGTGACGAGCAAGATCGAGGTACTCGAGGAGCAGGAGCACGAGTATGCAGTCATGGTCAACGAGAAGAAGAAGCAGCTGGCTTCCGAGCGGACCGAACTCGAGGCGCTGCAGTCCAAGCTCGAGGCGGCGCAGGCGGCCAAGGTTGCGCGTCGGAGCGAGGTCGCGCAGCTAGCCAAGGAGCTCAACAACGTGCAGATGGAAGCGGCAGCGGTCCAGGCCGAGATCTCGCAGTTCACCAACGACGATCTGCCCGAGCTTGTCTCGCTGCAGCGCGAGGTGGCGCGAGCCTCGGTTGTTCTCGATGTGAACAAGGCGGTTCGTGACGCCATGGCCGCCGCCATTGCCGAGGCTAAGGCCGAGCTGCAGGCGATTGTTCAGAACCACCGCAACGCGGCCACGATCTCGCCGTCGGCTACCGTTGCTGATGACGCCAGCTCGGGAGCTACTCCTTCGGCCTTCTCGCCGCTCGCCAGCTCTGGGCTCGGCAGCTCTGGCACCCACACCCCGCTGGCCGAGCCTCATGTCACGGCGCTGGCGTCCAAGGCTGCACCTGTGGCGGCGCCGGCACCGGCTGAGCCAGCGCCCCAGGCGGAAGCCGTCGGCAACGACGATGGCGGCGACGACTTTGACGACTTTGAAAAGGAGTTTGAGACGTTTGGCGACGAGTTTGAGTTTGCGACCACCGGAGACGCCGCCAAAGACACCAGCGCGACGACGGCAGCTAGCCAGCCTACTGCTGAACCGTTTGCTGCGATGTTTGGCGGAGATACGCCTGATAGCCCGCTGGCACCTCCTGCTGCGAGTCAGCCGCGGACCAAGTCACCGTTTGACGCGCTGTTCGACGCGGCAGGCTCCGCGCCCGGCTCGCAACCCGGCTCGGATCGCGCAGCGTCGGCCTCGCCGTTTGACGCCTTTTTCGCAGGCTCGGGCAACAATAGCGAGTTTGGCGGCCAGGCCGGCTCTAAGGCCGGCTCCAAGGCCGGCTCCACAAGCCTCGACGATGTGTTTGGCATGGGCGTCGGTAGTACGACGCCGCCTGTCGTCTTTGGCATGGGTAACTCTGGCAGCAGCGCGGCCAAGTCGCCAATCGGTGCGGTGTCCAGTGAGCAGGAAAAGACGCCGACGCTGACGCCGACGCTGACGCCGACGCTGACGCCGACGGAGCCAGCGGCCGCGGAAGTGGCCCAGCCGGCGGTTGACGCATACGGCGATTGCTCGTCGACGTCGTCAGATATGGCGCCGGTGTCGTCGTCAGACGATGGCGGTGGGCTCGGTGAGCTGGCCTTTTACCAGCGGGCGCAGCAGCCGCGGGTTGCGGCGCTGAGCCAGGAGGGTGGTAACAGCGAGAAAGCCAATCCGTTTGCGACGTCGTCGTCGGACGACGAGGCAAGCGATGACGGCGACGACAAGCTCGTGGGCGGCCCGCCGCGGCCGAAGCCCAGCACGCCGACAGGGAGCGCGCGCAAGCCGGTGGCAAGCGTGATTGAGACGCCATCGCCAGGCTTTGAAGCAGCGTTTGCAGCAGCCGGATTTGGTACTCCCGCAACAGCGCAGCAGCCGTCGGGCGAAAGCTCGCCAGGCTTCGAGGCTGCGTTTGCGGCGGCCGGGTTTGACGAGTCGAGCGAGTCAGGCAAGTTTGGCAGCGGCCGTGGAGGCGGCGGCAGCAATGATGGCGGCGGGGGCGGCGGGGGCGGCGGCTTTGAGGCAGCGTTTGCGGCGGCAGGCTTTGGCACACCACCGGCGATCGCTTCGACGTCGGGCACGGCGGCAGGCTTTGAGGCGGCGTTTGGTGATGCCGGATTTGGCTCGTTTGGCGAGAGCGGTCAGGCGTCGGGCGGTGACGGTGGTGACGCCTCGGGCTTTGAGGCGGCGTTTGGTGACGCCGGCTTTGACTCGTTGGGCGAGAGCGGTCAGGCGTCGCAAGGCGGTGGCGAGGCGGAGGAGGAAGCAGACTTTCCGACGTCATTTGATGCGCGTTTTGAGCCGGCCCTCGCTGCTAGTTTGGCCGGCAGCGAGGGCCATACGCCTGAAGGCCCCACAAAGACTACGATGCTTGAATCCGAGCCGCTCCCGCCGTACTCGGAGGGCGGAACCGAACCTCGGATTCGGGTGGTGCAGATTCTCCCGGCGGTGGGAGGATTCGGCAGCGACCCCGGCCGCGAGGCCAAGTTTGAAAAGCTGCTCTCCAAGCCGTTTAAGCGTTACCGCAAGTCGTCGGCAATGCTCCAGCTTGTGCTGTCGGGCATGCCGCCCCGGATGCGCGGCAAGCTCTGGCTTCACATTGTGGAGGCCGAGGAAATGCGAGCCAAGTCGCCACCGGGTCTTTACTCGCAGCTCTTGGCGCAGAATTGCTTCTTCCGCGATGCGATTACCCGCGATGTCAACGCTCTACTCGCCACACATCCACTGGGGTCGAGCCTTGGAGCTGGCGGAGCGGCATCGCTGGTTGACGTCCTCTGCGCACTTGCAGTCCACGATGGTGAGCTTGCGTATGCACGTCCGCTTGCGTCGCTTGCGCTTGTCTTGCTCTCGCAGATCGGTGACGACGAGCTCGGCTTCTTCTGCTTGCTCCGGTTCCTCGACTGGCGGTTCCGTGACATGCTTGTGGGCTCGCAAACAAAGCTCAAGCAAGTGCTGCATGCCTTTAACGAGCTCGTCAACTCGCGGCTGCCAGCGACAGCAAAGGCGTTTGCTTCGACCGGCATCACTGACGCCGACTATCTTGTTGAATGGGCCACGACGCTGTTTGCGGACGTGCTCGAGCCGCGGCTTCTGGTTCGTGTGTGGGACATCTTTTTTGTCCGCGGCTTCCGCACTTTTTACCGTGCTGCGCTTGCGCTGCTTGGGCTCTTCCAGGACGACGTTGTGGCGTGCACCGGAGACAAGGCGCGATTGATCCGCACGCTGCGCTCACTCGGGGCCGGCCTCGATCCCGACGTCTTTGTCTCGATGCTCATGTCGATGGAGCTCGAGGCCGAGGAGCTTCGGCAGCTGGAGAAGCAGCACCTCACGTTGGTCTCGTTGGCCGACAACGCCACGCTGTGAGGGGCTGGCAAGCGCTGTCGCGAGCCGGATCACGGCCTGCATGCCGAGACGACGTGGTCGATGAGGAGGGTACCGGTGGCAGCGTAGACGGAAGCGAGGCAATCGAGGCCGTTAAATGTTTGCGAAGCAACAAAGGCAAACTGGTTCTTCCACCACGACGGGTCGAGGCGGATGGTGGAGCCCATGGCCCGCTCCCAGTTGGTTGCAAGGGTGGAGCCGGCCGGGTCGTCGGGATCGGGGCTAAAGGACGAGATGTGGACCCCAAATAGGCCCGGGCCCGAGTACTCCCACGCGTAGCTGACCGCACTGGATGTGGCGGTCCCGTTGAGGGCGTAGATGAGGCAAGACGAGGGCAGCGTGAGCGGGATGTGATGATGGAGGCGGAAGGCGACGTCGACCGAGTTGCACTCGCCGATAGTGCCGGACGACTTGCTCACTGCCGCATTCCACAGCGACCAGTTCCCCACACCGCCCGCCACAAACGGCACCAGCACCGCCGCAGGTACCGCCACAGAGTGCAATCCGGCAACAGGCGGCATGTCGTGCGAGGCCAGCGTCTCGGCCACCTTGTCCGGCCGACCACAGGATGCCATCGGGACGGCGACGACGGACATAGCGACAATCATGAGAGCCAGAACGAGGGCTTGCAGCAGCAGCAGTGGCAGCGGTAGCGGCAGCGGCATTTGAAGGTGGCAGGTGGGCATGGGAAGAGGAGTGGCCCGCGGGTGGTGGAAGTCAGGTGCGTGCGCGCGCACGTGCGCGTTCGCATCTCAGAAAAACGGCGGGCTGGGGGAGGGTGATGGAGGACGACAAGCCCCTGTTCTGCTGATTGGTGCGGCTCTTTGCTCGCGCGACATGATCGGCCTGCTCAACCAAGGTCAGAGCCAGCCATCAGTGCTCAGGCACAAGAGGCTGATGCCACCCATAATCAACTTCCGATTCCCGTGTTGCTCACGCCCTTTGCCCAACTCTGGCCTGGCGAGCATTCGCACAACCATGCACCACCACCACGCGCCGTGACGCTAGCTCTTAGACGGGGGGGATGGTTATTCCCGTCATCATCAGCCCGTGCGTGTCCCGATTCCAACGCAATCGACCAAATCCATGTAAGGCTGATGATCACGGCTCGCCACGGCGGGGCGACCACGCGCTCCAGGGCGACCTTCCACCGGCTGGTCTTTGGGCTCATTGGGCTTGGGCTCGTTGTGCTGAGCACAGCACACACGTCTTCACTCCACACTACATTATGTCTGCAAGTGCTATGGAGAGTATGCTGGGAAAGACGGTGCGCGGAAGTGACGGACGCGAGGTGGCGACCAGCAGTCTTGACGGAACGGTGGTGGGCCTCTACTTCTCAGCCCACTGGTGCCCTCCATGCAGGGTCTTTACTCCGCAGCTGGCGACGACGTACGAGGCCATCCGTGGGGCAGGGCATCCGTTCGAGATTGTCTTTGTCTCGTCAGACAGGACCGAGGACTCGTATGATGAGTATCTGGCGTCTATGCCCTGGCTCGCCCTCCCCTTTGGCTGCCCCGAGAGCATGGCCTTGGGCTCACGGTTTGGCATCCGCGGCATTCCGGCGCTGGTTCTCCTCGGCCCAGACGGTGAGGTGCTGACCAAGGATGGTCGCTCGGTTCTCGCTGGCGATCCCAAGGGCCTCGGCTTTCCCTGGGCTTCCTGGATCCGTCGACGGCCGGGCTCAAGGCTGTCGATCCCAGTGCTGGACTGGACTCGACGCGGATCACGCCAATGGCCATTGCGCTGGCGGCGCTCGAGGCCGATCCGGGTGCCAAGCTCCACGCCAAGGTCAAGGCGCTAACTATGCTCAACAAGATGGCCCGTAACGTCATTGCTCACCCGCTGGAGCCCAAGTACCGCTCGGTCCGGAAGGCCAACAAGACTGTGGCGACAAAGATCCTCGCCGTTCCACACGCCGCCACTGTGGCCGAGGCCCTTGGTTTTGTTGACTCGGGAGGTGACGAGCTGGCGCTCACGCCGTCCGAGGCCGGATGGCTTGTTCTTGTCGACGCCCAAAAGTATCTCGAGCGGACGCTGGCTCGGCTGGCGGCCGAGCCGGGTGCGAGCCCGCCGGCGGCGGCTGCGGCATCGAGCGCTTCGAGCACGTCGACGACGACGAGTGCGGCGGCGACTCCGTTTGGCATGCCTGCCGCGGGCACAGCCGCCGCGCCGACAGCCTATGGAGACGGGATGGTCGGCGGTGGCGGGATGGGCGGCGGGATGGGTGGCGGCAGCGACTTTACCGCCATGACGCAGGCCATGCAGCACGACCCGGCGATGATGCAGCAGATGCAGGCGATGATGGCGGACCCAGCGGTGCTGGCGCAAGCGCGGGCGGCGATGGAGGCCAACCCGGCGATGCAGGCGCAGGCGGCGGCGCTGATGGCCAACCCTAATGCGATGGCCGAGCTCATGCGGATGCTAGGGCAGAACCCGCCGGGCGGGCGCCGTGAGTTCAAGCACGCGCAGCGAGCTATGCTGCTTCGCGGGAGCTGTGGATCATGTCGTCAATGGCGTCGGCGTCGACAATGAGCTTGTCGATGGTGGCCTGGATGTCCGGCAGCGGAACGCCGTCGCGGATGAGGGTGCGGACGAGGCGGAAGAGTTGGTCGTAGATGTCGGCCGAGCAAACGGCGCAGACCTCGGGCGGGAGCAGCGCCAGTCGCTGCATGCCGTAGTCGAGGAGGACACAGCAGAGCTCGGGGGCGACCAGGCCGCGCTCGATGAGCGACATGGCGGTGTCGACTGTTTGGGCAGTCGACGGCTCATAAATCAGCCGCGGCATGTCAGGCGTGACGTCTGGGTGCAGAAAGTCATAGACCCGAAAGCCGGCGTCGCGGAGAACGGCGGAGAGTTTGTCAAAATACTCGGGGTTGGAGGTGTGGAAGACAATGCCCGGGACGTCGCCCATGTCGTTGGCCCACCCGAGGATGCCGGCCATGACCGGGACTGAGGTGTCGATGAGGACGTCCACTTGGCCGAGCTGCCGGATTCGATCGCGCACCGTGTACGTCCGCTTCCCGCCCGACTCGAGGACTTGCTCCGAGTTGGCGAGAAAACTCGGACAACGCGATCAGTATCAGGCGAGTAGAACGGCGCAGCCTCGAGGCGCCGTGAGAGGAAGCGAAAGGCGAGCGCAGCCTTGGCGAGCGACACGTCGTTGGCGGTTCCGGCCTCGAGGAAGATCGCTGATTGCTCCGGCACCGAGGCGTCGGCTTCGACAAGCAGGACGCGGCCGCCGTTTTTGGTTGGGATGAGCCAGCGCTCACGGAGAGAGAAAGTGCCCCACGCCGACGCCGAGCCGTAGGCGCCGTCCCGAACGACCCAAAAGTACGGAACCGAGGCAAGGAGGGCAGCGCGCTCGTCGGCATAGACTGCGTGCGACTCTCCGGCGGCGGCGTTGTCGTAGATTGGAATAATGTGATCGAGCGTCTCCCGCTCGACCGACAAGTCCATGACGTCTGAACTCGAGCCGCCGAGGCGGAGGACGACTTCGGACGGGCCGACCGTGAGAAACGGTGCTTGTCCGGCACTCACCAGGCCCTCGTACTGCGAGTGGGCCTCGGAGATCTTGTTGACGAGGCCAAGCAAGTTGGCAATGCCGACAAAGCCTGCCACGATAGCACGCAGAGTCTGGCAGAGATGAATGACTGAGAACCGCTGGGCCATGGCCTTGGCCACCTCGCCGGCAGGCGCCTGGCTCGATGCGCCCTTGGCGAGCGAAACGCCGGCCGAGCCCTCGTTGGCAAGCAAGACCGAGAACGAGCGCAGCATCGACGGCTTGAGGCCTGCGGCCGCCGCCACCGTTGTCGCCGGCTTGGTTGTCCAGATAATCGATGGCAGAAGCTGCGCCTTGGCGTACCGCCACACAAAGGCAAAGCGCAAGCCGAGCGATGCTGACGACCGGGTCAGCAGGGCGCCCTCGACAGTAGCGATGGCCAGGACGGCCCCAGTTGCTACCGCCACCGAGAACACCGTCTGCGGCTCGGTCACCGCCGCGCCGGCGATCGACGCAACCCGCGAGACCGTAGCCAGCGCCAGCTCCAGCTGCCCACGCGGGCTCTTCCAGAACGGGGTGCTCGTCTCTGTGCCCACGTCTGGACCAGCTGCACGCACCTTGGTTGCCCCGCTCCGCCGGCTCCCGCTCTCGCGCGCCATCTCCGCCACCGCCACCGCCGCCGCCGCCGCCGGATCCAAGGCAGCCGTCCCATCCTCTGCCTCTATCTCCTTCGCCACTGTCTTGCTCTCAGCCACCGCTGCCGCCACAGGCCATGCTTGTCCCTGCCGCGCCCGTCCCGTCGTAGCCGGTGAGAGTCCCGTCGTCTCGACCGGCCCCTCCCACGCCAGCTTCAAGCGCAGCATGGCTCTGCAAATGCGGGAGAGAGGGGAGGGAGGAGATCTCAGAGGAGGTGACTGAGATGGGGGTCAGGTGTTTGACTGTGCCCGTGCGTATGCGTGTCATGGACATGGTCACAGCTGGCCGTAGCCACCCATCGAGTGGCGACGACTTGCCGCCCATCGAGCTGCCGCCCATCGAGTGGCGACGACCTGCCGCCCATCGAGTGGCGACGACTTGCCGCCCATCGAGTGGCGACGACTTGCCGCTCATCGAGTGGCGACGACCTGCCGTCCATGGAGTGGCGACGACTTGCCGCCCATCGAGTGGCGACTTGCTACCATTGCCGCCGCCAGCCGCCACCGCCACCGCCACCGCACCACCCCTCAGTACCACACCACGCTCACCACCACCACCCAGGCCACCTACACTCCACTCTCGCCCTCCTCCCTCGCCCTCCCCCCTCCTCCCCCCCCTACCAACTCCCTCCCTCCCTCCCTCCCCTTCCCCCCCCCCCTCCCCCCCCCTCGCCAACCCCACATCGACTCGTCCTCCCATCCTGCCGCTCCCCCATGCACCCGACCAACCGCACCACCCGGCCGGTTGTCGGCACTGCCCGCAGGTCGTACATGCCGCAGACGCCGCTGTCCACACGTATTGCTCGCCCTACGCCTCGTTCGTATGCTGCTCAGGTTGCTGCTCCCCGGACTGCACGCCGTACTCCTGGTCGCACCCCGCCCGCCCCACAGGGCCTTCCGAGGCCTCGTTTGTCCTCTCCTCCTCGGTCGCCTCGCTCATGGCCATGAACGGCTCGTTTGCTGATCCTGCCCCGGGCACCCTTGTTGCCTATCCGGATGCTGTCCGCGAGCAGGTTGAGTCGGCCTTTGCCGACGCCTTTGATGCCGCTGCCGGTGCTGCGCCCGACGCCGCCTCGGCGGTCGTCGACGACTACGTCCGCGTCCTCGGCGAGGTGGCATCGCCAACGGTGGCGCCTGACGAGGCCCATACCTGGCGGCTGATTGCTCCGCTCTATGCCGAGCGCGTGGCGTCAGCAGGCGATCCAGACCACGCTGCTGTGAGCCTGCCGGCCGGCGGCGGCTCGGACGCGGATACGCTGGCAGCATACGTCGGGTCGTCGCAGGCGCTGCGCGAGGCCCGCATTGTTGTTGCCTGGCTCCAGTCACTCTTTGCCGACCAGCTCAAACCGCACACCATGGAGGCTGCCATGTGGCGGGCCACGCTCTCAGTGCTTCGGACCAAGCCGGGCGCGCTTGCCCCGCAGGGTCTGGTCAAGACACTGGACCCGGACGCGCCGCTGCGCGATCCGGACGCATCGGGCTTGCATCCAGATGACGCTGACTTGGAGGAGCGCCTGCTCCGCCATTTGTGGCTCCTGGTCAAGGCCGGCAAGCTCGATGAGGCGCGAAATGTGTGCCGCAAGGTCGGCCAGCCGTGGCGCGCCGCGTCGCTCGGCGGCGGCGCCGCCTTTCACGACGCTATCTACGCCGGCGAGGTCAAGCTCACCGGCGAACGGATTGACGACGCTGCTCCGGCAGGCAACGTGCAGCGCCTGCTCTGGCGCCAGATGGTCCAGGTGCTTGCGAGCGAGGCCAGCTCGCAATACGAGCGGGCACTGTATGGGGTGCTAGCTGGAAGCCTCTCTGCGGTCCTGCCGCTGTGCACTAGCTGGGAGGACCATCTCTGGGCTCGGTGCGCGACCGCGCTCACCTCGGTTCTCGACACCCACCTTGCCACGGCCCGGCCGTCGGCCAACGCCGAGCTTGTCCGCACTGGCCTGCCGGCAGCCATGGACATTGCTCAGCCCGAGTCGGCTGGCGCTAGCCAGCTCGACATGCAGTCGATGTTTGCAGCGCTCCTGAGCGAGGCGCAATCGCCGGAGCTCCGCACCGCCACCCGCGCCCCGTTCCACACCATCCAGCAGCTGCTCATCACGGCGCAGGAGAACGCGGCGCTCGTCACGCTTGCCGGCTGGGCTGTCGCGGACTCGGCGGCAGCGGTCGAGGCGCTCGATGCGCTGCCCGGCTCGCACGCGCACGCGCGCGCCATCCTCCTCCGATTTGGCGCCTCGCTTGTTCTCTTCTTCCGCTCGATCGAGGTGGCCCTCTCGCCAGAGGCTGAGGCTGCTGGTGTGGCGCTCCTCACCGGCTATGTCGAGCACCTTATTGCGTCAGGTCAGTCGGCGCTCATTGCGCTCTACACTGCGCAGCTTCCGAGCTCGCGGCAGGTCGGCATTTACGCCAAGTTCCTCGAGGGCGTGGACGACGGGTCTGCGCGGGCCGATGCGCTGCGCGCCGCTGAAGCCGCGCGCCTCGACGTGCGAGCCATCACCTCGCAGGTTGTCCGCAACATCTACCTCGCGTCCGAGGCCGAGGCCTCTGACGAGCGCAAGGTCCACTCGCTCCAGTGGCTCTGCTTCTACCCGGACCAGCGAGCAGAGGCACTGGTGCAGGCCAACGCACTTGCGCGCTCGCTGCTCCTTGCCCACGTCGAGTCGGCGCGGTTTGACGCATCGCTCAAGGCCACGCCGGCCGATGCTGTCGCCGCCCTCCTCGCCGCTGTCCCGGTGGCCAAGGTCGAGGTCACCCGCCAGCTGCTCAGCGTCGTCCTCCCAGCCGACACGCTCGACATTCTCCGCGACGGTTGGGCAGAGGCCGAGCTTGTCGAGGCGCCAGCCCGCGAGGCCAATGCCGTCCACGAGTTCCAGTGCCTGGTGGCATACCTCGAGGTTCTCTCTGCTTACGACGAGTGGTCGAACATTCTCTTTGAGCGGCCGGTTCCACCGGCCGAGCCCGACTCGTCGCGGTACTCTGACAAGCTCATGTACGACCAGGAGAAGAAGGCCCACGACGAGGCATACGAACTCTGGCAGCAGGCCATGGGCGACAGCACCGCGGTTGTCCTCGATCTGCTCAACGCCACGCTTCTCTTCCCCTCGGGATGGCTCAAGGATGTGGTCCCGATTGATCACGGCCGTACCGCCGGCGACGCCGCCCGTGCCGACCAGCTCGAGCTCCTCCGCTCGGTCTGCATCCCCTCGCTCTGCTTTATGCTCCACCGGGTCCTGTACGACACCCACGACTTTGCCGGCTCGCTCAAGGTTGCCGACCTCGTCGCCGACCCGCACTACAACTTGGCAGCCACGTTCTCGCCTGCCGAGCTCCGCCAGCTTCTTCGGCTCTTCCGGCTCTCGTCGCTGCAGCTCCTCGAAGCAGGCCTTGACCCGCTTGGCTACGACAAGTGAACACTGGATCCCTCCCTTCTGCCTGCCGACCTCTCTTCCCCACGCTCGCACTCGTCGCGCCGCCATCACTCGGTCGTCATGGCCGCCACCCCGCCGTCGTCGCCCGCGGGCTCGGGCTCGGGCTGGACCCAAAGCTTGATGCTGCAGTCCGGCTCTGCCGCCGACGAGGCGATGATGTTGCGGGTCGGGTGCGCGTCAACACCCAGAGCGGGTGCGGTGTGCGACTCGAGCTTGAGGACGACAGCCTTGGTCTGCAGGTCCCACAGGTAGACCGAGCCGTCCTCGGAGCCCGAGACGATCCAGGTACCCGAGGTGACCGAAAAGGTAGAGAAGACCGCCAGCTTCTCATTAACGTGTCCACGGTAGGTCTTGAGGCACTTGCCGGTGGTGTAGTTCCACAGACGGAGCGCGTTGTCGAGGGTGCCGGCGAGGATGTACTTGCCGTTGGGCGAAAACTTGACAAACGATGCCGGGGCACAGTCGTCGTCGATGAGTGTCTTGAGGCACTGACCGGTTGACGCATCCCAGATGCGGATGAGGCCGTCAAACGAGGCCGAGACAATGAGCGTGCCGTCGCGGTTAAAGTGGGCGGCCACAACCGGGTCTGAGTGGGCCGGCAGCGCTTGCAGGCACTTGCCCGTGCTCACATCCCACACCCGAATCGACTCGTCGTATGAGCCCGAAACAATGAGCGTCGACTGCGGGTTGAAGTTGCAGCAGAAGACGTAGTTGACGTGGCCCTCGAGAGTCTTGAGCATCTCGCCCGTAGCTACGTCCCAGATCTTGAGCGTCTTATCGTCCGACGCCGTCACCAGATACTTTGACCGGGCGTCCCAGGCCACGTCCGACACCCCCATCACATGGCCCTCCAGTACTCTCTCCAGCGTTCCGGTAGCCACGTTCCAGATCCGCACCGTCTTGTCAGCAGCTGCGCGTGGAGTGCGGGGTTTGGCGGAGGAGGTAGGGCGAGGGGTGAAGGGCGTGGGGCGCGGGGCGAGGGGTGAGGGGTGTGGGGTGTGAAAGGTTAGTGTGGCATAGTTGTTGTTGTGGCTATCGTGGTGGTGGTGGTGGTGGTGGTGGTGGTGGTGGTGGTGGTGGTGGTGGTGGCGTGATGGCAGCATGGTTTGGGGGGGGGGGGAGAGGGAGAGGGGACAGGGGTGTGCGTACAGCATGAGGCCAGCCACTCTCCAGACGGTGAGAACTTGACGGCAGAGACTCCTCGGGTGTGTCCTGTCAGGGTCTGGCCCAGTTGGTACGAAGGTGCCGCCATCCAAGGACTGGCAAACGAGCGGGGGGGGGGAGGAGAGGGTGAGGTGGCGGTGGTAGCAGCCGCGCTGTCGCTAGTGGCTGACACGACGGCGATGGACTCTGGTGGCGATCGTAAAACTGGTGGTGGCGGTGGCACAGTGCGCTTTCTGTACATGGGCTACGATGTGCTGTGCGTCGTTGTGGTTGGTGATGGATCTATCTCGTGGCGGGCTGAGATCAGCCTTGTCCCTTACCTACTCCCGCCTAGGGTTGAGGGATGTTGCGAGTGGACGGCGCGATGCGGGAGAAAGTTGCGCTGGCGACACTTGGGATTTGAGGTGTTGGACGGGACAAAGACCGGCGAGGAGGCGACGGGCCGGAGCGGGAGGCGGCGGACGGGCGATCGGGCCTTGGGCGACGGCGAGCCGTAAGGGTTGCGCGAGATGTAGCCGTCGACCGACGACTGGGTAAACGAGCCCGGGCCGACGACAGCTGCACCAAACCCGTCGTCCGAGTCCGAGTCTGAGGCGGAGACCCACTCGCCGTCGGCGTAGCGGACAAGAGAGGAGTGTGCAGCCTCGGCGAGGTCAGCCACTGCCGGCGGCACAGCGCCGCCAGCATCAACCTCGTCGAGCACCGCGTCCACCAGCGGGGCAAGTAGCGCGTGCATGGCCTTGGTGTTGGTTGTTGCGGTGACAAGCTTGGCGCGCGCGTCGTCAAGCATGGTCCGCGTCGCCGCCATCTCCTCCTCCGAGTATCGTGTTGCGTCCTTGAACGCGGCCTTGTGCTTCTTTGCGGCGGCGGCAGCCGACTTGCGGGCGGCGGCGGCATCTTCGCGGGCGGCCCGTAGCGACCGCTTGAGCTCGCGGTACTCGACATCGCGCGACCAGAGCGAGTGCTTGAGTTTCCGCAGCTCAGTCATTGTCGTTGCAGCCTCGGTCTTGAGTGTGCTGTGCGAGGCGTGGAGTTCCGAGTGCTGCTCACGAAGCGCCTCGTGGTCTTTGCGGATGGCAGCAAAGCGGGAAGTGGCGCGGTCGCGCTGGGCGGTGACAGCGTCCAGCTCGTGGCGAGCCTCGGCAAGCTTTGTCTTGAGCTGTGGAATGGTGTCAACAAGCGCCTTGGCATCGGCCAGGTCGGCTTCGAGCTCGCCGATCTCCACCTGGGCCGCCTGGAACTCGTTGCGGACCGTTTCGAGTTCAGTTGTGGTTTCTTCCAGCGACACCAGGCCGGCCTTTTCGCGATCAAGGACAACCTTGAACGCCGAGACAACGGCCTCGTTACGGGCCGAGAGCTGGTCCATCTGCTGCGATAGCTCGCCGTGAATGCGGCGGATCTCCTCGCGCTCGGCCTGGGCGCGGGCGGCAAGCTCTTCGGCCTCGTTCAGCCGCTTGGAGCGGACCCGGAGCTCCAGGTTGGCCGTCTCAAGCGAGATGACTCGGTCGGTTAGGGTCCGAATCTCGGCGAGCAGTGCGTCTCCGTCGTGCGATGACTCGACCATCTCCTCCACCCGCCGCTCGAGCTTGGCCTTGGACTCGAGCAGCCGGGCGTGCTCCATCAGCCAGGTGCGGGCGATAGTGAGGCTTGGTCCGCCAGCATCGGCCCCGTTGTCACCAGTCTGGCCTTCGCCGCTGCCCCGTGCAGCCTCGACCCACTTGGGCACCGTCGGTGGGGCAAAGATCGGGACCGGCTCGCCGAGCACACTACCTGCGCCAGTCGTTGCGCCTGGCCCACTTGCCACAGGCGACGCCCTCTGCCGCCGTCCAGCCGGCGACACTCGCCGCCGTCCAGCAGACGACTGTCGCTTTGGCGACAGCCTTGCCATCTGCATGTCCAGCACCAGAGGCAGTCCCGGCAGCTGGTTGTCTGCCTCCTCTCCGCCGGCGCCGCCAGCACCGCCCGCGCTACCCGGACCACTCGAGTGAGGCATGACAGCAAGCAGCAAAGTGTGTAAAGGAGGAGCGTAAGAGGGGGTATATGTTTCTCTCTATCTCTCTATGTGTGTGTAGATGTGTGTGTATATGTTTGTGTATGCCTGCGTGTGGGTGTATGCGTCCCTCTTTGCTGTGGCTCCTCGTTCGGTGCCATGCCACCCAACAGCCTCAGTCCCCCTCCCCCCCCCCTCCCCCCCCCTCACTTCCTCCGTTTGGCGCCAACTCGTTCGCCACCACCAGCTGAGACGGACAGCCATTTGCCATTCGCGCGCCAATGGGGAGCGGCGTGACCAGCGTATTGCCTCAGGCAACACAGCCCACACCCGACCACCACATCCACCACACCCACCATCATACCTACCACCAACCACCACTACCTACCTTCTTCATACCCACCACTCGCTCACCTTTTTCACACTCGACACAAACATGGCTTCCCCGCACCGGATCCATGGCCAGCAGGTGCGACAGACGGTGGCGGGCAACCCGTTCCCGCGTACGGCGAGGCCGCAAGGGAGTATGGGCATGGGCATGGGCATGGGCATGGGCATGGGCATGGGTCAGGTGACAGCGGTGGATGATGCTGGTGAGCAGTGCGAGTACGGGGCGATGAAGGAGGCGCTGCATCAGCTGTATGAAGAGGTGGCGGCGCAGAGGTTGGCGCTCAAGGCGCTCGAGGCTCGCAAGGCTACCGAGGTTCAGCTGGTCGAGAATGCACTGACGCTGGCGGCAGCCCGTGACAAGCAAATGTACCTTGAGGGGACTGAGGCTCTGCTGGCGGCCATCGCGGACAAGGAGGCGTTTATCTCGTCGCAGATCGAGGCTGCCATGGTCGCGGTCTCGTTGGCGGCTTCGCGGGCCGAAGCTCAGGCTGCCGACGAGGTCGCCCGCCTTGCGGCGGCGCTGGAGACTGAAAAGGCTGATCGGGCTCGCGAGGCCGACGCCCTTGCTGCCGCTGCCTCGGCACGCATTGCAAGTTTGGAGGACGCGATCGCTGAGGAGCGCCGTGCCCGCGAAGAGTCCGAGGCATCTCTCCTCCGTATGACCGACGACCTCGTCTCGCGGCTACAGAATCAGCTGGACGCTGAGCGCGCCGAGCGTGCCGCCACCGAGGATGCCTTGCTCAAGCTCCTCGAGCAAGCTGCCTCGGCGACTGTGCGGCACTAAGTGGAAGGCTAGAGGCCAGCCTTACTCGACCTTGGTCTTGGCGTCGGGCGCGGGAGCGGCATCGTCGGCGGCATCGGCCGCATCACCGAGATCCTCGTCAAAGTGTCTGTTGTGGTCAACCGGGTACATCCACCGCTGGACCATGAGAATGACAAAGATGAGGTCGTCGCGGAAGCACGCCAGCCGGTGCATGCCCGGCATGGGGACGACAAAGGCGTACAGGTCGTCGATGACCGTCGAAAACGCCTTGTACATGAACTTGCGGAACGGCAGGTGCGCCACCGACTTGAGCTTGTAGTTGATGAACACTGTCGGCCACATAAAATAAAGCCAGACATGTAGACAAACGAGACTGCGGTGCCGAGCACAAATGCGTACCAGCTCCGATGCGTCTTGTAGATGAGCGAGTAAACCGCAAAGCCGATCACGCCCGGGTACAGCAGGTACGCCATGTAGCCAAAGGCAAGATCGTCGTACTTTTGGTCTCTGACTCGTACGACGCCTTGCCCGTCACACGGAGCGGGATCCAAGGCCGCGACGGCTCCCATGAGAAGACCAGCGCCTTTTGCAGCTTCCACGCCTCGATGGCAATGCCCATAGCCATCGAGATGAGGATCATCCACGTCGTGTCGTTCTCGAGCAGATACAGCAGAATTACAATCTGGAACACAAGCGAGATGCCGATCGACTTGACCGAGAGGCCACGCATCGACTTTTTGGCACGCCAGTGCTGGATGTCATTCTTGAAGGCTAGAAAGTCAAAGAGCATGTGCAGGATGGTGACCACACCAGTCGTGGCCAAGAGCCAAGGATTCGTCTCGAGCACAATCCGCTTGAACATGTCGCCATCGGCCGAGCTGCCGCCGGTCAGCGCACTTTGCGTCGCCAGCGACTCCTCCATCTGGCTACCCAGGAGCCACCACATGAGCGAGAGCGGGCCGACGGACATCTCGAGCTGGACTGCGTCCACGCTCTCGTTGATCACCACTCGCGACGAGTCGAGGACCCAAAAGGTGTTGACAAAAACCGCAGGAAGGTACGCCTCGTCGTTGCGCACCGTTTGCAGCTTGACCCGCAGTGGCTCGGGCACGGCTGCTAGCGAGCCGTACACCGTGTGGTCCACAACCACGTTGATTGGGAGCTGCGGCGACCAGTAAGGAACCCACGCGAGTTCATCCGCCCCGCTCTCGCGCGCGGCCTCCACTTCTTCAGCTCCGAACTCGTCTCCGCCGCCGGCCAGCAGCGAGACCTTGTCGTCGATCTTGGGCGGTGGCTTGTGGGTGACCAGCGGGTAGACGACCTGGATCGCATCGCCATCCTGCAGCGCTTTTGCATCCACGCCGCTTCCAGCCTTGACTGCAAAGATGTGCGCAAAGGCCGTGGTGTTGGCCACCCGCCACTCGGCGCCCAGCGCCAGCGTCACGTTGGCCTTGCGCTCGTTGCCCGCATCAAACGAGTACTCCAGACCACTCGCCCGCCACACCAAGCCCGCCACGCCATGGCATTGCTCCTTTGTGCTACACACCAGCTCGTCCAGATGCTGTTCCTTGGTCACCATCTCCGCCACTCGCCCGCCATCGCCCGGATACGGATCTCCAAAGCTTGCGACAAAGACCATGACCTCCTATTGTCCGACCCAACCGCCCGCACCGGTCATGATTGCCATGTGAGTCCCCCCCCCCCTCCCCTCCCCCCTCTCTCCTTCCCTCTTTGGCTTCAGCATGTGTGCTACGTACGTATGCCGTGCCATCGGCCCAGGCGTTGTGCAGCGGGACCGCCGGCAGTCGGAGCTCGGCGTCGGTGGAAGGGATCCCATCGAGGGCGAGCGGCGGCGGCGGCGGGGCGAGCGACTGGGTTACCATCTGGAGGACAGAGGTCACAATAAAGTAGATGACAATCATGCGGAGAACGCCTGCACATGAGAAGAGCGATTCACCGTCGCCTTCTCCGCCTTCTCCGCCGTCTCCGGCCGTGTTGAGCGCCTCCACCCGGTTCTCCGCCGGGCCGACGTCACCAACCTCGTCAGTCATCGACAGCGACAGTGAGCAAGCGAGCAAACGAGAGAGAGAAGAGTTGTGCGAGTGCGAGAGACTTAGGGGTGTGTGTGAGGCAAACATGTAGGGGCTATTTGGCGCGATGAGATGGATGAGTCGTTTAAGTCTCATCAGGAGGCCCGGCCCACACAGGCGCTCACAGACGAACGGACAACACCAGAGCGGAGATGTGCGTCTTTATGCAGAGAGCTACCATCTGCCGCGGCCACGGCCCCTTGCGGCGCGATGCGGGTGCATGCGCGATGGTGGTGCCCACGGCTGGCCCGGCGGGAGGTGGCTGGGTGGAGGCGGGAGATGGCCCCGTGGCTGCTGCTGCTGCGGCAGCTGCTGCTGCTGCTGAACCGGCGGCCAGGGTCCGGGCGGCGGATGCGAGCCGGGCGGCGGGAGGAGGCCGGGAGGTGGGAGCGGGCCTGCGTAGAACGGCGGCGGGCCCGGTGGCGGGCCATGACGCGGCGGGATCCAGCCGTGGCTGGGCGGGGGCGGGAGCGGGCCGGGCGGCGGGCCGACGCCGGGCGGGCCACGGGTCGGCGGGAGCGGGCCGGGCGGGGCGGGCTTTGACTTGCGCATAAAGGCATCGAGCTTGGATTTGCCGGCAGACTGCGGCGGAGCGGGCGGCGGGGCAGCGCCGGCGCCGGGCAGGGCGGCCAAGATCTGCTGCAGCGACTCGGGAGAAGAGAGGATCGAGGCAATGATGTCGGGCTGGCTCTGGACAAGGGCAATGAACTCGGGGTTGTTCTGGAGAGAGGCAAGCTCGGGTGGGAGGGTGACGCCGGCGAGGACCGGGGTTGGGGTGTGAGGCGCCGAGGGCACGGGGGGCTCGGGCACAGGCTCGGGCTCTGGGGCGATGCGGGTCGACTCGTCGAAGGGATCCACCATGCAGACCTTGCCTTGAGCGTCGCCGGGGACTAGCGGGATGATGGTGGTGGAGGCGTCGTTCAACTCACCACAGTCGGCGGGCAGGACTGGCTCTTCAGGCGACGGCGGGATGAGATCGTCGCGGAGGTAGCTTGCGGGGAACTCATTTTCCTCGCGCTCGAGCTCGATCTCGCGCGCCTTGGACACGGTAGGTCCCTTGGGCGTCGGCACGTTGGCCGGGCGGGCAACAAGCGGCGGGCGGCGCCAGGGCTTGTCCACTGCAGCCTCAGCAAATTCGGCTTGACGAAGCTTGCGCTCACGGGCGGCCTCAAAGACGCGGCGCTCGGCCTCGAGCTCGAGCTCACGGGCTGACTGAAAGGCGCCGGTCTTGGGGCGGCGGTTTGGCCGCGGCTCGATCTCGCGTACGGCGACAAGCGGGATGCTCTCGTTGGAAGCCTCGTCAATCCACGAGACCTTGCGCTTGACTTTCATAAACTTGGCATTGTCCTTGAGCAGCGACTTTGACTTGCCGGACGACGGGGTGTACTCGACGCCGGGCAGGAGCATGCTCGGCGGCTTGGACGGGTCGGTCGGGTCGACAACGACGAGCTTGGCCACGTCGGGATCATTGCGCCGCTTTAGCTCTTCGAGCGCCTTTTCGCGCTCGCGCCGCTGGCGGATCTGGTCTGTGGAGACGATGCCCTCGCGACGCTTGCCGCGCCTGCGCAGCCGGGCGACAGCCGAGTTGTCGACAATGTCGTCGTCGATGACGGCGGTGACTTTGCGGCCAGACTCGGCTGCCTTGCCCGGTGGGACTAGCCTGTCGTCGGCAGTGGGGGAGGTGTGGGAATGGGGCACAGCGCTCGCTGACGATTCAGTCTGCATGACAGTGTGGGGAGAGAGAGACGAGTGCGAGGCCAGCGTGCGGGCGCGCTTGGCCGGCGGCGGCATACTTGCGGCGCCGTCGTCAGTGACGGCAGCCGGCGCGCTCGCGGCCAGGGCTCGTGGCGCGCCGGCGTCTGCACCAAGCTTTCGCTTCCGCGACGGGACGACGGCCTTCCACTGCTTGACCACCCGGCGGGCACGGGTCCGCACCGAGAGCGAGAGACTGGCATCCTTGCCTAGTGCGTTGACCTTGCGCCCAATTGAGAGCTCCTTGCTTCGCAGCACCTCGACGGTCATGTCAAAGGCCTCGACAGCGGCGAGCAGCCTGAGCAGGGTCTGGTTGTCCTTGGCTTCGACAGCCGCCACTACGCGCTTGCTCCACACGCCCAGCGCCCGCAGCGCCTGGTCCGTAGCCACAAACTCCCTTTGCAGCACTCCTTCCAGTTGTTGCAGCTGCTCCTCACTCGCCGGGCCTGTCTCGAGCGTTGCAAGTTCTGCGTCGGTCATGGTAGCGTTGGCGGTGGGAGGTGGCCCCCTTTTTCCTCGTGTTGTTGCGGGGGAGGGGGGGTTGGGGGGGGGGGTTGGGGTAGTGGGGAGAGAGAGTGTGTATGTGGGGGGAGTGGTGGTGGTGATGGAAGAGAGAGAGAGAGTGAGAGAGAGTGTGTGAGTATGTGGTTGTATGTGAGATGTGTGGTTGTGTGTCTGCTCGTGTGTGTGTGTGTGGTGTGAGTCGGGGTCGTGCTGCGTCGTGGCAGCAAATGCTGCCAGCTGTGGCACCAGTGCCAGCTTTCAGCTGTGGCAGTCGTTGTTTGACGCCTTGGGCTGGCGCTGGTGGTTCACCCCTCTCGGCGCCAGTCAAAGATGGTGGCCAAGAAGCGCAAGTCGAAGCGTGTGTCGCTCAAGACGAAGTACAAGGTTGAGCGCAAGGTGAGGCAGCACCATAAGAAGATGAAGAAGTTGGCTCGTGCCGGGCAGGGCCCGCGCAAGTCCAAGAAGGACCGTACGTGGAGGGGGGGGGGATGGGAGGGGATGGATTTGGTGAGATGGCCAAGGATGGCGTATGGGTGGGCGTAGGGGTGGGCAGATGTGACTCACGCGAGGCATGGGGTTCGTGTAAATTTTGCGGGCGTGATGGGCGTGATGGACATGATGGGTGCGATGGGGAGTAGCGGGAGTTCCGAACCTGTGGCCGTTCAAGGAGCAGCTGATGCTGCGGGCCAAGGACCAGGCTGAGCGCAAGAAGGCCGAGGCGGCGGAGCAGAAGCGGCGGCGGAAGGAGCTGAAGGCAAAGCGGCGGGCAGCGGCAGCGGCAGGAATCGAGATGGCGCCCGAGGGTGCTTCGGAGATGGCGGCGTTTATGCGCAAGGCGCAGCAGGACAACTCTGCATTCAAGGTTGCGCAGGCGGAGCGCAAGGCGATGGAGGCACGTGGCGGCAAGATGACCGACTCGTCGCGGCGGGCGTTCTACCGTGACTTCCGCAAGGTTGTGGAGGAGGCGGATGTGCTGCTGGAGGTGCTGGACGCACGCGACCCGCTCGGGTGCCAGTGTCTGTCTGTGGAGGACTACGTGATGCGAAACCACCCGAACAAGCGGATTGTGTACGTGCTGAACAAGATCGATCTTGTGCCCAAGGAGGTTGTGGCGCAGTGGGCGTCGTTCCTCAAGTCGCGGTTCCCGACTATCTTGTTCAAGGCGACGACCAAGTCGCAGAAGAACAACCTGGCGCGCGGCAAGGTGAAGGCGACCAAGGCATCAACCAAGATGATGAAGACGACCGAGTCGCTCGGCGCCGATGCGCTTGTCTCGCTCCTCAAGAACTACTCGCGTTCGGGCGAGATCAAGACGGCGATCACGGTCGGAGTCATGGGCTACCCCAACGTGGGCAAGTCGTCGGTGATCAACTCGCTCAAGCGGTCCAAGGTGTGCAAGGCTGGGTCGTCGGCGGGCGTGACCCGTGCGACGCAGCTCATCAACCTCGACCGCAACATCAAGCTCATCGACTGCCCCGGCATTGTGTTCTCGGCGTCGTCCGAGGACGAGCTCATCCTGCAGAACGCGATCAACCTTCAGCAGGTCGACGATCCGATCGGGTGCGTCGAGGCCATCATGACCCGGGTCTCACCGGAGCACCTCATGTACACGTACAAGGTGCCTGTCTTTGCAGACGTCGACGACTTTCTGGTCCACATTGCTGAGAAGCACAACCTCATTGCCCGCAAGGGCATTCCCAACCGCATTGCCGCAGCCACCCTCGTGCTCAAAGACTGGATCTCGGGTGGCATCCCGTACTACACCCTGCCGCCGAGCGACTCGATCGCCAAGACCTCGCAGGTCTCGGCGCAGATTGTGTCCAGCTACAACGACGAGTTCAACCTCGACGAGGCGTTTGGCGCCGGCCAGTCGGCACTCCTTGAGGCTGCAGCCCAGCCGATGGACACCTCGTCGCGCTTTGCCGTCGTCAACGCCTCGGCGCCGGTCGGCGGCGACGCAGCCTGGCTCGCGGCCTACGGCGACGACGACGGCGCCATGGTCATCGAGGGCGAAGAGGGCACTGGCTCGCGCATCGGCGTCGACACCAAGGAGCTTCTCCGCCGCGAGCGCAAGGCCGCTGCTGCCGCCGCCCGCGCCGCCGCTGAGGACTCGGACTCGGGCCTCGAGTCGGACGAAGACATGGCGTTCATGGCCGCCCGTGCCAACCTCAAGGTCAACCAGGCGCGTGCCGCGACGATGAAGAAGAACAAAAAGGCCAAGGGCTTTATCACCTCGGCGCCGGCTTCAGGCTCGGACTCGGACTCGGCTGGCGACGACGCCGCGCCGGCCGGCCCGTCCTCGTCGTTCTCCTTCCGCTTTGCCGACGAGAACGCGTCCGATGCCGAGGCTTCGTCCGACGACGACGACGACGGCAATGCCAACTACAACTTTGCCACCGACTTTCGGCCGACCACCGTCGTCGGCGGCGATTCGTCCGATGACGACGACTCGTCTGATGACGACGACGGTCCGACGCGTATGCAGATGTATTGAACAGCCTGAGGCGGTCCTTGTATGTGTGGAGCTAGAGGCGGGCGATGACTCTGCGCTGTCAGCGCTGCCAATGAGCTCTTTTGCGCTGTTAGCTGGAAACGACTCGCATTTGGCAGCAGCTCGAGGACATAGTCCCTGTCCCGCACTTCAAGCGCTTTATGCGCACGCTCTCCATGAATGCACGTGGTGCGATGTGGCACGTGGCTCGGCGTTGCGCCACAAACCAGGGAAGTCCAGTCGTCGGTAGTGTAAGGCACGCGAATAATCAGCCCTCGTACGTTTGCTTATTTAAAGCTGTCTTTTGAGTCTGCAACGGAAACGACTTGCTTCTCAGAGTTGATGGGAGAGGGCATTGACGGAGGATGCCCACTGAAACAGCCCACCAATGGTCTCCACTTGCCGCCTGCCGTCGCTCCCGCGCGCTGACCTGTCAGGCGGAGCCACCTGTCGAAGCAGTTATAGCCATCTCCAAGTCCGGGATCTCGACACATTGGCACGTTACCTGTCAACACTAGCTATTACATGCCAGGCTTGACACCATCCTGCCGTTCACAACTGCTTGCTGCCGCACAGCGCGAAACACTCAACCGCAGTTGCGATGATGTGACATTTCTTGCATATGTGGCAGGAGTAGGCGTATGGAACAGGTGTTGCGATTGGTAGACAAGTGTTGGAAGCTATCTCCTCGAATGGCCCTTGATTGGCGGTCATCAATCAAGAAGAGAAACACCGGAGTTGCTCTATGTGGCGGGACAGAGCGTCGAAGGTGCAACGTTTCTCTCCCCCCCCCTGGAGCTGGCGTCGAAGGGGAGGGCTTGTGGGCAATGGGAGAGCCCACGTTCCCTCCAGCAGTGATGCATCTGTTCTCCTACACAGGCGAAATACCTGAAGAGCTTCAGTGTGTTGACTGCCGCCATCCGCTTCTCACGGGGGCACTCCACGGGTGCGGTCGCGGTGTGTGTGGATGGTGTTGCAAAAAAAGTGTCTGTGCCCTGTGCGGCCTTCCTCTGTCGCCTTCCTCGCTCCACCCGCTCTCGTCGCTTGTGCTCTCGCTTGCGTCCAAACTCCATGTCGTGTGCCTCCTTTGTGGGGTGACAGTTGGCTCGCGGGCGCAGCTACCGTCGCACTGGTCGGATGGTTCATGCTCCGGTGCTGCCAAATTTGCTGTCAGCCCAGTTCCCGTTGCCACGGCTTGGGCCGCAGCCGCGTCGGCGGTCCACGCCTCGCAGCTCGGCGCGCCGGGTGTTCCGCTGACGGTCACCATTCCGCTGGAGGGTGCAGACCGGTTCACATGGATTCAGTTTGGCTCGCAGCCTCCGGTTGCGCTGCCATCGGGACACGCGTCGCCGTCGCCGTCGTCGCGCCTGCTGGACGTCTCGGGTCTCTTGGCACACCTCGTTGGCCAGTACGTTATTTCACCGGTTTCATCGAGGCTCGTCCTGGTTGGCGGCACCACCGATGACACCTCACACGGAGCACTGATTCTTGCTCTCCTTGGCTTTACCTCGGTCTGGGTCTCTCCGCCGGAAGAGGCCCAGGGCGCGGTGACCTATTCGGGCGTGAGCTCGCCCGGCTACGCGTACGGTGTGAGTCAAATGTACTCCTCCACCTCGCGCAGCCCCTACCACGACGCATACTTTGCACCGCAGCCGCATGTAACCTCGTCTACTGTGCCGTCGGGCGCCACGTCGTCCGAGTCGATCTCGGCGCGTTCTGCTGCGTCATCGTCGTCGTCTGGTGGCGGCGGCAGCAGCACCCCTGGCATTGTTGTCATCACCAAGATGCGGCGCGTCTCAGCACGCGACGTCATCGCCCTCCTCTCCGAGCTTGATCCTGAAGCCGAAGGAATCTCTCGTGGGAGCTTTGAGCTTGCTCTCGACAAGCGCTTCCCGCGAGACGACACGTGGTACCTCCATCGTGTCCTCGATCGCGCCATTGGTCTGGGATGGATCCGCTCCAATTTGGATTCCCATTCTGCACCCCCCCGCCATCCACGTCTGCTTCTGCCTCTGCCTCTGCTCCTGCAAGTGCCACCAATTCCCGCCGAGCCAACATCAGGAGTCACGCTCTGAATGAGAGCGCCGACTCGCGGAAGGCTACGACCATTGCCCTCACTCGTGAGGGTATGCAGGAAGTCGCAGACGCCACCGATCGCCAGCTTGCATCTGCTCGTGCTTTTGCGCGGCTCTTGCTGAGCTCGGCGGTCAAGCACTCCTCTCCGAGGTGGGCAAGTCACTCGGCCCCATTTCGTCTGACTTGCTCAACCTCATGTTTGCCGATGCCATCCAGTCTGGTCTCGTCTCGCGCTACCGGGACACCAGCCGAGGCGACCACGTTGGGTGCAAGCTTTTTGTCTGGCCGCCGGGCACTTCGTCCGAGTCTTCGACCAACGAGTCGTCGCAGTCCTCGCTCACCGACGCTGTTTCAGACTCTGATGTTTACAATGACGGTGTCAACATTCTCCTGCGCATGCTGAGCAATTCCAACTCGGGCACTGTACTCCAGGCCTCTGTCGGCCAGCAAATCAAGGCTGCACTCGGCAGCCGATTCTTCTCGGGCCTTGGTCCGCGAGTCATCGACATTGCCGTCGCCCGCAAGCTCGTTCGCGTCGAGCGGCGGGAAGACTCGAATCAGACTCTCGTTTGCCGGCTCGACCAGGAATGATGTTGACTTGATGTGGACGCAGCCTCTCCAGTTATCTTGGGTATGGTGTGAGCTTTGGCCTCCCGCTCGCCTGCCCCCCTTTCATCTCTCGATTGTCTCGTCCAACTCTTACGCTCATTTGTCACAACCATCAACACCAGCTTCGCCCTGGACGGCCTTGATCTGCACAGCAAGCAAATTGTTTTATTTCTATTATCCTGCTCCTGTGCTTCCCTTGGGTGTTATTGCTACTGTAGCCTTACTTGGTGCAGCTCGCCTTGTGCCGCTTCCAGTCGGCCCGCTGGCACTCCTTCGAGCAGTACAGGATGTTCTTGCATCGCGCGCACCGCAGCTTGCCCTCATTGGTGCACGCGGCGAGGAAGCCCTGCGCACAACGGGATCGTGCCGAGCCAGGCGTCGCCCCCGAGTTGGCTACCTGTCCGCCGCTGGCTGCGGCCTTGGCGGCCTTGGCCTCGTTGTCGGCCTTGGCCTTAGCCCGCCACTCGCCGTTCTTGAGCGTGTCGAGCGTAAAGTCCAGCCGCTCAAAGTCGTCGTCGTTGTCGTAGATCATGCCAAGAAAGGCGTCGCCCATGACCCTCAGTGGGTTTCCTGCCGCCATGGCCACCAGGCTTGCCCGCTCGTTAAGCGGGAGGTTCTTGATCACGCCCTGGTCGTCGACGTAGAGAAAGACGCCGATGTAGTCGTGAGCCGCCTTGTTGACCAACAGCGGGACCGTGTCGACCGTGCTCATCAGCGCAAAGTGGTCGACAAGCTCGCTCGGCACCGTAGCACCACCAGGCATCTTCTCCTGCAGTTGCTGGCGAATCGCCTCCCGCTGTGCTTCCTTCTCCTCGGCAGAAGCTGACGGCGTGGCAGCCTGAAAGTGCTCCTTGAGCCGATTGGTGAGGCATTCGATCTTCTTACCCGGCGGGATGGCCACCGTCCACTCTTCCAACGCCTGGCTCTGGTCTGCTGGGATGTACACAATCTGCATGAGGAGAAAGAGAGGGTTCATGTGTGTGTGTGTATGTGCGTGTGTGTGTGTGTGTGAGTGTGAGTGTGTAAGGGAGGGAAGGGAGGGGGTGCGGCAGCGATCATGATCCAGATCAGCCACCCACGTATTGGAGAGTGCGGACAGCGGAGGGGCGGAGGGGGAAGGGGGGGGGGGGATGAGTGGTGCTTGGTGCTTGCATGCCAGCGAGTTGGCATGCTTCCTTGCTGGCGTACCTTGAACTCGTCCTGCTTGAATGTGAGGCTGGACATGATCGCTTCTTTCAGTGGAAGACGAGTGGTGCGTGGAGGGGGAGGGGTGGAGAAGAGGGTTGGCCACTCTCGCACTTGACCGCCGAGCGGTCGCTCTCTGCCCACCACATCATGCCACCAATCGGCACGGTGATCCCATCCACACGTGCAACTATCGTATGGTTAGCTAGCGCTCTCGTGGGATCAAGGTAGTATCCAAACACTCAGAGAACGCCCGTCGTCGACATTGTCAGAGATCGTCATCAAAAGGGTGGGTGGGTGGGGTGTTTCGCGCCTCCGTGGTGGAGCCGACATTGTCGACGCCTTCGGAGGGCTCTGCCAACCGCGAGTGTTAGTAGCAAAGCCCGCGGCAGGGCGTTGCCATCTGGTTGCCATGGGTGAGGGCAGGGGATTAATTCAATCCATCCATCTATCCGCCAACCTGTGCCTTCCCCTTGTCATGGTCCTGTTGTGGTCGAAGTTGATCTGTGGGGTGATGTGCGTGTTTCGCTGCCGTCGCCCACCCGTCCGCCGGTCACAGGCACACTTTGACCTTCTTCATTCATGACGCCACCTCAACTTGCGCTTGCACCACGCCTTGTACCATCTCTCTCTCCTTCCCTCCTCTACCTCCCGCCTTCCACACTCCCCCTTCCCTTATGCCACACTGGTGCCACGAGTGCGCGGCAGCGGTGGCTGTCGATGCTGCTGGCGCTTGCCTCGTTTGCTCTTCCGACTTTACCGAGGTCATTGACCCGGACGACCCGCCCGAGGGTTACGCCTCGCCCAGCGCACCTCATCCTGATGCCCATTCGCATCCCAACCCGCTACTTCCTTTGCTACCGCCGCGAGACATCCCTGCATCGGTACGCACCTCACCTCACGCCCACTTGCTCCCATCTCTCCCTCCCCCCCCCCCCCCCCCCCCTCATGCCCGCATCCGCATCCGCACTCATCACCGCCCCTCCTTCACATGCACAGCCTGCCACGATGCCTCCTGACTTTTACGCACACGTCCTGCAGAGCATGACGTCTGCGCTGCAGGCCATGGCCCAGCCTCCGTCGCCAGGATCGGTTCCGCCGCCAGCGCCAGCAGCACCATCGTCCGAGTCGTCAAGTTCAGCTCCTCCGCCATCGGCGGCGTCGTCATCACCTCCCCCGCCTTCGTCGTCGGCGCCTGGGTTGGCACCGGCTGTCGGTATGGTGTCAGTTGGCCCAGGCGGCCAACCGGCAGTCACGCGAGTTGTCCGCACAACCTCGGGGGCTTGCCGAGCACTTCCGGAGCCGCGGGGCTCTCGCCTGTCTTTGAGGTCTTTGGGCAAATGATGCGGTCGCTCGGCTCGGTCCACCGCGCGCAGCAGGCACCGCCGCTCCTGCCCACTTCGTTCATGCAGCTCCGGTTTTCCAGATCCGGCTAGGCGCTGGCGGACGTCCCGGCCAGGCGCCGCCAACACTGGGTGACTATGTCCTGGGCGGCGCGTCGTCGCTGCAGGCGGTCATCGACAGGCTCATGCAGCTCGACCCCAACCATGCCGCCGCACGTCCTGCCGCCTCCTCGTTCGTGGAGTCTATGCCAATGGTCAAGGTTCTTGCAAGTCAGGTCGCTGACTCTGCAGCTTGTGCCGTCTGTCAGGAGGAGTACACCGAGAGCGAGACGGTTGCCGAGCTCCCGTGCCACCACCTGTTCCACAAGGCCTGCATCGTCCCGTGGCTCAAGTCGTCCAACTCGTGTCCGGTCTGCCGCCACGAGTTGCCCACCGATGCGAACGTGAGTGCGCCGCCTCCGACAGCCGCAGCGCCGACAACAACAACAACAGCAGCAACACCTGCTGGCGCTGGCGATGCAGGGGCAAGCAGTCCCGAGCCTGATGCCGATCTTTACCGGGATGCTACATCGTGATGAGCAGATGGTCATGATGTGGCCTTCTTCTTGGCGACCTTCTTCTTGACGCCCTTCTTCTTGACACCCTTCTTCTTGGGCGTGCCCTTCTTCTTGGGCGTGCCCTTCTTCTTGGGCGTGCCCTTCTTCTTGGGCGTGCCCTTCTTCTTGACGCCCTTCTTCTTGACGCCCTTCTTCTTGGTGACACCCTTCTTCTTCTTGACCGATCCGGGTGCGCTCGAGCCGCCGGTGGCCTTCTTCTTGGGCGTGCCCTTCTTCTTGACACCCTTCTTCTTGGCGGCCTTCTTCTTGACACCCTTCTTCTTGGCGGCCTTCTTCTTGACGGTCTTTTTCTTGGGGCTGGGCGGCGGCGAGGCATCGGCGCCATCGGCCTTTTCGGCGGAGGCTGCGTCTGGTGCGTCGGACTCGGGCTCGACAGCGGCATCAGCTGCAGCATCGGCAGCAGCCTCGTCGTCAGGCAGTGGCTCCCCGTCGGCCTTGGCCTTCTTCTTCTTCTTCTCCTTGTCCTTCGACTTGGCCTTACTCGGCGCGTCGGGCTCAGAGCTAGAAACCGCCGCCTCATCGGCGTTGTTGTCGACCCGGGGGGTGCTTGTCTGCGTCATGAGGTCGGCAAAAAGCTGCTCCACACATGTCTTGAGGCAGGCGTTAATAAAGGAAGCTTCGGTGGTGGTGAATTCGTGGACCACGAGCGAGGGCGAGACGCGGACCTCGATGATGAACTTGTTGGCGTCGCCGACCCATCGGCGGAGCTTGCGATGCGGAAAGACCGCGAGGATGGCAAAGGTGTCGTGAGCGACAACAACAAAACCCTGCGTGCCGACGCCAAGGCGGACCTTGCGCTCGAATGATGGCGACGGGCAGGGGCGGATCCATACCGTGTTGAATAGCGATGTCGACGAGGCAGCCTCGATGTACCGCGTCCGCGCCGCTTCGCTGCTCAGCCCAGACAGCTTGGCCCACTCGGCAAGAATAGCTTCTTCCCAGTCATCCATCGACTTGTCCCTGGCCATGTGACTCGGCACGTAGTCTTCGATGTGGCGGGTCTTGAGAAAGCCGCGCGCGTGGCGGCCGGCGTCAAAGTCGCCAAACAGCGCCTGGCAGTGCAGGCCGCCGAGCGAGGCAACCTGATCAGAGTCGGGCAAGCACTGTGATGATGCAATCCACGTCGCCACCTCCAGAAAAATCAAGTTGTTAACCACAGCGTCCGAGACAGCCAACAGCTTGTCGGTGGCAAACATGAAGAGAGAGAACTGGATCCATGGCTTGGTCTCCTCGGGAAAGTCTGCCCACTTGGTGAGGAGATCCGGGACAACCACGCTGTCATCAAGCAGGGTCCGGCTCTTGCTCGTAGCACAAAAGATAGCAAATAGCTGCCCAAACCGCTCCTCCACCCCCAGCTTGCTCATCACCGCCACCTTGAGTTGAGCGCCCGTCGTCCCCGCCTCGAGTGCCAATGTCTTGACCTCCTTGTTGGCCAGGAACACCCGGCACAACACCCGCGATGGTGCCGCCTACAGCCACATCCCATACCTGTGAGTCACATCCTACTTTCTCCCCTATTCTGCGCCCCTCCTCCCTGCAACAGCTACCGTAGTACCCTACGTTATTCGCCCCCCAAGCCCCATACCCGCAGCGTGGTATGCCGACGGCCGTTGGCCCGCTCACTCGGTCGGTGGAGCCAGCCATGGCCAAGGCCAAGCGTCTCAGTCCCAGCCAAAGAGCCACCGGTACAACCACCAAATCTAACAGCCACCACTTACCATTCTACTCTCTGCCAGGGAGAGAGAGATGCAAGTACTTTGCGAGCGATAGAGTGAGTGCGGTGTCGAGCCGCGGAAGAGCGAGCGCGAACGAGTGGCAGCGGTTGAGTGGGGAGGGGAAGGGGGGGGGGGAGGGGATGTGGTGTATGATATACGATATGTGGTATGTATGTGTTGGTGGATGGGGGAATTGTGTGGTGATCGTGGGGTGATTGTGTGGTGATCGTGGGGGTGATCGTGGGGTGATCGTGGGGGTGATCGTGGGGTGATCGTGGGGTGACGTCAAGTGGACACCGAGACAGAGGTGGGGTTGGCGGGGAGGTAGGGAGGCGAGGGGAGGGGGTGGCAGTACTTGACGCTGGAGAAGATGAGCGAGTCCGAGTCAGGCTCGTACGAGGAAGATTGCGAGTACTTTGGTCTCTTCAAGGTGGGAAACAAACCGTCTGTCGTTCTTCCTCGTCTTCATGCCTCTGGTGACGGCGCCCAGCTCCCGCCCGAGTCGCGGCTGCTCGCCCTGTCCAACACCTACGCAAAGGTGGTGGTGGCTGAGCCCACAGGTATGCTTCCCTTCTCCTCTTTCCCCTCCCCCCCTCCCCCCCTTCTATCTACCCTGCTCCCCCACTTTGCCAAGGGCAGTGCCCTCGGCCCAACTGGGCCATCCCCCTCCCCTCCCCCCTCGCCTTCACCGTGCTGTGAGGTTGGATGAAGCGACTCACCGGGTAGTGCGACACAGGCGGAGTGTATGTGCTGGATATGGACAGCGTGCTGCCAAGCGATGCAACAGCCGTGAACAGAAATCTGAGCCAGATCGAGGTCGTCATTCCCGAGCCTGTCCACCTGCCGGACGTCGAAGACATCAGGTTTCTCGCTCTCTCGTGCGACGAGCTGACGCTTGCGGTCGGCACCGCCGCCGAGGTGGTTCTGGTCGACATGCGAGTGCTTGCGCGGGCGGCACCAGGCTCGACTGTTGGCGTGGTTGGGCGAGTCGCGGTGGGGGCGGCGGTGGTGGAGATGGAGTGGAACACAGGCAAGTTTCCGGACCTGCTGGCAGTGGTCTCGGCCGACGAGCAGCTGGTGCTTGTGCGCGCCGACGGCGAGCTGGCTGGCTCGGGCAGTGTGGCTGGCGTGCTGAGCGTGAGCTGGTCGCCCAAGGGCTCTAAGCTGGCCTGTGGACTGAGCAACGGAAGTATTACCACCCACTCGGTGCCTGCGCTCACTGTGTCGGGCGCAGGCATACCGGCACCACCGGCAAGCGAGGCTGATCTGGCCGGCTGCGTACCGGTCTCGCTCTCGTGGATCCACAACACGCAGTGGGCGGTGTGGTACGGTGCGGCCGAGGCACCGCACCATGGCGGCGGGATGGCTGTTGTCTCACGACACGGCGGCGAAGCCAGCTTCATGGAGCTCGATGTGGCACCGACGCGGCCGAGCGAGAAGCGTGGCGTGCGGGCACAGTTTGAGCTTCTGCGGCCGTGGCTGCTGATGGCGGTGGCCACTTCAGCCAGTAAGGACATCGACCTGGCTCAGCAGGACTCTGCTGACGAGCCGTGGAAGCTACTGCTGCTTAATGAGGGTGCCGAGGCCGCAATTCCACTGTCGTTGAAGAACAGGAAGGAAACCTACAACCTCGGCACCGCATGGTACACCTCGCCCAAGGTCTACCATGCAAAGTGCCCGACCGACTACACCGAGCTCCCGCCACCGCTGCCTGTTCTTCTCACACTCACCACCGACGGCGCGATGGTTGTCCACGGCCTCCACGCAGCGCGCCCCGAGGAGCTCGAACGGGTCGCCGAGGTCATGACTGTCAGGCAGTCTCTGCCTGACGCGCCTCAGGCTGAAGCTAGCCCTGGCGATGGCCCAATCATTCTCGGTGGCCCGCCCGCGGCAGCGTCGCCCGAGCCTGCGGCAGAGGCTGGTGACGGCCCGATCATTCTCGGTGGTCCACCCGCGGCGGCATCACCCGAGCCTGCGGCAGAGGCTGGTGACGGCCCGATCATTCTCGGTGGTCCACCCGCGGCGGCATCGCCCGAGCCTGCGGCAGAGGCTGGTGACGGCCCGATCATTCTCGGTGCCCCCCCGCCGTCGTCTGACATCAAGCCATCAACCGGTTTTAAGACCGGTGGCTTCAACCTCGGCGGCAACAAGGGCAAGTCACCGACGACTGGCGGGTTCAACCTCGGCGGCAACAAGGCCAAGACACCGACGACTGGCGGGTTCAACCTCGGCGGCAACAAGGCCAAGACACCGACGGCTGGCGGGTTCAACCTAGGTGGTAACAAGGCCAAGACACCGACAGCTGGCGGGTTCAACCTCGGCGGCAACAAGGCCAAGACACCGACGGCTGGCGGGTTCAACCTAGGTGGTAACAAGGCCAAGGCAGCGACAGCTGGCGGGTTCAACCTCGGCGGCGACAAGGCCAAGGCAGCGACAGCTGGCGGGTTCAACCTCGGCGGCAACAAGGCCAAGACACCGGCGGCTGGCGGGTTCAAACTCGGCGGTGACAAGAGCGCAGATTCGCAGAAGAGCGATGCTGCGGACGCACCAGCCGCCAGTGCAGCGGACGCCTCGGCTGACACGGAAGCGGCGCCTAGTCCGGCAGGGTCAGGTTCGGCACCGGTTGTTGAGCTGGTGGACATGCCCGCAGTGACTGCACCGATGAAGCCCATCAAGATCGGGTTCAACCTCGCGGCAACAAGCCAAGACACCGACGGCTGGCGGGTTCAACCTAGGTGGTAACAAGGCCAAGGCAGCGACAGCTGGCGGGTTCAACCTCGGCGGCGACAAGGCCAAGGCAGCGACAGCTGGCGGGTTCAACCTCGGCGGCAACAAGGCCAAGACACCGGCGGCTGGCGGGTTCAAACTCGGCGGTGACAAGAGCGCAGATTCGCAGAAGAGCGATGCTGCGGACGCACCAGCCGCCAGTGCAGCGGACGCCTCGGCTGACACGGAAGCGGCGCCTAGTCCGGCAGGGTCAGGTTCGGCACCGGTTGTTGAGCTGGTGGACATGCCCGCAGTGACTGCACCGATGAAGCCCATCAAGATCTCGTCGGTCTTTACCAAGGGCTTTTCGATGAAGGGCACGCGTGATGGGGCTGGAGCATCGAACTCTTCCGCGGCGGCAGCGCCAAAGGTGGCAAGTGCGGCGCGCGCGGAACACCACCCGCTGGAGCAGCAGTACCACGACGAGTTTGCACACATGCGGTCGGCACTGAACGAGGTCGCACAGTTGCGCGCTGCGTCGGGGGCGCTCATCAAGGAGGTGGCCGCGGGAGGCGCGGATCAGTTTTCGGCGCGTCGCATGGAGTCGACGGCGTCGATGGCAGCGGCACTGGCGGCCAAGATGGAAGCGCTCAAGCGCGAGGCCGTGGATCAGGAGCACAAGCTCAGTGCGCTGGGACAAGAGCTGGTTACCGAGTGCGCACAGGCGAAGGACGGCCACACGCTTCTGTCCAAGCGGGCGGATCCGCACTACCAACAGCTGCTCAGCGCCCGTGCGCTGGATCCCGAGTCACAGCAACATGCGCGCAAGCTGCAGGCAAGCGTGCAGGAGGTCGAGCGGTCGCTCTCAGTTCTTGAGGGCCACATCTCGCGGATGCTGGCGTCACAGGACCGCGGCGTCCACGCACAGCGCGCGCGGCCGTCGCTCTCGGCAATTTACGGCTCGATTGCCGCGCAGGTCCGAGCTGCGCAGGTTCACAAGGCCGATCTGGACCAGATGGAGGCCCGCATCGATGCACTGCTGCGGCATGTGGGCAAGTCGCCGGTGTGTGGTCGCTCGCGGCCTCCACGCTCACTCTCGCCCGGCAGGCCCATGCCAAGCGATGCGCGGGTGCTCTCGACTTCTGTGCGGATGCGGACGCCGGGCCTCGGGGCGTCGGAGATGAAACGGCGGATGGGCGAGATTGCACACGCGGTGCAGAGCTCAGGTACAGTGGTACCGGTCCGGCGTGCCCGTACCGAAGCGTCCACCGACGTCGATGCCTCTCTTGTGGCAACCATTGCCGACCTGCGGGTCCGTGCAACCGAGATGAATCTCCCGACCGGTTCCCACGGTGTGCGGGCAGCAGACGCCATTGCTCGTCAGAGGAGCAAGGCGCCCGCGCAGGCCGCAGCTGCGGTGGCGCCCGCTGGCAGCATCAAGCTTAGCGCGCCCAAGCCGCTGAGCATGGCCGACGTCGGGCTGTCGGCAGCTGCTGCCGAAGGCCTTCCGGCCGCGGGCACGCCCAAGGCCGCGATGAAGTCCAAGTTCAACAAGTCGGGCCTTGTCACCCCCGCCACCACCGGGCTGGGCAAGGTTGAGCCGGTTGCCAAGGCTGCTGCTGGCGCGAGCTCTGGAAACGCGTTCAAGGTCAACAAGCCGACTCTGGCTACCGGCGCCGCCAAGCCCGCAGGCCTCAAGACCGCTTCTACTGCAGCGGCGAAACCGGCGGCCGCGGCGGGTGGTTTCAAGGCCGGCGGTTTCAAGGCCGGCGGAGCCAAGACAAGTGGCGGTGCGACTGCTGCCGGGGGTAAGCTTGCGTCTGCGACGGGCGGATTCAAGGCTGGCGGGGCCAAGACTGGCGGGTTCAAGGCCGGCGGGTTCAAGGCTGGTGGTGCCAAGGCTGGCGGCGCTGCTGCTGCTGCTGCCACCGCCGACAAGCCGGCGTCTGCGACGGGCGGGTTCAAGGCCGGCGGGTTTAAGGCCGGTGGGTTCAAGGCTGGCGGAGCAAAGACTAGTGGCGGCGCGGCCGCTACCGCTGACAAGCCAGCATCTGCGACGGGCGGGTTCAAGGCCGGCGGGTTTAAGGCCGGTGGGTTCAAGGCTGGCGGAGCAAAGACAAGTGGCGGCGCGGCCGCTACCGCTGACAAGCCAGCATCTGCGACGGGCGGGTTCAAGGCCGGCGGGTTTAAGGCCGGCGGGTTCAAGGCTGGTGGAGCCAAGACAAGTGGCGGCGCGGCCGCTACCGCTGACAAACCAGCATCTGCGACGGGCGGGTTCAAGGCCGGCGGGTTTAAGGCTGGCGGGTTCAAGGCCGGCGGGTTCAAGGCTGGCGGTGCCAAGGCAAGCGGCGCTGCTGCTGCTGCCACCGACAATCCGGCGTCTGCAACGAGCGGGTTTAAGGCCGGTGGATTCAAGGCCGGCGGATTCAAGGCCGGTGGAAGCGGCAAGCCAGCCTCATTTGCGCTCAAGACCAAGTTTGGGTCGACAAGTGCGGGGGCTGTACCGCCAACCCCGTCGGGATTGTCGAACGCCTCGCCGTTTGGAGGCGATGATGACGACGATGACGACGACGATGACGACGACTTTGACGATGACTTTGATGACGATGATGATGTGTCTGACTCGGGCGAGGCCCTCACCCGCGCTTATCAGTCGCACTCACGCCTTGTTGCGTCTGTCTCGGACAACGACTCGTCGGGCTCGGGTGGCCGCCCGGCAGTGTTCCGCGGTGGCGTCACGCCGACGCCATCGCCTCCCGAGTCTGGCTCCGACGCCGACTACTCGGGCTCGGATGGGCGGCCGGCCGTTTTCCGCGGCGGCGTTTCGCCAAGCCCTTCGGGATCTGCTAGCGATGGTGACGACAATGACGACGCCACCTCGTCGTCGAGTGGCGTTGCTGCCACTCTCTCGTCGCTCAACAAGGGTGGGTTCAATTCTGGTGGCTTCAAATCCGGCGGGTTCAAGTCTGGCGGATTCAAGGCCGGCACGGCATCTGGTGGCGCTGGCGCGGCTGCCGGCGGGTTCAAGTCCGGCGGATTCAAGTCCGGCGGGTTCAAGTCCGGCGGATTCAAGGCCGGCACGGCATCTGGTGGCACTGGCGCGGCTGCCGGCGGGTTCAAGTCTGGCGGGTTCAAGTCCGGCGGGTTCAAGGCTGGCACGGCATCTGGTGGCGCTGGCGCGGCTGCCGGCGGGTTCAAGTCTGGCGGGTTCAAGTCCGGCGGGTTCAAGTCCGGCGGGTTCAAGTCTGGCGGAACGTCTTCAGCATCGACCGGTGGCGGTTTCGGCAAGTTCTCTTCCGGTGGCTCGGCTGCCGGTGGCGGCGGTGCTGGCGGCGGTGTCGGATTCGCCAAGTTTGGTGGAGGCGGCAGCAGTGCAGGTAAGACTTCGTTTGGATCAGCCGCGTCTGGCGGCAGTAACAGCGGCGGGTTCAAGACCGGTGGCTTTAAGTCTGGCGGGTTCAAGCCCGGAAGCGGCGCCGCGTGGCAGCCGCGATGAATAAACATCCTGTACGTATCCGCGTCTGCTGTGCTGTCGATCGTCAAGTCGCATGCGGCAGTCGAGCGGGCGGCCGCCGGCCGAACCCTTCGCCACAGCAAACGTCGCTCTCCCCGCCCTGCCACGGGTCCGACTTTGCATCGCCTCTCTCTCTCTCTCTCTCTCTCCCCCCCCCCCCCCCCCCCCCCCCCCTTCTCACGCTTGCGCTACAGGTGACATGGACGGCGACGAAGGGCTGTTTGCGGCTGGACAACTGCTGTTGCGCTCCAATGCGCCGGACCCGTCCAACCCGGCTCTCTCCTCGTCACCTTCCAATAGTACCGAGGCTTCCACCGAAAACGGACCGGTCTCCGTAGCCGAGTCTGTCGACGGCTCTACCGGCCTCAGCGAGCTCAACGGCCCCAGCGAGCAGAAGCAGGGCAGCCAGTGTAGCAATGGTGCGGGTAATGAGCCCGCGACTGAGGCCGACGGCGCGGCGACGGGCAACGATGGAACGAACGATGCGGTGGACGATGCGGTGGACGATGCGGCGGACGATGTGGCGGAGGATGTGGCGGCTGGAACGACTGGACAGACTGAGAGCGGAGAGAGTCCGTCGTCGTCAGACGATGTCCTTCAGCGGGCCGAGGTACTGCTGGAGATCGAGTCGGCGGCTTGCTACCGTGTCCAGGGCGCGGAGCACAGCCGCGAGCTTATTACCGAGGGGCGACTCTCGTTTCTCTCGGTGGCATCGGAGCCGCGGAACGTGGTCTTTCTCGCTTGTACAGCCGCATTTATGTGCCCGCTTGCCGGAAGCCATGTTCCGTCGCTCCGGGTCCGCGATCGGTTCTACATCTTCCCCATGCCAGGCTTCTTCTACGGCGTCATCTTTCCAGTCTCGACGCCGCTACTGCTACTGGCCCAGTTTGAGGCGCTGCTCGCACAACACACATGCTTCCGCATCCGCGACCCACCATTGCCACCGACGCCGCGTCCGGCAGCGGCTCGGCCGTCGTTTGAGGACCAGCTCGACGCTGCGGCGGCCGGGCCGAGCGGCGACGACGACAAGGCGGAAGCGGCACATGGAGCTGGCGTGAGTGCACGTGTGCAGCCAAGTAAGGTTATCGAGGCCGAGACGCGGCCGATGGAGGAGTGGATGGCGGATCCGCGCATTGTGGCGCAGCCAGACGCGGCCATGCGCGGGGTGACGGCCGGCGGGGCGATTGCGGCAGCTATTGCCATTGCTGGTGGCATGCACACGCTGACGTACGTCAAGCCCGAGCCCGTGTGGGTGCGCGGGATGCGGGCGACGGCCGGCGGTATCGACTCGTCGACCGCATACCTCGGGCGCGGCCTAGAGAGCTCGGCGCGAGTTCTCGGGGGAACCATCCGGGCGTCAGGCGAGTCGATCAAGTCTGTGCTCTCGCCGTCGGCGGTGAGCGTGTCGGCGCGGGTCTCGCAGAACGTCAAGATGGTCCGCATGGCATCGGGTGCTGCCGTCATGGTATCCAATGTGCTGGTCAAGGGCGTGGCGGCGGCGGCGCGGACCATTGGTCAGTCTACCGCCGAGGCGCTGGCGGAAACGTCTGTCGGCCAAAAGCTGGGCGCTTCGGCAGCCAACCCGACGGTCGAGGCGCTGCGTGACGTTGGATTCTCGACGCTCAAGGGCGTGGACACGCTGTTTACCGCCCTCGAGTCGGCCGGGCGCATCCTGCTCACCGACGTCTCGACAACTACCGCCGGAGTGGTCGGCCACAAGTTTGGCCCGCAGATGGGCGAGCTCGCGCAGGACACGCTCGGCGCGGTTGGCAACGTGGCTGGCTCAGTTGTCGCGTACCAGAAGGTCGGCTACAAGACTGTTGCCACACTCGCCGGCAAGGAGACCGTAGCGACGGTGCTGGCGACCGAGAAGAACAAGCCTCCCCCGGGCTCGTCGCAGCCGGACCCGCTGCTGCTCTCCATGGGCATGTTACCCGCGCTTGCGGCGGCGTCGTCGGCATCGTCGGCGTCGAGCGTCAGCCCGGCAGCCAAGGCCGAGGACGGCAGCAGCGCCTAGACTAGCCTCGCGTGTTGAAGATTGAACTGTTTTCTTTCATTGCTCGTCGTACTCGTTACGAAGGTATTTGGTGTAGTTGGCAAAGACGCCCGGCGGCGGCGAGCGGGCGTCGCCGGAGACCGGCTTCCAGTCTGGGTGAAACGGGTCGCGGGCGGCGAGCCGCTCGGCTTCAACAGCCATGGCGGCGCGCCACTCGGCGACAGCCTCGTCGGCGGCATCGTCGTCGAGCGCGCTGGGCTCCATGCCATACGCCTCGTGGGCGCCTGGCGGGAGCTGGGCGAGCGCATCGTAGTAGGCGTATGGGTTTGCCGACGACGAGAGGAACGAATTGACCTGGAGTTGGGCCGGGAGGGACATGGCAGAGAGGGCGGCGCGGGCGCGCGGGTCGGCTCGGCTCGGCAGGCCGGAGCCGCCCGAGCCCGTGCTTGACGCCGGGCGCAGTGACGGGGGAAGAGCGGTGCGAAGGAGAGCCTCCGAGTGCGGGACGAGATATGTCGATGACTCTGGCGGATTGGCGACGATCGAGCGCGGGCCGTAGTGGTCCGAGGTGGCCACTGGCGCCTGGAGCGGGAGCTCGCGTGGCGGCGTCGAGTCGAGCATGGGGACCGAGTCGTCGTTGAGGACGGCAGTGCCGGGCAGGTGGAGGTTGGTCACGTCGCACTCGCGGATGATGAGGTCGATACGCGACTGGATGTTGGAGACGACCCGCGCTACTGATTGTGGGCGGGTGGACGAGTCACGCGGCCGCCACTTGGGGCCCTGGCGCGAGAGGGTCGAACCGACGGGCCGCGCCTCAGCAGCGCGGGCCTTGGACCCGAGCGGACGACGGGTCTGCGGCTTGCGGGCCTTGCCCGTCTGCGAGCACTTGGCACAGAACTGCGACTGGCGAGCGAGGTAGCCGTGGGCACATCGGGAGAGCGGTGCGCGGCGCGGGCGCGGGTGCGACGAGGCCTGCCCACGGGGCTCCTGCCGTGGCGGTGCGGCTGCCGCGGCTGCTGCTGCTGCTGCTTGCGCCATGCGACGGGCGCGGGCGCGGCGGCGCTTGGTTGACGGCGAGACTGGGTCGGCCTGTGCCTCTGGCGGCGCCGGACGTGCTGGCGTTGGCACTGGCGTGCGCGGGCTGCCGGACCGCGGTGCGGGCGACGGCCGGCTCTGGGGGCGGATGGAGCGGCGCGCGGGCGACGGCGTCGATTCAACGTGCTGCGGGTGCGGCAGATCAAGAGTGGCGATGGACGAGTCCGGGTTGCCCGGGGCCGGGCGGAGGCGGGTCGAGTAGACGACAGCGGAGACCGAGAGCGAGGCCGAGGACGGCGGGAGCGGCAGGCTGGAGCGAGAGGCGAGGTCTGCGGGGGCAACCAGAACGACGTCCAAGTCACGGCGGACGGCGCGATGGGCGAGCGACTTGCCGTGGAAGAGGACGTCCCAGGCGGGAGCAGACCACGCACCGAGCACGGTCTCAGCGGCGGGAGCAGCGCCTGAGGGCGGCAGCGACTGGACGAGCTCGATGGAGAGCGGAGTGTCTGCGAGGTATGCGGCGAGCGCGTCCTCGTCCCACTCGGGATCAAAGCGGGCTTCAAAGACAAACTCGTCGTTGACCCTGATGGCGCCCGAGAGCGGAAAGGCGCGGGTAGTATGCTCGCGGCCGATGAGTGCGAGTCGGAGCGAGAGTGCCGAGGCACCCGGGCGAGGCGGCGGGAAGAAGGTGATGCGCGAGACGTCCTTGACGGTGATGTATGCATGGAGGATGGTAGTGGTCATGATGTGGAGGAGGAGGGGAGTAGTCACTGTGCCCACTGTGGCTGGTGTGGCTGGTGTGGCTGGTGTGGCTGGTGTGGCTGGTGTGGCTGGTGTGGCTGGTGATGGCCGTTGCTGGTGTGTGCTTTGGTTGGTTTGTGTGGGGTGAAATGTGATTACTTTTGCTTCAATTCGTTGTTACCTGGTAATCGTTGCCGCCATCCATGGTTTCGTCATGCATTTATTCGTTGCCTTTCCTTGGTCCTTCGGTTGGGTCGTTTTTGGCGCCAACTCGGACAGTCTGGCCGACATGGTGCCACGTTTGGGAGAGCCAGCAGACAGGGCATTCTGCGGTGGGCGGACAAGGGGCGCGGGAGGGTAAGCAACGTAACTCCATAGGGCACCTCACCACTGCCACCACTCCCTTACGCCCTCCAAGCACCTGCCACCCCTCGCCACCTCCACCTCTACGACTGCACCGCCGCTGGGACGGGCAGGCCATGGAGGCTAAGAAGGCTGCCCGCGAGGCTGCCCGCAAGCGACTGGACGAGCGCCGCCAGGCCATGCGAGCCGGGGAGGCTGCCGCAACAGGGGCAACAGGAGCAGGACTTGCGTCGAACCCGCCTCGCGCCTCGCTGGCTCCGCTGGCGCAGGACTCGGACGAGGAGGCCTCGACCTCGTGGGTCTCGGACGGCTACACGTACACCGACGGTGAGTCGGACGACCCGCCTGCTGCTGCGCCGCCACGGCTGATCGTGCCGGGGCGAGGCGGCGCTGGTGAGATGGAAGACGCTGATAGTGATGACACCGCCGCTGCTGGAGTTCGAGCCAGCGGCGCGCCGCCTAGCGGACGTCTGCCTCCGCTGCCGGCAGGTGGCGCATCGGGAAGTGAGGCGGACGGGCTCGGCCAGACCGGCGGGCGGAGAGTGCTCGAGCCGATTCGGGTCGGTGGCGGCGCGGACGACAACGCACTGGTCCTCGACCCGGACGATGTGGTCGACGCCGAGCCGGAGGCTAACATTTCGGTTGTCCGGGCTAGCGGAGTGTATTCCGGCGCCCGCGCAGCGCCTGTGGGCACGTACTACCGGCAGACGGCCAAGGGCGCGTTCACCAAGACCAAAGACGGCCCGAGTGGTGGCGACGCTGGGTTTGGTGGTGGCGATGGCGACGCCGCCGACTCGGACACGGCGGCGTCGGCGCAGCGGCGGCGAAACGCGATCCTGGCCACCACGCTGGCCCAGTCTGTGGTGGACTCGTGGGCCAAGCTTGTCTCTGCGCTCTTTGTCTTTTGCCAGGGCTGTGCCGCTGGCCTCGCCATCACGGTCTTCATCCTCAGCTACGTGGTGACCGATCGCGACAACGTTGCCTTTCTCCGTGTTTTCTCGCCGATGGCGCGGTCTGTCCAGGGCCTGTTCTTCTTCTTTCTTTCGCTCGCCTTTCTGGGCGCGGTCGACAAGTACGCCAAGGACAAGATGGGCCGGTGGTACGGCTCGTGGTCGCGTCAGGGCGTCGATCTCCTCGCTCTTGCTCTCTACGCGCTTGCGCTCTTCTTCACCTCGCTTGCCTCGTCGACGTCAGACGTCATGTACTACGCTCACGAGCGCATCCCGGGCTGGTTCGAGGCGCCCGGCGCCATCACCTCGTCGTTTGACTCGACGCTCACCCAGTGGCACGCCTACAACAACATCCGCATCTGGGCCACCATCATCGCCTGGGCCGTCCTCTCGCTCGAGACGACGCCGTACAACATCAACGACTCCAACTACGCCCTCCATCTCCGCGCCACTGGCGCCCAAGGTGTCCACGCCCCAGCTGTTCCCGGCCAGGGCGCCGGACCGCGCGGCCGTGTTGGCATCGTCTCGACAGAATGAACACACGTGTGACACTCAGCCGCTGCACGTAGATAAACCATGTTGCGCGGCTCCGCAACGTGTGGCATAGCAGTTCTCTCCAACAGCTTGATGACGTTTGTTGTTTGGATGACGTGTCTGGCTATGGTGGGCGGCTTTCGTGAACAATGCGGCGAATGCGGCCAATTTGGTGGCGCCATCGATCTCTCTCGCCGAGACAAAATCATCACTGGCGATGCTCCGCGCTGGCTTTGGCCTCATTGCTCTACCGATCATCACATCCCGCGCGTTTACCATGTCAGCTACGCTCAAGACTACCCCTCCTAGTATGTGCTTTTTGAGGCATGGTAGAAAAGGGGTGTGTTTGTGGTGTGTGTCTGTGGTGTGGTATGAGTATGGGAGGTGGGAGCAGCTGGCTGACGCGCTGCTGCTCAACTCGAGCTGGCTGACGGAGGGGGGACGGGTGACGGGGGACGGGTGACGGGGGAGGAGTTAGAGGGCACGAGTACTCATGGTTGACACATGGTTGGAGGTAGTTACGTATGAGGTCTCTGGCTTTGCGGCTTGTGGCTTCTACCAGCGGGCCAAGACGCTTGTGCTGAAGCTCGAGCAGGAGCGGGAGGACGTCAAGGCCAAGGTGATCGAGTTTGACTCGCGTTCCGACTACAAGACTGCGCTGCCGCAGCTGAAGGAGGTACGGCAGCAGTGGTGTGTGTGGGGGGTTGTAGTGTAGTGTAGTGTTGTCTGGTATGTGTGCAGTGTGCAGCTCACAGAGTGCGGGCGACGGGGCGATGGGGGGTATGGGGCCGGCTGTCAACAGAACGTGGTGTCGGACAACGATGCACATGTGAGCCACACGTCGTCGCCGCTAGTGGTGGCTGTCGACAACAACGATTCGACCAAGCGCGCCTTTATCGGCGGCGCGTCCGAGTTCCAGGCCTTTGTGGACGAGCATCAGCTGCTGTAGCAACGCGAGGGTGGCGTAAAGGAGACGTTGTTACGCAAGGAATAGTGAGCGAGAGCCACCAGGCGGCGGATGTCAGAGCAAGGCCGGCGGCGACCAATCCTCGGGGATGAGGACAAAGCGTCGGGTCTTCTCGGCGTAGGGCAGGGCGTCGTCGGCGTTGGTGTAGTGCTTCTCGATGATGGGGAGAAAGGCGCCGGCTTCGAGGTCCCGATCACAGTCGTAGTGGACAGCAAGAGCGGTCATGACCGACCAAGCGTGCAGTGCGTTCTCCTCCATCAGGCCGCGGGCGTCCCAGAGACCGTCTCCGACGGGCTTGATGCCAAGCTCGGCCATGACCGCCAGAGCACCATACAGGTTCTCCATCTTGCCGCGATCCGAGACGGCTGCCTCGTTGTAGACGCCAAGCGGCTTGCCCTCTAGCGCCTCGAGCAGCATCCACAGGCCGATGCCGTTGGCAAAGTCCGTGACAGGATCGCGGAGCGGAGTGTAGCCAGCACCCGTATGGTATCCCCGCATGCGCTCGTTGAAGAAAGCCATGCAGTTGGAGAGCAGAGTCCGCGCCTCCCGCGAGCGCATAGCCTTGCGATGGACATCGAACACAACTGGTGGTTGGTATGGAGATGATGGATATGCAATGAGTGTGAGAGGGGGGGGGGGAAGAGGGGGGGGGAGAGGGGGGGAGACAGAGAATAGGCGTACCCTTTGCTGACGAGGCCATGGTGCGCAGGCTGGATCTGTCGACTGCACAGGTTTGGAGGGTATGTGGTAGAGGGAGGGGGGGGAGGGAAGGGATAGGGGACGGTGTGTGTGTGCGTGCGTGCGTGGAGGGGTTGTTGTGAAGGGTTGCAATATAGAGGGGTGTGTTGTGTGTTGTGTAGTGGGTATCTGCATGTGTACTTCCCCCCCTATGGTCATGCCCCCCCCCCCCCCCCCACAAATAAACCCACCCATTTTTCTTCTCCCTTTCCGCCCCGGTCTCTGCACCTGTGTCGCCACGGGCCCCTGTGTCGCCACGGGCCAAAAAAATGGACGTCATGTCGGGCCTGGAGCCACAGCCATCACCACCAGCATGACCAGTGCCAGCGACAAGTACGCCGACTGACTGCGACTGCCACTCACACCACTACTACCACTACCACTGCCACACACACACACACACATATACGCTCTCTCTCACGCACTCGACTCCGCTCCATCACCATGGCTATGCCATCCTCGCCAGGCTCGCGCTCTGCCGCAGCAGCACCCTCCCCTCCGCCTACCACCACCACTGCCACCACTGTCACCACTGCCACCACTGCCATCACTGCCGCTGCCACTGTCAATAGTGGTGCTTCTGCTGGCGCATCGATGCGCATCATGTCGTGGAACATCAACGGGTTGCGGGCGCTGCTGCGGAGACACAACTCGGACTACGGCGCACTGATGACTCAGCTCGGCGAGCCGAACGTGCTGTCGCTCCAGGAGACCCGGATGTCGCTGGCTGCGCTGGCGGGTCTCACTGCGCTTGCGCCGCCGGGCTACGAGGCATACTACGCCTGCTGCGCCTCTCGCGGGGGATACTCGGGCGTGGCGACCCTGGCGCGGGCGGGATCGGTCCTTGCCGCTTTTGACTCGTTTGCCAAGGCCGCCGCGGCTTGGACGCCCGACGACGTGCTCGACGCTGCCATGACTCCACACCCGCTCATGCCGACCGGCTGGGCTGGTGAGGGCTTGCAGGCCGAGGTTGATCGCCAGGCCGCACCGGCCGGATCGGACGCATCGTCGCCGGCGCCCGAGTCCGTCGACGGCGACGATCGCGTCCCGGCGCCGCCGACCACACTGCGCCAGTGGCTCGACACCTGGGCCCCGCGCTTTGATGCCGAGGGTCGCATGGTCTTTACCCGCCACGGCCTCGTCGGAAGCGACAAGGACATCCTGCTGTGCAACGGCTACTTTCCCAACGTGGGCCAGGGCGGCGAGCGCGTGGCGTTCAAGCACGCGTTCAATGCGCTCATCGCCGCGCTTGCGACCGCCTGGGCCTCTGCCGGCTTCCACGTCGTCATCCTCGGCGACTTTAACGTCGTCCATCGCGACATCGACTGCTTCCACGCCAATCCTCCGGCGCACGAGGCGGGTCTCAACCCAGCCGAGCGGGCGTGGATGGAGTCGCTTGTCGGCAGCGGCGGCGCCTTTCTCGATGCCTTCCGCATCTTCCATCCCACCGAGTCGCGCAAGTACACATGGTGGTCGGTCAAGAAGAGCCGCCGGCCGTCCAACAACGGTTGGCGTCTCGACTACTTTGCGCTCTCACCGTCGCTCCTCGCCGAGGAGCTTGTCGCCGACTCGGACATTCTGCCCGACGTCCATGGTTCGGACCACTGCCCGATCACACTCACGCTGTCCGCGCCATGCCGCCTTCGCGCTCCCGACGAGCACGCCCCGGCCAAGCTTCCGTCGCTCTCACTCCTTCGCTCGACCTCGACTGCTTCCATTGCCACAATACTCGACTCGAACCAGCCGACCATCGTCTCAATGTTCAAGCGTCGGCGCCCACGTGACGACGACGACGCCGGCCCGTCGGGCGCATCGCCGACCAAGCGCGCGAAAGGTCTTGGCGGCTTGTCTTGAGCATGAGGTTAAAACTGTGGATTGAGGCGGAGCTTGGTGCACATGACGTTGCCAAACGCGTTCCACACGGCCTCCCACTCGCCAGCCGGCGCCTCAAAGATGAGGATCCACGTGGCCTGCGTCTCGCGGTTGTACCACACCACATTCATGTAGTTGGCACCCATGACGTTGTCGCGCAGCAAGGCACCTTGCAGCAGAAACGGATACGGCGAGGCTGAGGCACCGGCGTCAAACTGCGAGACCAGCGTGAGGCCCTGTGTGTTGCCGGCCCCGTACTCGGCGGCAATCGTCTGCTTAAAGTCGGCGTAAAACGTTGGTGCCGTCCGCACCACACGCACCGAGAGCCCGACGTCGTACTGTGCGCCTGACGACCGTGGTGCTAGCGGTGACCGCGTCAGCAGCAGCGTCGACGACTCGGCCGTCAGCATCGGCGTGTACGTCCACCCCACAGGCAGGAGCAGCGCCGATCCGAAGCGCGCCACCCAGACCCACTGAAAGCCGTCCGGCGGCGGCGGGAGGTCGCCGGGCAACTTGGTCGACGTTGTGCGCGACGTCGACCGCGCGCGGTAGTCCATGGCGTATGCATCGCCCTCGCGAGCATCAAACACCCCGCTCTCCTCGCCGGCAGCATGGATCGAGCCCGACGATGCCAGGTAGTTGGCGTACGTCGCCGCCGTCACCACACCGGCTCCGATGAGGAAAGAGGCCACAACCAGCTTTTGCCCCGGAAACCGCTCAGTCGATCCGTGTCGATACACCTTTTTCGGTTTGGCCGGACCCAGCCGGAGCCACTGCCGCCACCATGCACCGCCGCCCGAGCCCGGCCCGCCCGAGCCGGCCCCTCCCACGCCGCCCTGCTTGGGCAGCGGCAGCGGTGGAAGTCGTCCACCTCTGGCCCCTGCCACTCCGCCCATCGAGCGCCGTGCAGCCGTCAACCTCATCCACCCCATGATCTTGGTCGATGACGAGGATGACGAAGGAGGTGTGGCCGTCGTCGTCGGCCCCGTGCGCCCGTCCAGAGGCTCTTGCCACCTTTGCGCCTTGCCACCGCAGCCGCCCGTCGTGCCGCCAGCGGCCGCGACAGCGCAAGTCCGACACGAGTGAGGGCACGGCAAGCAAGCATGATAAGAGTCGAGTGTGCGGGGGTGGGGAGGGGGAGTGGCTGGCCCCGTTGCTCTTGTTGCCTCGGCTGCCGCCAGAGGGCGCTGCGGCTGGGATGGACACACGTGGCACGTTTGCGATTGGTTGGCTGGCTCTGGCGAGAGCGGGCACTGTGCCACTGCTACACCTCATCATCGGATGACAAAGGCGCGATCGCGCCCATTGCACACGAGGTCGAGTTCGGGCGCGGTGACGACGTACGATACCGGCGAGGTATGAGTTCTGGCAGCACGGTAGATGCCGATGGCGAGGATGTTGTCGTGGAGGAGCGCTGTGGCCAGTAACGACTCATGCTGCATGCTGGTGCTGCTGGCCTCTGATGGCTGAGTACGGTGGGAAACGGAGGACGGGTCGGTCAGGAGGGCGACGGCATTGTCCAACATCGGCTGTAGATTTGCGACCAGATGATGGAGACAGGCAGGTCATCGAGACAGCCGACTTGGACGAGGGCGGGAGGCATGGGAAGGTACAACCCGTCCAAGTATCTGGAAGTGTTCTACCGATGGCTTCCTAGCCAGGGCTCTGTCTTCGGGGCCATCATGCCGTTTATGGTTGCTACGCTAGCGGTCAACGTGGTCCTCCTCGTCCTCAAGTCCGAGTTTAAGACCAAGGTCGGTCTTCCGCTCTCGGCCCACTCCATCTTTGGATTTCTGCTCTCGTTCCTTCTGGTGATGCGGACGACCATGGCATACCAACGATACATGGAGGGCTACGCCGCCATGTCGCTGATGGTGCGGTCGGCGCGGACGGCGACGCGCGAGATTCTAGTGGCGGGTTCGTCTGGCTCGGACGCGAGTGTAGCGCGGTGCGTCCGGTACATCAAGGCGTATCTGTTTGTGGCAACCAAGCATTTGCGATCGGAGGCGCTGGAGCTGGAAGAGGTGCCGGATGGGCTGCTGACGGCACGCGAGACAAACTACCTTGCGCCGCGGTCGCGACGCTCGTTGCTCATCATCGGCTGGCTGGCCATCGAGGTCGAGGCGCTGCACTCGATGTCGGCCATTTCGGACATGCACCGGTTGCACTTGCTCAACCACCTACAGGCGCTGACGGATGCGTTTATGGGCGCGACGCGTGCGCGGGCCATGTTCATCCCGTTCCCGTTTGCGCAAGTTTTCATCGTCTCGCTCACGCTCTATTGCTTCTCGCTGCCTATCGTCCTCATTCCGATCTTTGGCCGATGGTCAGTGGCACTCACGGCCTTTGCCTGCTTTGTCATCTTTGGCACTGCCGAGGTGGCGCGGCGGCTGGAGTCTGCCTTTGAGCAATACAGCGGGTTCGAACCCATTCCGCTCGACCTCATCATTACCGCCGCCTTTGACGACATCGACGCGTATGTGGCACAGTTTTCCGACTTTCGGCGTGGCCTCACTTTTCATCGCAAGGCGCTGGACGATGCCGAGGCTGTCGACGACGCGACCCGTGGGACGTGGATTGGCCTCAACTCGCTGGCGCCCGAGGAGCTCGGCCCGCCCGGCGAGATGACCGAGGCCGAGAACGTGGCGCTGGGCATGGCGATCGAGACCGACACCGTCCCGCACGAGATCTCTGTTGCTGTCTCGGAGCTTGTCGAGCTTGACGAAGCGCTCGAGCGGGCGCGGTCGGCAGCGGGCTCAGGCATGAGCTCAGTCAACGGATCTGTTGCTCCAGACGAGCACGAGCAGCCGATGGTGCCGAACGAGTCGACAATGGAGCCGTAGAGACTACGGGCCGAACGAGTCGAACGAGGCCCAGAGCTCGGCAAAGTGGTCGACAAACGGAACAACGAGCTCCGGCGTGTTGCTCACGATGATGTTCTCGTTGTTGACCGACGCCGCGGCCGAAGTCCAGTTGAACGAGCCGGTGAGGGCGACGGCTCTGTCGACGACCGCAAACTTGTGGTGCATATGGGCGGGCGTAGTGTCGATGCGGACCGGGATGGATGCCGCCGCCAGCTGCGAGATGTCCGAACCCTCGTTGGTTAGCGTCTCGTTGTCGGTGATGATGCGGACGGCGACGCCTCGGGCAGCAGCCTTGATGAGGGCGGCGACGAGGCGCGGCTCGGTGATGGTAAAGACGCAGACGTCGATGGAGGCCTCAGCAGCGAGAAGAACACCGAGCAGCTGGCCGAGCGTCTTGTCGTTGTTGCTCGTCGGAAGCTGCGAGAAAAAAGCACCTGGTTGAGCGCGCCAGGCGGGTAGGCGTGGATGTTGACCTCGGCGGCAGCTGCACCCGAAGACGATGCCACCACATCCATCTCGTTTTCATCTAGCGGCGGATAGCGCGAGACAACGGTCGGCGGCACGCCGGTGACGGCCTGGATGCCACGGAGCGCGGAAGCGGCGGCATCGGCGTCGCCTCGAACCCGGACGTAGCCTTCTGTCCCGCGCCGAGGAATGTCGATCAGCGCGTGGCTCTCGGCCTGCAGCGCACGCAGAGCGGCGCCTCCAGGACCGATGATGCGCCCGTAGAGACCCGGATCGATGCCGAGCTCGAGCGTGACCAGCGGCTCGTCGGAGATGGCATGGCCGAGGATGGAGACAATGGCGTCGATGGCGTCTTGAATAGCGGGCTCTGACCCCGAAATGACCACTGCGTCCGAGGCCTCGGCCCTCCGCGGGATAGTGAGCGAAGCACCCGTGGCGGCCTCCACGTCGCGGGCGACTGAGCCGCCAGGCCCAACAATACGGCCATGCTCCTCCTTGGGAATGTATACAGTCAGTAGCGGCATGGAGTCGTTGGAGTCGATGGAGTGGGATGTGGCGAATTGCCCCTGTTCCGCCTGCTGTTTGCCGGCGACGACGGCAGGGTGGCGGAAAGCGTGACGCTGTGCATCTGATTGAACAGCGAATGCCAACGATGGCAAGGGGCGATCTTGCCCGAGTGTGTGACGGATGTCGGCTGTAGCCGCGTTTGGTGGTGGTGACGAGGCGCTGACCAGGCTACCATGAGGCTGCCATCAGGTTCTCGCCTGCGATCCGGCCGTGATCAGGGCCGTGATCAAGCTGCGATCCGGCCGTGATCAGGCCCGTGATCAGGCCGTGATCAGGCCGCGTTCAGCCTTCCAGGCTGCAATGTGGTTGCGACCACGGTGCGATCAGTGGCTGTTCCGAGTCTGAACAGGCTCTGATCAGGTGGCGATCAAGTCGGAGCAACTCGGCAAGAGCAGGCACACCGCACTCCGACTTCACCCGGGTATGGCGAGAGCAGCATGTCCAAGATGGGAGTACAACTGGGGTGGAATGGTGCTATTGCTGGTGGTGCTGAGCGCAGGTACCGGGCTGGCTGGCGGTGCTGGGCTCAACATCGACCTGACAGCAGCAGCGGCGGGCGGGCACGATCCGGCGGCACTGGGAGCGTCTGCGGCGGTGGTAGGGCAGTCTCGCGACAGGCTGCTGGTCTCGGTCATGCACCCACAAGTGCCGCTGGATGCGGGTAGCCCAGATGTGGTCAAAGAGCGACTTGAGGCGGCCCGGAAGGCACTGGCGAGCGGAGGGTCTGACCAGGCCGCGACGGTCGTTGCTGACCTCGCCGAACTTGTGGCGGACGAGGACGGCGAGGCGATGCGGGTGAGCGCGCATGCGCTAGCGACGGTGCAGCCTCCACGTATGGGTGAGGCGCTAGAGTTGCTTGCGGCTTGCCCAGCTCCCGAGTGCGCGTTGACTCGCGGAGTTTGGCTCGCGGCGGCGGGCGAGACGACGCTTGCGTTGGATGCACTGCTTGCGGCAGTGGCAATGGGTAAGGAAGCCGGGCGCGAGCTTGCAGACGCGCATTACGCCATGGGCATGGTGCTTGCCGGGGCTGGGCGGCTGGGCAAGGCGCGCGAGGCGCTGGCGGCAGCACTTGCCGTGGACGCAAACCATTTCTTGGCGCTGATGGAATCGGCGCACCGTGAGGAGGACCCGGAGCGGGCGTTTGGGCTGTATATGCGGGCGGCCGAGGCCGATGCAACAATGATCGAACCGCTTCTGGGCGTAGCCGAGCTGATGATCAACGGCTCGGCGTACAGCTCTGCGCTGGTGTACTACACTCGGGCTCTGATGCTCGATGCGTCGTCAGCGCCGGCCCTGGCTGGCATGGCGAGTGTGTACCTGCGATTGGGACGGCCGCACCACGCGCTGGCAGTGCTGTCGACTGAGTACGTGCCGGAGCATCCGTCGCTCGAGTACTTGCGCGGCCTTGCTCACTTTGAGGCTGGCAACATCGCAGGCGCGGCGGCGTCGTTCCTGGAAGTAACCAAAGCCAACGCAACCCACGGCGGGGCGTGGGCGTCGGCGGCGCGCTCGCTGCTGGAGCTGGGCATGCTGGATGAAGCCAAGGCGGCAGTCTCCATGGCGCACCGCCTGCTGTCGGGCTCCAAGCTTGTGCGGATGCTGGTTGCCGACATCTCGATTGCGAGCCGGGCGCCTCCGGCGTTTGCGGAGCAGGTTGTTCTCGACATGCTGGCCCGCAACAACTCGCGCGCTGCGCTCGGCATGGTTCGTGCACGCGCCGAGAGTGACAATCCGCTACCTCACCATTTCGAGCCTGTGCTGACAGCTCTGGCTTCGGGCTCTTTGCCGGGCATCTGCGAGCTGACCAGCAGGGACGACGGAAGTCTCACTGGTCTGGAAGCACTCGCAAGCGCACGGCTGCTGGCACCACCGCGCGGCGCAGGCAAGGAATCAAAGCTGCCGAGTCGGTCGTCGTCGGCACTTGCCCGTGCGGCGTGGCGGTACCTTGTGGATGGCTTGGCGTACACGCGCGCGGTGGCCGTGCTCGACGCTGCGCCTCCTAGCAAGGACGATGTGAGCGTGACGCGCGGAAAGGCGCTGGCATCGTGGCTGGCGCGTGCGAGCTTGGTCGGACAAACCGTGCTTGGGCCGGGACTGGCGGTTGCCGAGGTGAGCCGCGAGTGGCAGACGTACCTGCTGGCACAATGGGGCGTTTCTAGCGGGCGGATGGAACTGCTGCCGCGGGCAGCCGGGGATGTGCGGACCCGGATTGGCCTGCTGGTGACCCGTAGTGCGTTTGGTGGGCTTGACCGGGTCGGCAGCACTAATCCGCTGGAAGCGCTTGTGCTTGCGCTGCGGAGCGTGAACGAGAATGTCGAGGCGTACGTGTACCTTGCCGATGCCGAGCCCATGGCACGGGCAGCCGGCGAGGCAGCGGCGGCGGGACTTCGCAATGAGTCGCGGATCGCTGTTGCCGATCTGCACCAGGTCGCAGCGCCTGTGGCACTCCGGCGGCTTCGCGGGGATTCTTTGGACCTGCTTGTGGACCTGTCGCGATCGTGCGAGCCTGCACTGGGCGGGCTCGGGCCGATTATGGCGGCGAGACCAGCTCTGAGCACGGCGCGGCTGTTTGGGGCGTCGGGCTGTATTCCGACGACTAGGCCGCCGATCGGGTTGCGGGCGGCGGAGGGCGATGACCTTGCCGACGTGGCGTCGGCTTGGGCTCCGCCGGTGGACATCAGTCTGCGGCAATCCGTGCAGGCATCGATGGGCTGGGATAGTGCAGACGGAAAGGTTGTGGGCACGTTTGGCGCGCTCTCGTCTGATGTCGACGCTTGGCTGAGGAAGCCGTCGCGAATCAACCGGGTTGTGGTGGGTGTAGGCGCCGGCGAGGCGAACCTGCACGATCGGTGCACGGCGGCCAAGGTGAGCTGCGCATCGATGGATGCGCACGCGGAGCTTGTTGCCGGGCTGGACGAATACGCGGCGCTTCTCTCTTCGCACACGACGCTGGCGCAGCTCGAGTGGGTAGTCCTTGCGCTGCGGTCCGGGGTGGAGGTGACGGTGGTTCGACTCGACAGCAACATGTCTGAAGCGGGGCGGCGGATCCAGCGGGTGGTGAAGCGGTATCAAGCAAGCGGCGGCCGCGTGGGCGCCAACCCGATGGCTGCATCCGTCGCCATTGTGAATGCGGCCAAGTAAGTAAATGCCATGCCGGCGAGCGGTGCCTTTTTCGGCCAAGGCTTCCACCGCCAGGCTTCCGACAGGAGCGAGAGCAAGAAGCACGGCTCTCTACAGGGTCAAGCAAAACATGGCAGCGATTGGAGGGCGTGTGGCAAAGACGGTGTCGGCACTGGCCGAGGCATGGTGTGTGCGGACCGGGGCAAATAGCGTGGGTAAAGCGCTGGCAGTGGACGAGCTCAGTAACGTGTGGCGCGGCTTGCCTTACCGCATGCCGACGGATGACAACGCGCTGGCTAACATGGTGAGCCGCGGCTTGCTGAGTGCCGAGAAGGCCGAGGTTGTGGCGGCAGGATGCGCGCCGGTGGCGCTGGCGTCGATGCGGGGAGTGCTGGAGGCGTTTGCGCGGGTCCAGGCGACTGAGATCGGCGCCGACGCTGCGAGGCAACTGTACGGCGACGGGTCGGCGGAAGCGGTGATGGCGCGGCTGGTGGCCAAGCGGCCGCTGATGTTCATGAACGGCAACGACTCGCATTTGTTGCGCGACGGAACGAGCCGGGGCTGGGGTGTGCCGGAGCCGCGAGCCGAGTACATGGACTACGACGAGATGGTGTACTCTGCGCTCATTGGGGTCTCGTGCGTGACGCCGTTCATCAACCAGGGCGGGCGCTACAACCGGGGCATCTTTGTGGGCGAGGACACGTGGGCAGATGAGGTCGAGCCGCTGGGGGTTTATGTGGGCATGGTCGGGGCGCGGTTCGAGGTGCGGGGCAAGATGGAGTTCTCGTACTGCGGGTTGGCGCAGGATGAGGCGGTGCCAGCGGCCGGTTACGGTGACCCGAGCCATCCGGAATATGAGGCATCGGCGCAGCTCAATGTGTTGGCGGCAGCGCTGGGCGTGGCACGGTTTCCGAGCTACGATGAGGCGGTGCAAGGAGCAGCGCGCGGCGCCGAATGCGGGGACGTGGCCAGCCACCCTGACGAAGCACTGGCCTTGCTGCCCGAGGCAGTGACAACAGCAGTGTCGCGTGTGCTGGAGCAGGTGCCGCGGTTTGCGCCTCTGCGCTCGAGCGCGGTGCTGGACACGTTGGTGTACGCACGGCGCATGGCGGCGAGCGCATTGCTGTTCCTGAGGGAGGCCAACGCGCGTGGGGCGGCTGCGGGGCAGCCTGCATACTGCCATGTAGTTGGGCTTGGGCTTGGGGTGTGGCAAGTGACCGATTTCCAGGCGCAGGTGTTTGTGGATGTGTTTGGCGCTGTCCTCAAGGCCGAGGCTCTGGAGCACGTTGGCATTGTCGACTTTTCGTGGATCGGGGAGTGCAGTCGTGCGCGGGGGTAGGGGCTGGCGAGGTGTGCGGCCTCGGCTCGACGCGGGTCCAGTTCTCGAAGCGCGATCCGGCGGCCAAGCTCAAGGGCGAGTTTGCCGACCATGTGCTCGTGGCCATGTACGCGTGGGACTCGAACGCGTACCCGGGCAATGAGTACTGGGTCGGGGCGCTGTCGGCGTCGGGAGACCCGGCGGCAGCGTGCTGCTCGGCGATTCCGGAGCTGCAGAATCCGGATGTGAACCCGTTTGTGGAAGGCGACAATGTGGTGTGGTTGTGAGCACTGTTCAGTTTACTATGGCTGGTTAACCTTGGATGGCTGTGTCGTCGCCGCCGGGCAGGCCGTCACGGATCCTCTCTGCGGCGGTCTTGATGGCTTCAGCCGAGTCGTCGAGCAGCGAGTGTTCTTTGGACTCGGGCTCTGCGCCGAGGACGGCGTCCTTTGCGGCGGTGGCGTTCTCGACAACGGTGTCCTTTGCGGCGGTGGCTGTGTCGGACCAGGCCTCGGCCTTGCCGAACACCTTTTCCTTGGCAGTCTTGCCCCACGACTGTGCCGTGTCGCCTGCGTCGGCAGCCTTGTCCTTGATGGTCTCCTTGGCGTCAGCGGCGGCATCTGTCGCGTCGTCGGCCTTGCCGAACACGGTCTCCTTGATGGACTCGCCCCACGACTGTGCCGTGTTGCCTGCGTCGGCAGCCTTGTCCTTGATGGTCTCCTTGGCGTCAGCGGCGGCATCTGTCGCGTCGTCGGCCTTGCCGAACACGGTCTCCTTGATGGACTCGCCCCACGACTGTGCCGTGTCGCCTGCGTCGGCAGCCTTGTCCTTGATGGTCTCCTTGGCGTCAGCGGCGGCATCTGTCGCGTCGTCGGCCTTGCCGAACACGGTCTCCTTGATGGACTCGCCCCACGACTGTGCAGTGTCGCCGCGTCGGCAGCCTTGTCCTTGATGGTCTCCTTGGCGTCATTGACCTTGTCCATTGCGTCCTCGGTCCACGCCTTCCCAGTCGGCGTCCCTGCAGGTGTCCCGCTGCGGACCGGGACACCGTGCATTACCTGCTCAGTCATAATTTCCAAATCGTCTTCCATTGTTATTGTTGTTGCGCTTGTGCTTGTGCTTGTGCTTGTGCTTGTCCTTGTGCTTGTGCTTGTGCTTATGCTTGTGCTTGTGCTTGATGTCTGCTTATGGCGATTCAACTAGGGCCAAGCGCGTCGCTTTTTATTCTGTCGCCTGTGGATGACTGTTGGCTGATTGCATGTCAGCAGCCGTGACGGCCGTGTGACGTCAGGCCCAGTCTGGCCGGCATCCGATTGTTCGGGAATCTCGGAGGGGATAGAGGCCACCAGAAGCACGATACACACATCCAGAGGCATGGATAATGTCGGGCATGAGTAGGGGCTTGGTGTGAGTGTAGAAACGGGGTTGGGGGAGGGTGATTGTGAAGGGGCGCGTCCAAGAGTTATCCGGCAGGTGACGCATGGCTTGCGGACTGCAGCAAAGGGTGGAAGAGGCGCATGGTGTGGTAGTTGCTCAACGTGGGGCACGGTGCAGTATTTATGCCACAGCACCGGCGGCGGGTTCGGAGCCTGGCTCAGAGGAAGGGGCCGAGGGTGCGGCGGGAACATCGTTGGACTCGTCATCGTCGGACGAGTCGCCGTCGTCCAGCGAGATGCCGGAGAGGCGGACAAACTTCTCGATGTCGATGGGAACGGGGTTCTGGAGCGTCCGCTCTACGCGGGCTTTGCAAAACTTCTCCTCCTTCTTAAACTTGGCGTAGACCTGGCGGCGGGTGCGGTTGGGGAAGAGCTTGGCGATCATGCCAAAGTCTGTACCGAGCTGAGCGAGAGCCTCGTAGAAGAGCTCGAGCTCTTCGGGCGACCACTTTTCGGCAGACGTCCTGTTGATAAACGACGACGAGGTGACGCGAGACGCGTTCTCATGGACGGTGGCGTACTGGCGGGTCGCCGAGGTATCGTCGGTCGAGGGAGTGTAGGTGAGTGATTCGGCAACAACCTCCATCCGGCCGTTGACGATGCGGATGCGCGGCGCGACCGGCGGCGCAGAGAGCGCGAGCGGCTCGGGTGGGCCGGCAGGCACCGGCACCGGCACTGGCAGTGGCTCTTCGACCGGAATAGGGACTGGGCTTGGTGCCTCTTCCTCTTCCTGCATCGGGAGCGGGATGTCCTCGGGCTCAACGCCCTGAATTTTGGCAAGCTTCTCGCGCTCTTTGCGCATGCGGTTGCGCGCGGCACGCGCGGCGGCCGACCGCTTGCGCTTCTTGCGGGTTTCGGCCATCCGCGCGATGGCAGCAGTCGTCGGGACTCCGGTTCGGTTGTCATGGATAAGGTCACGCATGGTGAGCCGGTGGACGCGCGGGGCGTGTGCGGGCGCGGCGGCTGGCGCCGCCGACTCGGTCTCAGTCAGCTCTCGCCCCGTCCCCGGCCCGTTTCCTGCGGTGGACGCACTCCGCGGCGGAAGCGCGACCGGAGCAGACGGTTGCTGCTTCTGTTGAGCAGCCGAAGTTCGACTGCCGGTGCGCGCTCGCTTGGCAGCCCTTGCGGCTATTGCCGGCTCGTTGCCGAGCTCGCGAGCGGGGCGCTTGCGGAGGTTCTCCTCGAGTCGGCGCTGCTTCTGGCGCTCAAGACGCTGCTCGTTGGCACGGGCCTCCTCATTCGCACCCGACGAGATGCGCGGGAATACCAGGTTGCCGTCAAGGATCGACGTCGGGGTCGGCGCCACAGTGGCGTCACTCGCTGCCCCGGCGGCGGCCGGCATGCCCGGGCGGCGCCAGCTGGCCTCGGCCTCGGCCTCGAACCGGGTCGCTGACAGTAGCGACGCCGGTGCGCGGCGTTCCTCATCGTCGTCGTCTGCCCGCGGCCGAGCCGGAAGCGGCTGTCGCGGCGGGACACGGACCGACGGCCGCGAGACCGCCGGTCGCGCAGGCAACGCTGCTGAGCTTGTTGCGACGACGTCCTCGGCTCCTGCACCGCCCGCTGCCTCGGACCCGGTCTCATCGACAGGCTCCTCGGGTGCGACGGCTTCCTCCGGCGGCTTCTCCCGTGTCAAGGCATCGAGATCGAGGCCAGCTGATGCGAGGGCGTTGGCTCCGGTCTTGCGGCCCTTCTTGCCCTTCTTCCCACGCTTGCCCTTCCTGCCCTTCTTGCCGAGCGCAAGCGCGGGGACAGCACCTGCGCCCGCCGCCCGCGACTCTATCCTCGACCATGCACATTCCCCGTAGCAACCGCTCCTTGTGTGAGTCGTGCGCCTGTCTCCCGCGGCGGTACTCTCGTTACGCCCATCGACCCATCCTCTGCACCCCTGGCGCTGTGATGGCGGGCGGGTCTGAACGTACGCAGCAGCAGATTGGTCGACGCCTGCGACGACGACATCGCCCTGACTTGTGACGCTGTAGTGCGAGGGTATGTATGTAGAGCTTATGCGTGTGTCTGGGTGGTGCGGGTGGTAGTGAGGTGGTGGATGTGTCTGTGGTAGTCAGCAACGGGTGAGGGTGGCGGTGAGGCTGTTTGGCTGGTCGGTTTGTCGGAAGAGGAGAGAGAGAGAGACGGGGGGGGGGGGGGAGGAAAGGGGGTGGATTCTGCCATTCAATCCAACCCATGCATTCACTTAATTTCCTTCAATTGTGTCGGTTGACGGTTGGCTGGCAACAATGGCTGGGCTGGCTCACCTGGCGAAAGCAGCCCACTCGCAGCCTTTCCGCCCAACCGAGCTCGATCAAGACAAGAGCCGAGGCCAGGCTTGCACACCGACAACCACCAACTCGGAGCTCCACCGCACTCTCTTACAAGACACGCTTGTACTACCACAGCCTACCCAACGGCTGCCACCACAGCTTGGTGTTTTACTTACTATTCTGGCCTTGAGCACCCCCCCTGGCATCTTCCCCTTCGAACCCTCTCCGCCTGGCGTCCTTTCCGGAAATCATGTCGTTGGACAAGGAGCACGCACCTGCGGACGGGAGGAATGGGCAAGGGAGTGAGGAGGGCGGGGTAGAGAAGGGCAAGGGTAAGGGCAAGGGCAAGGGCAAGGGCAAGGGCAAGGGCAAGGGCAAGGGCAAGGGAAAGGGCAAGGGCAAGGGCAAGAAGAAGATCAAGTACCTCTCGGTCAAGGTCACCTTTGTGCCGTTGCCTGACGCTCCGCCGCCAAAGGGCGGTCCGCTGGCGACAACGATGATGCTCGACTTTCGGCCGCAGGCAACCATGACTGAGCTCGCACTGGCGGTAGCGACATTTTATGGGGTCGACGATAAGCGCGAGCGGTTCCATTTCACCGATGGTGACGGCGGCGAGCTTGAGCTCGACTCCAAGGGCCGGCTGGTGCTCGACACTGCTGTTCTGGGCAAGGGCCTTCTCTTCTGCCCAACAGACGACGTAGCGTTCACCAGCGCGGTTCCAGAGCGAGCGGATCCACGGGCGTCACGGCGGATCTCGCTGGCGCCGGGCGCACACGGCGCGCTGCCACTCAACGCCCCGCCGCCGCTGCCCAAAAAGCGTGTTCTGCGGTGCACGGCGTGCGAGGGCCGGATCGATCCCGAGTCATTTTACATTGCGCTGTCAGCGCTCGAGACGTACCACGTCAAATGTCATGAGGAGCTGTGCGCGCCGCCGCCGATTCCTGCACGGCCGACAGGCAAATCGAGGCCGGTGATCACGAGCGGGCAGTCGAGCAGAGGCGGGCGGGCGGTGCCGGGGAGACGGCGCGCGCCGCCTCCCAAGCCAGATGGCGAGCCGGCGGCACCCAGCGTGGGAGGAAGGGGAGGTGGTGGAAAAGTGGCAGCTCCACTGATGGCGAAGAGGCACCGCGGCGGGCCGCCGGACCGCAAGCTCTCGCTATCGACGATGATGCTCAACGACCAGGCATTCCACGCCAAGCTGGGAGCGGTGCTTGGATCGACGCGTGACCTCGCGCAGATGGTGCGGAACACATCGGACGCGCTGGCGTCGACGATGAATGATCCGGTGCTTCCGATCATGGTTGTGGGTGCATCGTCGGTCGGCAAGACTGCGCTCTGCCACCGGATGGTGGCAGACTCGTTTCTGGCCGAGTACGCGCCGAGCGTTCAGGACACGCAGTACGGGACGAAGCGTGTCGATGGCGTCTCGTGCCTCATCTATGACACGACACCGCTAACCGAGTGGGATGACACCAGTTTGAAGCTGTCGGACCATGGCTTTGCTGTGTGCTTCTCAGTCATGTCACTGACGTCGCTGGGACAGGCGCGCAAGCTGCTCTCGTCGCTCTCGAAGGCACTGATGGTGGTTCTTGTGGCGACCAAGGGTGATGCACCCGACGCAGAGCGAGTAGTCGATGAGGAGGACGCTCTGGATCTGGCGGAGGAATTCAAGCGACCATACCTGGAGACGTCTGCGTCGAGTGGGGCCAACGTTGGCCGGATCCTGGAAGAGCTGGTCTTCCAGACCCGACAGTACAACCGGCGGTTGCTGAGCTCGCGGTCGCGCAAGGGCTCGTCGTCCAAGCCGACCAAAGCGCAGCGAAAGGCGGTCAAGGCGCAGCGAAAAGCGGCGGCCAAGGCGGCCAAGAAGCGATCTGCCGCGCCGCCGCCCAAGCCGCCACCGCCAACGCTCAAGGTACCTGAGGCATTTGGCGCGACGCTGGAGGCGACGCTGGCGGCCGATGCCGCCCGCGGCGGTGAGCTGAATCGGGCCAATCCTCAGATCCCTTTCATCATTGATGTGGCGTGCCAGTACTTGCAACAGCCAGAGAACGCATCGCTTGTGGGTTTGTTCCGAGTCTCACCGATGGCGGCACAGCTTGACGACGTGCTTGCCTCGTTTGACAGCATCACGTGCGTCGAGGACCTCGACGACGCCGTCGAGGATCCACACATTGTGAGCTCGCTGCTCAAAAAGTACCTCCGCGAACTACCGGAGCCGCTCTTGCCCGAGGACGAGTTCGACGATGTCATCGACGATGCTTCGAGCCTGGTCGCTGGCGACGCCGACCCCGGACCGGTGGTGGCGTCGACAATGGCGCGGATCGATGCACTGGCTGACCCACCGCGCCACCTCCTCCGCTACCTGCTTCAGTTTTCAAGACCATTTCCGGCTACGCGGCCATCAACAAGATGACTGCCTCCAACCTTGCTATTGTTCTCGGCCCGAACATTCTCCGCAAGACCGGGCTCTCGCCGCTGGAGGAGCTTGAGGCGTCCAAGCCCATCTCGGCGCTGACCACGGCGCTGATTGCTGCGGCCGAACCACTGGGCGCTGATGGCGACGCATGCGACACCGAAGAGAGCGCGCCCAGACCGGTATCGCCCAAGGTCGCGTCGTCGCCAAGCACACCGGCGCCACCGCCACGCAAGGTTGTGCCGCCACCCGACGCGTCGCCAAGAACACCGGCGCCACCGCCACGCAAGGTTGTGCCGCCACCCGACGCGTCGCCAAGCACACCGGCGCCACCGCCACGCAAAGTTGTGCCGCCACCGGACGCGTCGCCAAGAACACCGGCGCCGCCACCACGCAAGATCCTGCCGCCACCGGACGCGTCGCCAAGCACACCGGCGCCGCCGCCTCGTAAGGCCGTGCCGCCACCGGACTCGCCGGCACTGCCGCCGCGCAAGGTTGTGCCGCCGCCCCGGCGGCAGGAGAGCAAGGAAACTCCGATCCCACTGCCTACACGGTCGGCGTCCAAGTCGGCGGCGGCTCAGCGTGCGCTCGAATCCGGGCGGCGGCCGCCGCGATCGGCGTCGGCCGGGCCGGGCGCGAGCCCTACGGTTGCGTGCCGACGGTCGGCGACAGTGCACTCTACACCACCTCCACCGGTGGCCAAGATCAAGCGAAGCCACGCGCCAGTGCCGGCGACCGCGGTGGCCACGGTCATGGTTGCCAAGCCAGCGGCAGCAAGACCGCGACCGGCGCGGGCGGCACCGAAGCCTGTGCCCAAGACCGGGCCGCGCCCAGCAGCATCAATCAAAACCGCCAGCAGCGCGCCGGGTCACAAGGATTCGGACATTGTCGGTGTGGTGGCACAACAAGTTTTGTTGGCGGCGCAGGCAAAGGGCAAGCCTGTGGTGCAGGTGGCCATCAGCGAGCAGAGCAGCGGCAAGAAGAAGCCGCCGCCTCCCGTTGTGAAACCCAAGCCCAAACCAGGAGTCAAGCCCAAGCCCAAGCCGGGAATCAAGCCCAAGCCCAAGCCGGGAGTCAAGCCCAAGCCGGGGGTCAAGCCAAAGCCTAGACCGCCGCCGAAGCGTTGAGTGAAGCCTCGAGGCCAGCGCGGACAACCGCGTACCGGGCCCGGACCTGGGTCAACTGCTCGGCGAGGACAAAGCGGGCGGCGAGCTTGTCGTGGCGAGCATGGGGATCGAGGGCGCGAGGCCGGGCGAGACCCACGCGAGGCGGAACCGTATGAACAGGGTCCGCATCAGCAGTGGCGAGATGCTCGTTCTCGCAGAGTATAAAGAACTCCGGCAGCAGCCGGCGCGCAGGGTCTGCCACTGACCACACGCCACTGGTTGCGGCTTCGGCCTCCTCGGCAGAGGTAAGTGCAGCACGGGCGAGGATCCACCAGCATAGCCGTGCATCGGCCATCTCGTCGATGCCCAGGTCGGCCGATCCGTCGCTGTCGTTCTCGTCGCCGAGCATGCGCCACATAGCGGCCGTGGCAGAAGCCATGCTCTCACCTGCAGCACCATCGGGACCGGATGAGAGGCTACGGACAAGCTGCGATGGGACAGCATCAGCCGGCGCCATACCTGCACGGGTAAGCAGCTCTTGTAAGACCACCGGCTCTGCAGTACTCCCTCCCCAATCGGTGACGAACCAGCCAGCATCTGCTGCCGCGGCCATCGGATCGACGTCCCAAGCAGCCGTCGCGGCAAAGGCGGCAAGGGACGGCAGTGCCGCGGTCGGGACGGCAAAGAACAGTCCGCGCTCGACAATGCCATCACCTGCACGACATGCAGCATAGGCGGCAGCCGCTGGGCCATGGGAAAGTTGGGCAACAAGGAGCGGATGCCAGGCTGAGCGCTCGGGGGCGGCGAGCTGGGCCGAGCGGACGACGCGGACGACGTCAGCACGGGCACGCGAGCTCTCGTCGAGAAGATCCAGGCCGATACGACTGTCAGTCTCATGGCTCAATGTGGCGTCGAGATATTCAACCAAGGCGCTAGCGATGCCCTGGGCCACATCACGGGCGGCGAGGCGGCGCTCGAGGGCGACCATGGCGGCAGTGACCGCGAGCTCATCAGCAGCAACAGCGTGCCATGACGCCAGCGCTACCGCTGCTGCCAGCTCATCGCGCTTCCGTCTTGCGCGTGCAGCAGCCAACGAGAGCAAGGAAGTTGAGCGAATAGTAGGGAGGGCCGGGGGTGGGAGTGGCGATTGGGGGCGAGCCATGGTTGCCCCGGCGTAGCCGCGGGCGCAGTGGAGTGTGTCGCAACGATCATCACGTCGATGCCGTGGCTATGATCATGGCTGCCGCGCGGGGAACAGTCATCCCAAGCCGGGCATGGGATGGGTGTGTGTGGACTGGCAGAAGAGAAAATGATGGTGATGGTGACGATGGTATGGTGATGATGGATGATGATGATGGTGGTGATGATTGCGGTGGTGATGGTGATGATTGCGGTGGTGATGGTGATGCCCCTCCCCCCCCCCCCC